ATTACAAATTCTTTCCATAGAGTTGAATATAAATATGAAATTTATTAGTTGAGTATGCACTCGCGTAGAATTAACAATAACTACAGTTTGTGCAGTGGTAACAATTACTTACTGTTAATTGTACCGGCAAATGCGTCGGTTATACTTCTAATTGCTCTTCTTTGTGTACCTACCATTAATATTAGGGTGAGACTATAGGCACCAGACTTTGCCCATCTTCGACTTTTCCCATCCCCATTTCATCCCCATCTGTCGTGCGCAACTCCCATCCCAGCCCATCTCCAACCTCCTTAGTTCACCAGCCCTGTCCAGCTTTGAGGCCCCATTTTCAGCCCATTTTTTAAAAATTTTTCAGTACTATAAATTGTTGAAGACTAAGCAAAGTGCAAAAATTAACGCGTAAAAGTCAACTCGTAGCGCAGAAATCCCAGGCGAATTTAGAATCTTAAACAGCAAACAGCTAAAAATCCGCGCGGAGCGCGGAAATTTTTTATTTTTTTCGACTGAAAAGATGAATTTCCGTGAGTTTTTAGCTAAGAAAATCATGAAAATTTAAAAAATTTATTTAAAAATCGTTTTTCTTGATCCCATCCCATCTTCCAACATTATCAGCCCATCTCAGCCCATCCGCTGCTTGTCCTCATCCCATCCCCATTTCATCTAAAAAATGGGATGGGCTGGAGAAGATGGGGAAAATTTTCAGCCCAACCAAAAGATGGGCAAAGTCTGATAGGCACCCCTTTCACCCCCGTTGGCTATAGGCACCCCCTTTTGCGCCCTGTTTTGCTATAGGCACCCCTTTCTATTACATAAATCTCGCACCCCTTTTTTTCCGTGGACTATAGGCACCTGTTTCCTGTTTGCAGTCTTTTTTCCCAGCAGCCTGACAAAGATTTTCTAACACTTTTTTTGGTTTACAAAGATTTTTTTGACGATCTGACATAACTAGGTCATTCACATAAAAATGCGTTCGTACGAGTACTAGGCACTCCTTCCGACAATGTGCCGGTTTGACTGACTTTATAATGATTTGGTTGCTTTGATAAGTTTTCTTGCATTTCTGAGGTCCTGATTGTAATGTTTGGGGCCTTTTGGGGTATCGGACACCACCATATAAATAAACGCCCCGGCATCTTTCTTACGGATTTCGTTTAGTACATGATTGACCATTCCCTCTTTTGTTCTTTCACCTCGTTTCACTTTATCGTGCTTGGTCGTTTGTTGTTTTCGTGTGCGACGGGGTGCAGGAATTAGTTAATCAAAAAGGGGTGCCTATAGTCTAAGTGGGTGCGAAAAGGGGTGCCTATAGATAACGGGGGTGAAAGGGGGTGCCTATAGCCATTTCCTTAATATTATGGTTATTGTTATGATGAAGATCACATCCCAATTTCTGACATTTTACCAAAATGATTTTGGCAGGTAGTATTGCCGATACACTTTATCTGCGACAACCCACGAACACGATCAGAATTATAAAATATAACAATTGGGATTGCTCTTGCGTTTTGCTTGACTTACGAGTCGTTGTTGTTGGTGCCTTATTGCCCATCTTTTCTCGCTAAACTCTTTTGCTTTGAGCCACCACTTTGTGTTTGTGCACTACGAGCTCGAGTAGAATTTTCTGGCGACGACCTTGCATTTGCGTTAACCGGTACAGTGAGATAGCCATTCCCGCCAAATGTCACCGTGTGATTGTGAACGTTAGCTTCTGGTCAGCATCGTTGCCGACCGTGTTAGCCTGTCAGCCATACTCTAACAGTCTATACATGCGGCACTTGGATTTTATAATTAAGGGTCTAGCCCACGTTGTAGAACAGCGACCAAACCGGCTGTTGTTACAGCAGGAGCAGCAGTTGCTAATTTGCTCTGCCTTGCCAAACCAAGACAAATTTAATTAATTAATTTGCCGTAAACCATATAATCCGATAGCCTACAGGATATCGATATGAGTATGAGGTAGAAGACGACTGTTTTCCTGAATCCTTTGCGACTGAATAATAGTCTGTCCTTAATTTCATTAATGCAGGGATGACACAAACACCTTTTCAATTAAGTCGAAAACGAAAATTAAAATAAAGCTACTAGGGGCCTAGGGCATATGTACCTGAATTTAATTTATAGCATTCTCGGTCTCGGTGTACTTTATATGTACTTATTTAACTGGAATATATTCAGTGTCGTCGGATTAGCTTTTTTTGTGATGCTTTGTTTTCGGATGTAGGGCAAACTTTTGAAATTGCTGATTTCGTTAATGGTTGATTACAAATTAAAGTTAGTAGCTGTCTACAACACAGAATACGCGTTCGTGCATTGTTTTGTTTTGTAAGATTTTGTGTTTTTTGTTCTATTTTAAGTAAAAAATAAATAATTAATAAGAGCCATAAACGTTATCAGTTTTCTTGATGAGAAATCAGACTGAAAAATTACGGGTTTGGAAATATTGATACCATTTGCATTGAATCCAAGTATTTCGATAAATTGTGTGAACGGTTTTTCGCATTCTAATGGGCTTTTAATGTTGGGGAATGGTGAATGAGAATGTGAGATCGAAATGCATTACATTGTTCTGCATTGTTTTTTCTGTTCTTTGTCATTTGCAGATTTGTATGCAAGTACCTGCATGGCTTGTATAATGAACAATTTAATGGCGCAGTGAGAGGACTGCAGATCAGCGCCAACTGGATCACGATTTTCATGTTATTTAAACGGCGAACAGTGTTTGTCGGCCGGTAAGCCACTCAAGGGGCTCCACTTCATCTTTGTCGTGCATCCAAATCTTTCATTTGAGGAGATTTGTTCAGGTAAGTCGTTGAGCATTGCATAATTCAGTGGTCTCTCGATACTCGAATAGAAACGAGAACAGACCGAATAGTGTCTACAATAATTGTTTGCTGTTCCGCTTGACCGCTTGTCGACTAAAGATTCATTTTCCTTGTTTGACCACATCAACATTTAGACATGTTGGGGTGCTGGCGTTACACGTAATATTATTCATGCCAAAACACCGAAAATCTGGAACTGATTCCTCTTGCATCTCCATATGCTTCTTCTCGCGAGCGATTTCAGTTATCGGAAAATTTATGAAAGAAGGTAGCAATTTGCTAATAGAAAAATTTGTGTTTAATCCGGTTTTTGGAGCATTGTGATTCAACGTAACTGGAGGTAAGCTGCAGTTGCGCGAACGGAAGTTCAATTACAATTGGACAATTATTGGCTTAGTAAGAACTGACTTGGATGGACTGCTGTAGTATTTTGTGTTTGAATAAGTAGCTGAAAATGTAAACTTCATAAATTTAATTGTCTTTAGGCAGCTCAGTGGTTGTCTTATGCATTGAGATTACACGTGTTGCTGGCACGGTAACAAAACTGTAGAAGTGACCAAAGTTGGTGATGGACTTGTTACGACCGTATTCTACTTGCGGCGCCGTTACTAATAACGTAGTGACGAAGCAGAAGCGAAGTGTCCGTTACCGTTTATTGCGGTTTAATACCTATTTCGTTTTTGTGTAAATATTCTTTATCGTTTATGTTAGCAGAGGCGCCGAGGCTTAAAGTGTTTTGTAGCTGACTTCGTTGTTCTGTTCCATTGAGTAAGTTGTTACAGCATTCCGTAATATAGTCTTTTTCTGTCTCGACACTCCACAGGCATTTCTTCTATGTAGATTATTTCGTTATCTTTGAAATTGCCATAAGTTTTTGCAACACTTATCTAAATTTTTTTTGGAACACTTATCTAAATCATTATCTGAGAGCCTCATGGTTAGTAGGTATCACTAGGTAACATAATTCTATAGTTACTACTTACTGATGGTTAAAGGGAAGCACAAGTACGGTGGCGTGATATTATTACAGTAACGGCACTCTGTTTATTTGTGGTTGTTTCTTTTTTTTTGAAAAAAAATGGTCGAAACTTAGAAGTAAGGATTTAGGTAATAAAAAAACAGAAAGTGGTAAATTATTTTAGTTTGGTAAAAACAATTGCTGATATTGGGGTAGCCTAAATATTTTGCGGTTCAGCGATGGTCAGCGGCACCCCGCAGCCGTCATCAGCTTAAATTCCGTCCTGTGATCCCATCCTTACGATTGGTTTTTTTCATTTTGTGCGTTCTGATTGTTCTGATGTTTTTGAAATTCGCTCTGTTTGCGTTTTCAAACATTCTCAGAGTGATGAATGTTTTTGTCTCAACGTTTATTGCATTGTATGTATTACTTTCGTTATTGTGCACATAGTTTTCTCATTTGTTGTCGTTTTCTCATTCTCACCGTTGGTCAGGAATCGAGGACTGCATTCCCCCTAGCTGGCTGTTGCTGCCGGTTATTATTAACAACTCTAGTTGGACTGACAGTATTTTAGAAATATATAGAGCACTTAAAGAGCACAACGCTCCACGTCGACGTCGTGACTGAAACAAATTAAAATATTTATAAATTTAACTTGGAGAAACCTCGAAATCTGATCGATAACAGTTGACAACTTACTGTGTTTTCTGTAATATTTGAATTTTGGAAAACTTGTGAGTGATGGAAGGTGCAGGGATCAGACAATGATAACATGCAGCTACTCGACCATTTTGTTAATTAGTTTTGTAATCGTATTAACCATACGCGGGTGCTATTGCGTTTGAACCTCGTTTGAATTATGTTTCCTGTTTACACCGATAGTACAGCCTGAACATGTACAATACTTATTCGTAGCCTCGTGCAAAGTTTCCGGCCTGTGATTTGTGCAGAGAATTATTAATTATTGCATGCTGTCTTCTTTGCTGCTTCCTTGAGCATATTCGGACGTTGTACCTCTGTGAAGTTTTTGACTGACCATGGCAAGTGTTGCTGCAGTTCGTGATGTACGAATACGAGGATGGGGTAAATACACGGGATAGACGAGAAAAAGGGCAAGAATAAGGGATAACCTGCCCAGGTCGTGCAACACGGGCATTCGACACTGTTTTGCTGACACAAATAAAATAACCGAAAATATTACGCATTAGTACCACCGCAAACTTTATCATTTACAACAACACCGTACAAGTATGTAAAACAGTAAAACTCGTAATACTTACATGACTTTTGCACAACATCACAAACGAAAGAAATTCACTTTCTACACATTCTGAGATTTTTTGTTTTTCGTCGGTGTATTTGTGATGTCACTGAGCCCCTTAGAATTCTTTTTTCTCTTATTCTTCTGTCGCAGCTTTTCAACTTTTCGCTGTTCGAGTGCTTCAATCACTTTGCTGTCCGTTGCAATCAGACCAGCCTCCGCCCGCAAACGTGAATCTTTGAGTTTTTTCTTTTTCTGAGGATGAGCGCTCATGAAATTTTTGTGCCAATCCGCAGCCACTTTTTCCGCGGGAACGGGGGTAGTAAAGCCTTCTGCCTTGGTAATGGTAAACGCCAAAATCTCTTCTATTGCGCCTTCGGTCAAAAGAGGAATTTTTTGAAGACTTCGGCGCACAACTTGCAGTTCGCTCACGTAAACATTGGCAACAGAAATAGGCAAGTCAGAAACCAGCTGACTTGGAACTGGCTCTACATAAGCCCGGCACACCGCATCCGGGTTAAACGGATAAATTCCGGAAGAAACAAACCCAGAGACAATATTGGCAGCCATGTTAAAATCATTCCACTTTTCCACAATGTGCCGGGCAAAATTCTGTTTGGTAACCTACAAACAACGAAATTCTTCTCACTAATATGTAATCCTCTACTAATACGTAATGTTCGATGTAATCCTCTTCAGCTTCGGAGAATTTTCTTAGGTGAGCTCCCTTCTTTCCCGTACGCACTCCTCTAAGTTTCTTCCAGAACGAAGTATAAGGAACCTTGAACTTTTTCGCAGCTGCATATTGCGAGAGGTTTCCTGATTTGTAGGCTTTCAGTGCCAACGCCATACGATCACTGTAAGCGTGTGGCAAAGGCAGATCATAAACAAATTCCTCTACACAGTCCGCACTCAAAGGTAGTCCGGAGACGGCGCTGGTAGACCCGAATGAAATCTCTATGGCAGATGCAGAAAATAAACTGGCAGGTAGCTGTACTTCTTCGCTGATATTCTCATCGCAATACACTATAGGAGGTGAATGCGCTGCTTCGGAGGGAGATTCCGAACTCTCCATTTCTTTAAGTTTAATTGAGTGTCAGCAAAATAAAACTCACAAACCAAAGCATAAATGATAATTTGACGAACTCATAAGCAGAACCAAAAGTACTCACAGTTACAGTGTTACTGTACAAGCAAAGTATTTGAAACAAAATGGCAAAACGGCAGCCCGTACTCAACGGCTAATGCAGTATTCTGTGCGCTAGCTTTCACAGACCGCCAGCCTTTGGCGGCTGGCTGTCCTGCACAACACGTGAATGGTTATCCCTTATGTTTGCCTGTTTTTTTGTCTATCCCGTGTATTTACCCCCTCCTCGTATTGATTGTACTGTAGCGTATTTGAACTTCACCATATTCATAATTATTCGTGGTACAACCAAACCAATAGTGGCCCGTTCACTACAAATGATGAAATTATCAGTACTGAATGTGCTATCTTTGATTCTACGAGTATCATTGTAAAAGTACGTGCTGTACGGTAGCAAAGTACGTGCTGTACGTTTGTGCTGTACCGTTGTTGTGGGCAGCATCAATCAATATAGATATAACGTAAGAATAACCAACTGTGCATTGACAGTCAAACGGCACTTTGCGAGCCACAGAATCGCCATATACAGCACCTGAATATACAGTAGAGATACGAGTTTAAAAGTACAGTAAATAAATTTCTTTTGCTGGTCCTTTATACACTTTTGTCTTTTGGGTCAAAAGCGGGTCAAATAGTGAGCGATATGTCATCCCAGATCCTGATATTATTATACTCGTACGGTCTTTATAGATTATAGAATTTACTGTATGGATGCGAGTAAATTTTTTCCCATTTAACCTTTTTGAACGCACACCACTGAAGTTGTTGCTTAATATTTAAGGGTCAGATTTTTGTCAGAATTGAATTTTTCTTATAGCATGTTTCCTGTTTGTTGGGTATTCAGAACGAATATTTTTATTCTGCAAATACAGCATGAGTTATCCTGTCGCGTTGCTGCCTTTGAACTGGGGAGCTGTTTATGTACCACATACATTTGCATACACATTGCAGCTGTAGTAGTTGCTGTGTACATTAACTGTTCTGGATTTAAATGGCATACAATTATTGTGAACAATGATTTCAGGCAAGTACTCGATAAAGAACAGTACGAGGACTGTACCTGCAAGTACCCGTATACCATGCTACGTTGTATAATATAGCGAATTGTCGATTTCTCATGCAGATCCTGTGCTTTTTTTGTGGAGTTTTCTGTTTTCATCATCGTCTCTTGCAGAAGTAAAACCAATACAAGCACCTGCGTTGTTCTGTAACTTTTCTGTAGCGTTTTCGACCGTGGTGTTTGCACAATAGGAAACTTAGTGTGAGAATATGCTAGTGTGAATATTGGCGTTTCTTACTTGCTGATTGTTTCTCAAAATTACGACATGCACTTGGAATTTGTTGGAGAACGTTCTGAGATTGCGATGCATGGTTTTTCTTGTGTCCAAAAAGGCGTTTATTACACTTTACTAACCACCTTTTGTCCTTTTTTGTTTAATTTTAGTGCAGCGATGATTTAGTTTATTGAGGGTGAGATTATAAAATAATGCTGTGACAGCTTGCAGTTTTTAATGGGCTTGAATGTTGTTTTTGAATGTTGATGATCTCGTCTGCATTCTGCAATAATGTGGTACAGGTACGCATCTTGCCATATCCACTAATCCGAGCTCGCAAAATTTCAATGCCGTAATATATTGTTTATTTTGGTTTCGTCTTAAGCATTTGTGCTGACTGCTGATGCTGAGCAAGGTACTAGTACCAGTAGCGCTATCTTCAAAACTCGTTTCCGCCGGTGGTTAATGTCGAGGTCGTTTGTCTTCCACGATCGGCTGGCCACGTTGTTTGATATGCTGCGCCACACCAAAAATTGTCTGTCTTACGGTGTTTATGGTTACTGTAAAGAATGGTACGAGTATGCATTATGCGGATAGTCAAGATCAAGTAACCAATAACCATGCGAGTGCGGAAATTATTTTTGCGTACCTCGGTGAATTGAAATTATTATTGAATTACCATGAGTCTGGTTATTGCAGATTTCTGCGCTCTATGCCGGCAGCCTGCCGTGAATAATTACAATGAAATCAAGCAGAACCAAGCCGTCATCGCTTCCATCAAGCAGTACTCAGCCGTCGACTACAAGAAATGCTAATCCCCTCAGCAGCAGCACTGCATCGTCAAATTTATCCTCATCGTTGCGTAGTGCAGCTCTATCGACGACATTCTCCCGATCGCGTTTGAATCTCGGTTCTACAACCGGATTAGGCAGGCGTAGTCCTCTGCTGAACGCCAAGCCGAAGCGCACACTCCCTAATTCGGCTGTGTCTGGAAAAGTGGATCATGCAAAACCAATGAAGAAGCATTTCCTTAGCAAAAGCAACGACAGTTTGTCTGGGGCCAGCAGTGCAGTGGCTAAAAAGACCAAAGCCAGTGCGCCAATTCCGACTGCGGTGCCGTCGAGGGGAATTCGTCATCCGGCTGTCTCGATCAAGCAGAAAGATAAGGGAACAACTCTTGTGGAAGAAAAAGGCAGCGAAAACAGTCCCCGCACGTTCCAGACGACAAATGCAGAAGCCGTGGCACAGGAAATACGCCGTTCGGTCAGCAGTAATTGCCTCGACATGACTGCTAGTGCGGCAACAGCGTCAAGCGATAATCAACAGCGCTTATCGCCGACGAACGTCAATTGTCTCGGCGAGACAATGCCAACGATATCGGTGCTTAATTCGAATTTTGCGTTGGCCCCGTCACGGCCCGGAATTACTTTGACGGCGACTGGTACGCAAACAGATTTATCGTTCTGTGAAAAAGGCGATGCACGGAATAGTATTATTTCTTGTGGAAAATTTGTTGATGGATGCCGCTTAAAAATGAGCCATGATTCGATTAATACGGACTTTGAGAATTTGCTTGAAGAAAATTTACTCGTCTCCCGGCAGATATCGGAGTTATGCAAAGTAGAAAGTGCAACGGGAATTGATGAGTCAAACAGTGACGCAGATATGATGGATCGGGATAGTCTCGGCAAGCCGGTGGAATGGGATTCGCAGAGTAACGCCAGTCTGTGTAGTGAGCCATCGTTGGCTTGTCTGCAGGACAGAATCCAGCAGATGGAAGAGACTCATCACTCAACAGCTGAGGAACTGCAGGCAACGCTGCAGGAATTGGCTGATATGGGTGATTTGGCAGCAGCATATAAGAAGGAGAATGAGGATTTGGCACAGGAAAAAAATATGTTACAGGACGCTTTATGTACTATGACCGAAAAGGTAAGAAAACCACAAATCAAGGCTGTAGGCATATGTGAAAGGCATGTGTCCTCTTTTCTGACTGTATGTAAGCCGGGCTGCCGTAGTTTCGCGATTTGTATATCGTAAACATTTGCAAGGTAGTTACTAGTTACTGGCCTTTGGCTACTTCGAAGTATACTTTTAGGCTTGCTTTCCATCGACATTTTAATTTTTGCTATATATAGAAAAATGGATTAAGAGAGGATCTGTTAACTTCAGTGCTTCTGGAACTTAAAGTCGTTCGATCACTAGACAGTACGGTTGTTGTACGTACAGTCTCTGACAAAATTTTTTTGTAGGTTCACGTATATCAAAGTCAGGCAGAATCGCTTAAAAAATTATTATATCGGCAAGCTGTGGGTGACGAAAACTGCAGTCCTGATGGCATGGAAGGCGTGAACGAAAAGGAAAAAACGTTGGTTGAATTGATTAAGAGCATACAGGAGGAAAAAGAGGAAATGCATCATCAAGTGGAATCTGCGCTGGAACAGAATAATAAATTTGCTCAAGAAGTGGAAGATGCTCACTCCAAAATACAGACACTGGACAACTATTGCGATCAAGTGGAGCAACAAAAACAAGAAGCCGAAGTACAATTAGCCAAGACTCGAGAGTCTATTAAAAAGAACGAGTTGGATATAGCTCGTTTAACCGCCTTATTAGACGCAGAAAAAAGCCGTGTTGTTGAACTGCAAATGATGACCAAGGCGCCCGCCGCTAAAACTGATATGGAGGAATTGCTCAGTACCGTTCGTAGCGAAAAGGAAAGAGCTGATGCACAACTGGCAGATGCTAATAGTCGTATTTTATCCTTAGAGTGCGATATTCAAGGGCTCAAGGAAGCGGTTCGTGTTGCGGATGAACAGAGAAGCACTGCAGAGAAAAGTTTTAATGATACTGTGCACGATTACGAACATCAGTTGTGCGCGAGAGACAACGATTTAAAAGCTTTGTCCGATGAACTGAACCAAGCCAGAAAGGAACACGATGTGATAGAGTTAAACTTGCGAAATTTGGAGCTCAGTCGAGCGGAAGCTGTCGAGCAGTTCCAGAATATTCAAAACTTGGTAAGATTGTACTATGACTTTCGGCATTCATGGTATTTTGCGAATTGAGCTTATGACGGCAGCTGCTTTAAGTACGGTATGAATGATAATCTTAGAACCGAATATATTTCTGTAATTGGTTTACCCTCGTAGTCTTGACAATAGCTATTAATGTAGGTAAATCATCTGCAGTTGAAATATTCGAGAGTGATAACTTCTTAGTCCGCGTTAAGCAAACGCTTAATTCCCCCGTCTGTTTTGTTTTCTTGCAGTTCTCCCAGGAACAGCGTGACTGGAGTCATTTTCAAGATGATCTTCTGACAGCAGTACGCGTGGCTAACGATTTTCGCACCGAGTGTGAACTTAAAGCAAAAACCGTTATGGAAGAAAATCAGCAGCTCAGGCGGAAAATTGACGATCTATCAAATGAACTGAAACGATTAAAAACTGCTAAAAGCAGCACGCCGGCCTCTCCTTTGAAATCTACTGATCAAGGGCATGAAATTCGTTCGCGAATCGATTTGATTTCTCAGTTGCGATCTCCCAGTGATAAAGATCCTACGATCGCCACAAAACCTTTACGTACCCCTCCTAATCAGAGCGTCTCGGTGAAAAGTCTGGTCCAAAATATGGAAAGTAACCTCATCGGCTCTGCAGCGCGTAGCATTCCGCGTTTTGCCGTTGTGGCAAAAGCTGTTGGGATTCGCAAGCGGGACGAAAATATTGCTCGATCTGAAAGTAATTCTTCCTTGGACTCTACGGACAAGGTGTTAGATTTTGATAAAAATTTGGATGATGAACCGAGCATGCCGGGTGATGGATTGAAGCCAATTATCAGTAGTAAACGGAATAGTATTGTGGCCGAAGGAAAAAGTGATTTCAAGGCCGATCCTTTAAGCAGTCTGGTTAAAGGAAAAGGATCAAAACGTAATGCATTGCTCAAGTTCTGCCAGGAGAAGACATTGGGTTACTCGGTGAGTGGGCCTGTGGCCGATCGATGGATAGCGGCCGTAGGAAAGGCTGCTGCTAGAAGCTACTCTGGCAGTGCTACAGCAAAACTGTGGTGATAATTTTGAAGGTTCCTGGTTGTATCAGTATTCGCTTAGATTTTGTTGCACATTGCCTGCTCTTTTGCATCCTGTATCACTTTCTGTGGCTATCGATTGGTTTCTCACGATTTGCATGACATAATATTCAAGTTTTATTGCTTTTAATTTTTTATGTACCGCTCTACTGGCTTGGCTATCTGCTACATTTTTTTCTTCTTCCAAAATAAAATCTATTTTCTGGTTGCACATGGTTCCTCGTTCTTGCTTCTTTTATTTGCACTTTAATGTATCGCTATCGCAAAGCATCCCTACACCAGACAGAGCTTATTATGCGCACGATATTAATTAGTCTGCATGGCCCGAACCACTCGTTAAAGGTGTGCGATCTGGGATTATATCATTATAGCATAAGGTCTAACACACGTGCGTTCCGCAGGGCTACCTTAAACGGGCTGTAAATTAAAAAGAGAATGACGTTTTCGTTACTAACTTTCTATGTAAGCGAATATTTGATTATGCAGATTGCTAAAGTATATTATTTTGTTTCAGTCCATAACGATATTCATTATCTGGATTTAACTTCGGCTTATTGCATTGTAGGGAATAGATATTACAAATTTTAGCAGTTCTTGGAACGATGGACTTGCATTTTGTGCGCTTTTGCATTCATACCTCCCTGATCGAATTCCTTACAAAGAACTGGACAGCAAGGACAAAGTGAGTTTTAGTCAAATGCTGGATGTGGTACCTAGTTGTCTTGTGCAGCTAGCCGAAGTTCATTGTGGAAATGTTGGGAGTATCGAATGTCAGTAGTCTTACATTTGCTCCTCCAATGTTTGCGTATTTGCATTTGCATAACCATCGTATGTTTACAGAGGCGTAATTTTTCGCTGGCTTTCGGGGCGGCCAAAAGTGTGGGTATACCGCAGAAACTGGTACGTGGGCTTCGGCCATCACAGACGGCCTTGATTGATCGGAACTAAGTATAACATATGGAGTGATGGTGACATACATCGAGTGACAATAAAACTTGCCTGTTTGATCGCACCTGTGAAGTCATTGACAGTTTTTGTGATAATAGGACATTAGTGATCTGCTGTCTGATGATAGGCCCGACTGGAGAGCCGTCATGGATTACGTAATCTCAATTTACAAACATTTCGAAACTTGCTCGATGTAGTATTAAATCGGTATCGAAATCTCTTTGGGTGACCGGCGATGCAAGTGACCACACATTCTGGCATGGTTGATTGTTCGTACCATAAGAGGATCGGATCCGTTGGTCAGTATGCTCGTTTCGTCGTTAGCCGGATATGGATACTGTCAACGAAATTGTTGTATTTGCTGGGTACATGTGTTATGATCTCTAATAATTTTGGTTTGTTGATTTGTTTGTATTTGTGACCGTGAGTCGTCGTGCGTTTTTGTGAAACGGATGGATCGATTGACTCGATTATCGTTCTGGTCGGTTTGTCCACCGGAAGTTATGCTCAACTCATTTTACAGTCTTGTTAATTTGCAACACGTACCGCGTGCAGCTGTATTATGTACTTGCAGTGGTTACTGTTTATATGATAATGATCTTTAGTTTTTGGACGATATTGACGACCATTAACGATTAAAATAATATTTGAACTGGAATAAAATCAAATACTTAATACAAATAATGCACGTTCTGTAATTGATAAAACGATATGATGGCGGTGCTTGCCCAAAATGTATTTTCCCCAAATGTTCTAAGTTCTCGATTTAATAACCAATAATCCTGCGTGACCACTGACCAGCTGCGTGAGTTCATTATTAAATCTGATTAATTTTAGCTGTTGGGAACGAGACCTTGGCAAATATCGGGAAAATCCCGATTCCCGTTCCCGTGTTGGGGCAAGCAGGCTGTGAGATAAAATTAAAAAAAAAACAGAAAAACCGACGATTTTTTTAAAAAAAGTTTAATTAAGCACATCGCATTGTAGCAAAAAATAATAAAGTACTCTGTAGTCTGTACAGAGCTAGAAGTAGGACTTATCGTGAAAAAAAATCAGTAAATGCTGCACGTAAAAAATTACTTCCGTACTTGGTTTTCAAATTCTGTCGGGACGGAATCGGGACTTTTGTGGTTGTCGGGCACGGGTTGGCAAAGATCGGTGTCGGTCGGGAACGTAGGGGGAGGGCCGTTTCCCTTGCTGGCCATCGCTGGAGCAGTGTATAAAGTAGTCAATACGTACGTACTAACCATAAGTCTTGTTAAAGTTATAATTCTGCCAGGTAAAGTAACCTAGCTATGTGAGACTCTGAGAAGAAGTAAGAAGAAACAATCTTCAGTACAAATCTGTCTGACCGTCTTTATCAACTACATTTTGCCACAATACGAAAACAGTTACTAGACATGTCACGCAGAAACCAAATGCGACACATTATTACCACCTAAACCAAACAATATTATTCGAAGATAATTAAAACATCATAATCATTTTCACATCAAGCCCGGCGGTGGTTTTCGACTCAGAATAAGGCGCAAGAGACGAGATCCACGATTTCACGTGCAGAAACCGAAATCGGGTGCACTGGTTTAAGCCGCTTTGTCAATTCGGCTGCCAAAATATGTCGGCACTGAAATATCAATTAACAGCTTCATTTAACAATAAGAGTATGTAAACAAAACAGCTACCTATGAAATAGCACTAATCACTGAAATTTTAATTTTGTAACCGTGTCCAGACACTGAAGTTAAATGTACGGAAACACATCACTAAAGAACTAAATGCAACTTCGAACTTTGAACTTTATGACCAGTACGCACGCAAATCAAATCTTACCATAGGCAAAGATCGGCGTTCCAAAACTGCAAAATTGTACGACTCTTAATTATGGAAACTGAACACAGTATCTACAAAATTAAAAAATTTTTATAAAAAACTCGAAGATCTTTAATGCAGCCACAAAAAAAACCTGGGACATCGAGATCGGAAAGACCATAACAAAATGGAAAAAACTGTAAACGCCACTAACTATCAGATTAAAGTCCACAGATCTGTGGACACAGCACATTTGAACCTACCGGCTACTTGGAAGTCGCAACACCCGCAAAAGGCTAACGTGGAAAGTAGAAAAATTTTTGAATCTGCCGCTTCTTTCAACTGTAACAACAGAAAGGTCACTAGAATTCCAGAACAGGACATTACATTATCCAGTACCTGGTAAACTGTACGTCCATTCGGCCCTACATACGTTTTGACCGCATCGTGATCAATCAACTGCAGAGCTGGCTCCAGATAATCTGGAAAGGTTTCGTTCAGCAAGCGGAGATTTTCTTCGCTAACTATACAAAAAGCAAAAACCGAAATGAATACCACAAAGAAAGCGCGCAAAATTTCATCGCTACTGTATATTTTCAAATTCTGACACCCCATGGTTGGTAACCGGAATAACGCACCCACATTAACAGGAACGCTTTGAAAATTACAAAGTGTATCAAATATTAATTTTTCTAACGCGAGTAGATTTACTGTATTGTGTACGAGTACTGTATATGTCGGTTAACTATAGATTGCATTCACTGCACGGTACCAAGGTAGGATTAATGTACAAATGCAGTCTGTTGTTACCCGAAGGTTTTCCATTTTGTCCACCACAAGAGGCTTTTTCGATGCGATCAAAGACGGTCAAGATGGATGCATCCAACAAGAAACTCGGTCGGAAAACACCGATTTGACATTTCGGGTCACCAGCTCTTACAACTTCGTCCATTCGGTTTTCTCCTGGGATAACTATTAAATTTTAGTATCAGTATGAATCCCTGTAAAAAATATGATCCCGCAACAAAATAAAAATCCGAAAAGCTCGATCGTACGGTCAAGTCGTATTAGTGAAGCTTATGCTCTCTGGTGACCAGACTCTGGACAGTGGCGTAAAACAAACTAATAAATGCTTCCGTACGCCATTTTGATTTTTCTTTTGTACTTTTCTTAGGTAACTTTGAACTTTTCATCGGGGATTCAAAAATACTGAAACTGCAATCTTTGAGGTTGCACTGTTTCAGCAAGGATCTAAGCGGCGCTTAAGGTGACGTACTACTCTCTAGAGGTGATTTTTATGATTACAGCCGTCCCTCTAAGAAATTCAGCAACTGATATTTTTGCGTAAACTTTTTTTAAACTGAGTGTTCCAAGAGGTATTAGTTACAGTTTGCAAAAAGAAACTTGCGCGATCATCGCTCGTGGTGACCTCGAGACAAGACGCACTTCCCTTAGACTTAAATATTAACAGACTTAAAGGAATGCCTTCCGAAGAATGTCGTTGCCTACAGTAGAGCATTGATAGCTTTGGGACAAGGTGTTAGTGCTTAAATGAAAGTTAGAAAGGGACTATTAGAAGGCCACGATGCAACTTGCTAATTCTCAACCGTCCAAAATTTTTAAAATGTTACTGAATCGTGAATGAACCTTGATTTCTTATGGAGTAATGCGATTTTTGCGAACAAACTGAAAGTCTTCTGAACTTTGGCTTCCGTTTCTTGCGCTTTATCTTCCTGCAGTGTGGATTAATATAAAAAATTGTAAAATTGCTGTAGCTGTAGAACTATCGGATAAAAGTTACACAAAAATTGTGCCAGCATAGTATCAGCAAATCCTGAAGCCTATGACGGGCTGAAGGCGTTCACTGCTTCACAGGCTTCAATAGTTTATAACACACATTCGTGGTTAAGTACTGTATGCCAGGAGGCGATTTTGAAAGCATTTTGCGGAATTACCAAATGCGATGCGCATTGGGCAACCCCTGCGGGTTTGGTGTTTTTTCGATTTGTTCAAAAAAGAAACGATTATTTTACGATTTAAGGGAATTTCGTTCAGCATGGAGGTCTTTGAGGCGGTCTGCCAGTGGTAGAGTTAACACTGACAGTCACTTTAATTCTGTAGGGACATAATGGCACTATGCTGTTAGCTAATCAGTAAGTTCGTAATCTTCGTATCTTCGCGTACCTGGCCGCGCTTTGGCAAAACACTTAATCCCAAACGATTCCACTTTCCTCGTGCTTTCTAGGGAGCAAAGGATTCTACATCAGCATCAGATATGAAGAGAATTTCAAAGTAAAGGTGGACGATAGTATTAGTACCAAACAATTACTTATTACAATACTTACTTACAAACAATTACTAACAATTACTTATTACAGTACATAATAAATAATAAAATAATGTAATTATTTAATAAGGATAACACAGCCAACGAGGCATTTCCATATTGAAACTTGTACATTCAAAAACTGAATAAGTACATAGACTTAAAATTAAATTCTTAGCCATACAGTACATCTTCACTAACATCTGCAAAATGGTGACCAAACTCCAAATTTCTCCACCAGTGTGATTCCAAAATCCATCCAATCTGCAGAGTAGGCCGCAAAGGAATTTTAATTGCGAGACGGGCTCGCAAACACAATAGCCAAAAAATTTTTGCAGACTCGCATAGTATGCATAACGTACTTACTGATACCCGGGGCGGTTACACTAGTCCTGCGTACACTGGAATGACTGGATCAGGAAAATCCTGTAAGTACGTATCATTTGACTATCGGCTCATCCAGGGGAAAACTTACTTAGGGGCGAGTAAAACTGCGGAATTTTCTGTGATGTTTTGATTTGTTTCTTGCCAAGTTTTATTCAGTTTTATAACGGCGGCTTCCTGCTGTACGATCCATTGCCATTTCTTTTCTGCTGTCTCGTGGCTGTTTTCTTATTTATCGGTCCGCATTATTTTTACTTTTAGTGCCATGAACATACCTTGATCGTCAGTGTTGTGTTTGTATTTGACGTAGTTCGGGATGACCGAGCAAAATGCGCTTGTTAGAAAAGCCCTTCTGAAAACATAACGTACTGTAGAGCGCTAAAAACGATACCTTTGACTATCCCTGCGCGCAACAATAAAATTTGTTCGTAATCGTTTATCGCTGCGCGGAAGATGACGGGCGGAATAGGGGATAACTTCAAGGATTCGGTTCCGCTATATATGGACAACACCTTCAGATCGGCCCGCTGTTTGGCTGGCATCCCCAATTGTCCATGGAGCAAGGTAACTGCTTACGCTTTCCTTCTGTTTCTTTGCGTTCCGCTGTGTGTTGACGCATAGCGCGTGTCCTGATTGTTTCAGATCAAACCCTTCTACAAAGCCTGTCCCAAGCTTCCGGCAGATGACAAGATTCGCGCCACTGTGGCGGGACATGATGTGGCAATTCCTAAGATTAACGAAGTTAACGCGGAAATCCGCTTAACGGGAATCGATCAGATCAATGTCGTTGCGCTGGGAATATTCGTTCTTGAATCGGGACTCCAGGTAATTTGACATCCTTTCTTTGGATGTTCTGTACGGGTGGGAGTTAGAATCGCACTTGTTACAGCATGAGGATAAAATTGTAAAGTATCTGATTGGATTACTGTCACGACTTCCCGATGTGGTCCATGTTAACGACCACAGTCTGCCCAACCACGATCGTAAGTCAAAGGAGGCTGCTGCATGCAATTACTCAGACTGAGCAGCACACCTTCACTATGAAAAATATTGCTACAGGGCTTCCTATCGGTGAACGATTCGCCTTCATCCTGAACACTCTGATGTGCGATATCGCAACAAAAAGCGTTGCTTTTGGAGCAGAGGTACATCGGCGCTCGTTTTAGGCAGTGTGAAATTTGATTTCGTTTCTTTTTAACTTTGTGCCTTTTGGCAGATCATCGCAAAGCAGATTGATGTTATCGAGGATTTTTCCCACAAACTGGTGAAGTATGTCCGCGATGACCAGCTAGCAAAGGAGAAACAACGTAAGTCATTTTAATTTACCGTTGACTGCTTTGGGACAATACTTGATATAAAAATACATTTAAGGAGAAATAACATGCAAGCATTTCCTTCGTGTAGATGCTTTGTGCTACGAGATTGTGCCTCCGCTGTTGGGTTTATTGCGTTCCTTTGGCCGCTTTTCAAAATCCAGTGTACCCCTTGTTTGTTCTATCTTCCCGGATGAGATTTTTGCCCGAAGAAAAGGGCTAAATATCAACACGGTGCAACTGCCTCTCGTACCGCGCTCGCTGTCGCGTGCCGCATCGTTGGTTCCTGCGAAGCACGAATGTCGATCTCCCGAAATTGCTCCGAATCCTCTGACGAATTTTCCATTTTTTCGTCGTCATTCTGACGGTGTCCACCATAAAGAGCATGCAAAAGCGGAAGATCCATCGCTCATGGAGGATCTGCGCGTGTATTTATTTTCCCAGTCGGGATCGTGCGTAGAAAATGTTGATAAGTTTGGTAGTCAGAGCATGGTGCTTCCCGTTGGAATGACGAAAAAGAAACTGGAAGACCTCTTTAAAGTGACGCGAGCTTTATTAGATGACAAAGTCACGGAGCAATTGGATACCAAACTCCAGGAGACACTGGCTGGCCAAAACGGCAGTAGCATTTATCCGTACAGGACCTACAGTGAAACGCTGCGTTTTGTACTTGTGGCAATGTGGAGACAGTTGTTTTACGATGATCAAGTTCATAAAGGATCCAAATTAGCCAAGGAGTTGAAGGGATTTTTTGAAGAATTATTTCGTCGCACTCAGACCTATCTGCAGCGGTCGTCGGGAAAAGAACAGAGGGAAGATACTTTAACTAGAGGCATGGTATGTTGAGCCTTTAGCCTTCAGAAACAATTGCTAGCTTCGTTTCCATTGCTGATGCCGGTCAAGTTCATCAGTTCAGCGCTGGGGTGTTAAAAAAATTCTTGGCCGGTTATTTAGGGAATAATTAAGGGCTTAGCTTAACGGATGGTACAAAACTTTCCATTTCCTCTCAAAAGAAGTGATTGTCGTATTTGTCGCACATAACAATTTCTTTATCGGTCAAATGCTGTTTTACAATTACAAAATACGTTTTTAGGGCAAAACCGTGTACGCCTCACGCCAAACAGTGTGTAGTGTGGCCATCTGCATTGATATCCTCGTGTGGTGTGCCGCTAGTTCTGGCGAAACTGATACTGTTATTTCCCATTTGTCCAGCCGTTTGAAGCCAGCGCAGCGCACGAGAACTCTGGCTATGCATTGTCCCATATTTATTTCTTGCTTAGAGGTAATGGAAAGTGTACTTTCGGAAATTTGTTTCTATACCAAGCAATTAGATGTTTTCTGTTTTAGGCGTTTGCCTTTCTTTCTAAAATGAACCGCAGTATAGCCAACATAGCGTTAAGCCATCTGCGAGATTTTCTTGTGGAACCGGACTCTCTTCTGATCAAACTTCAGCTTGGAGACAAAGACTCTTTGGCTCAACCGGGGCGATCATCGGCTGCGCCCAGCTTGAATCCAGCTTTGGCAACAAATGGGCATCAGTATGATACAATCACTAGAAGCACTGGTAATTTTGCACTCAGTTGGATAGAACAGAAATTTTTTAGAGTAGATATTCGTTGCAGATGCACTGTTGACAAAAGTGATTTTTATCCCATGAATCGTTAGTTTTTTTTTATTTTTCAGACATTGAGCGAATGGCATCGGTTGTGGAGGCACTAAAAGAGTGCTGTATCGAAAGCATTATTATCACATTGCGCATCAATCAGGAAGAACACCCGGATTCGGTCCAGGCGTTAATGGCGTACCTAAGCAGCAGTTTGTATCGAGTTGAGCAAACCGATCCTCGCTACATGGCCATGGCTTCAAATCTCCTAATGCTATTGGCGCGAATAGCAACTAAATTCAAAGACGTTCCAAAAACGGTGGAATCGGTGTTTAGCATCTGTCAGGATATCTTCTGTAAGACAACAAACCAGGTTGATGTGGTCATTGTGGATCAGCTGGCAAATATGGTCGTTGGTGGAGTGTACGAAGCGTATCCCTTGACGTTATTCAACATAGTCACACTGGAAACCAGTTCCGCGGCGTACGGACGACCCATCAGTTCTGACCGGCCCGATTACCGGCATGTTGCATTAGCGGTGATTCGCGGTTTGAAGACTATTGCCGAGGGCTTGGATAACCCGGACGATGTAATGGACTTTCTCAACCGAATGTTGGAACTGTTTATTCAGCTGGGTCTCGAAAGCAAAAAAGCCAATGAAAAAAGCGCGGCTATAAAAGCTTCCAGCAGCGCTGGAAATTTAGGTTAGTTAGGATAGTTGTTGTCCTCCTTGTTGTGAGGATGTTTGGCTTTCTTCGTTTTTTTTTGTTTTATCGCACTCGAGCTTCATGTGTTTAATTGCTTTTTTTGGAGTTTCGTTTCGAATGCTTATTTATTCCATGTACTGGTTGCAGGCGTACTAATTCCCGTCATTGCGACGGTAATTCGCAAAATACCAACTTTAAAAAACGCAAAGCCGCGGTTGCTGAAGCTTTTCCGGGATTTCTGGCTTTATTCGGCGATTTTGAGGTTTGCTGAGCCGGATTCGGGATTGTGGCCAGAAGAGTGGTTTGCGGGAGTATGCGATATTGCTGTAAAAACTCCTGCGTTGGTCACCAAAGAAGTCATTCTCCGGGCGGAGTTGGAGTATAATTCTGCATTGAAGAGCGATAGCTTGTCTGCCGTTGAATTGCAAGATATCAGGAACAACCTTATTGATCTCCTTAAAGCCAATGCTGATCTCTCGTACAAAATCAACCGCTTGAGTCTTGCCCAGTGCCTTTTCCTGCTTTCGGTTTATAGGTACAATGTGTACACCTTAATGTGTTTTTTTTACTTTTATGGAATTGTGATTCTTTGAGTGACGCTTAGCTGTTGGCTGGCACACGTAGGTAACTGAAATATTCTTGCAGACTGGAGAGGCTAAAAGTTACGCACTCTGACGATCCGGATGCCGTGAAACAGATATTTGCTTACCTAGAAGACTATTCACTTCAGAAAGATGACAGTAGGCTGTCTGTTTTCATCCCGAACTGTTTGAATGTTCCTGTCTTGCAACGGTTTCGTGTTGGTTTATCCAGGTGGTTTGCGGGATGCCGTTCAGGCTATTTCTTATAGCGTTCTGGATGCCTTTATTCAAAGAGCATCCGCATTGCCAAAAAATGATAAGCGCAACGCCGAATTAGATTCTTTAGCGCAGTATCTCCTGGTGATTTTCAACAATATTAACGGAACGATTCGCCAGATCGCCGATCAATGGCTGGCACGCTTGGTGGAAGTCTTCCCGCATATCTTATGGAGTCGAAAAGTGTTATGGACAATCTTGGATATCGCTCAGACTCTGTCAGCATCTCTTGAATCGGTGAGTACAGTTTGCGTATAACCGACTAAGCGAGGGCTTCTTGTACATTTAAAAGCTGCTGATGACTATAGCAGTTAAAGGTCATTAGCTGTTAAAGCCGTGGGCAAACTATCGGGTAGACATTACGCTGTTATTATGGCTATCGTTTCTGCTGTTGTTGTGCCGTGTTCGTTTCCTGGTGTTTCCTATTTTACTTTATTGCCTTTTTCTGAAGAGTCCAAATGAAGAGGATATCGTTCTGAGAGTGCCGAATACACCCTATTCGTTGCGTTTTATGGACACGATGGAAGGTCGAGAGCAGATCATAAAGCTATTTACGGGCCGTTGTGAAGATTTTATTGGAGAAGCCATGAAATGGGCACCGTTTGCCATTCGTTCCAATTTAGAACAGTACATGCTTGAAGTAACCAGTATTGTTCCTCTTCATAAACAGGATGCGCCTGAACCTGTAGGACTGAGTTACGCGGCAGAAAATCTGCTCCGGCAAGTGGGACTTAACGTTGGACCTGGTGTAAGTTGTCTGTTTGCTTCATTGTCATGCGTTAACAGAGTGGATTTCACTCTACATAAAAGTTTAGTTTTAAAAAGTGCTTTATAACGATTAGGGTTATCGCTCACTGATTCAAGATTTAGATTAAACTATTGCAACAGAATTTACTTGTGATGGCAGCATTATATTCTTTAGAGCGCTGCAACAAATCGAAAGTTTGCTAACAAGGACGTGTCAGCTTTCGTCATGGATTTCACATCAAGATGCCGTTATTCAGGGGAAGTGACCAGTATGAAAAGCCTTATGAAGATGGACGATCTGTGTAAACACCTAAAGGATGAGATGGTGAAAGCCTGCCGAGAAAAAAATGAGAAGGGATTCGAAAGTTTGGTTTATCGAATCTGCGCCGTCATTATCCAGTCCACTGATGATTACGGAATTTATTCCAGTAAGCATTGTTTGAGTACTGCATCTGCGTTATGTAGTGTTATTTCGTTCAAATTTGCATTATTTGTATTTCAGCTTGTGTTCGAAATCTTCTCCATCTGCTGACGTGGAGCGTCACTGAACTTTTTACCGTTCACACCGTTACTTGTGCTGTGAGATGTTGGCAATGGTTATTGGCAGCTAAACCTGACATTCATTTGACTTTCATCTACGAAATGATCTCAGCCTGGAATCAAACTCATCAGCTTAAGTTAGGTAGGTTTGCATGGTTAAAAATCCATACTTCAGTACTGATAATGTAAGTTTCTTAAAACGTTATTGCAGACATTTTTCTCTTTTTCAGTTGTCAAGTACTGGTTTAATAAATTAATTACAACGGTTTGTAGGGATGTTTGCGGAAATTGACGATGAAGATCCTCCAACTCCTTTGTCTCCTAATCACGATAAAGTGCGCGCTCCAGCTCCGGATGTGTTGCCACATTCTGTCTGGTGTAAATTTATCAACGAGCGGGTGGAGATTGCTCGCTATTACGACCAACAGGAAATCGACGTTTTTGTTGCCATGTTCAATCAATGTTTGGATGTCACTATCGGTAACAGGAGACGACAAAGAACTGTCCGCTACGGAGCCTGTCTTTTCCGCTTCTTGTCCAGTGGACTTCGACTTCTGCAGGACGATAACATTGAGAATACTCCAGCCAGGAATGCGTTGCGAGAACGGGTGTATGCTGCGGCGCTGGACTACTTCGCTGGTTCTATGGACTTTCCTCAGGATTTCAAATACGAACTGCGTGATGACATCAAAGTGTTGTTACGATTTTGGGTGCTGATGCACACCGATAAACGCTATCTGCATTGGGGTGACCAAGATTCAGTTGATGGTAGGGATCATGGAGTAGTCTGTTACGAATCAGTATTCAAAATTGCAATGTCACGGTTACAGTGGAAAGAACTATTTTGGAGGATTCTTTAGGGATCCATCCAAATAACCCTAAAGAATCCATTTTCAGATGGATTCTTCAGGGTTATTTTTGTGAAAGTATAGCGACGTCTCAAAGTACACCTGTAATATGTAGTTATCAAACACAAACTTTTGCTGTTTAGCAGGCCCTTACCCTGAAAAGCCCATCGCATCGGCTCCTAATACACTTGCGGTTAATCGGACCGGTTGGATGAATATTCCACAGTCAACTTCGCAGATGAACTTAAACATTGGCAAACGAGGTACGATATATCGCTGAGAGCATCTGACGAAAAACTTAGCTACTTTTAAGTGGGATCTCGAACTTTACAGCTGGTACACTGAGCAAGCGACAGGTGCGATTTAATATGGATTTCGCTAAAGTTTATGGAAAGCGTCGGAATTTGATTCTTGCGCTCTTGGCTTCGGAATACGATCGTTGGGTTGTGTGGTATGATCCCTTGAATCAGCTGACGGAAGATTTGGCGGAAGTCAACGAAACAAAACTTCCTGCATACATGCTGCAGACGGCTGCGGTGAAGATCTTAAGAGAATACGCTCGCATAGCCTGGCAGTGCTCCGCTGTACTCGCGGTGCATTTACCTCCGAGGTGATTTTATGAAAAGTAAACCGCTACTTAACAGCATTTTGACACGTGACTGTATTATAGTCTGGGTCATAATCTGCAAAACATCTGAGTCCATTTTGTTATAAAATTATTGGAAACCATACGGATTTGTTAGTTTAAAGCGACCTGAATTGCTGGATACAATTGTTCTGCACGAGTACAACTACCATCAACCATCATAATTTTGTTATCAATATAATATATTTTTTGGGGCGCTATGTCTACTTTTTAATTTAGTTAATCGCGGAGCGTTGCATTTTTCATTGCAGGTTCCGGTATGCTGAAGTGTTGCTTAAGGAAGTCACTCGTCTGGTTCGTTATGATCCAGAATCCGTGATGGGGGTTCCGGCCGCTTTGAGCTATTTTGCCACGCCGGAATGCATTGAAGCTGATCCTCCCGAATTGGTCAATGTGCTCATGTGGGCAAAATGTTCTCCGGTTCATGCTTTGAATCTCTTCTCAAAAGACAGCCCTCCCAATGCGGTCACCCATCAGTATGCTTCGCGAGTGTTACAGGAATATCCCCCGGAAGTGATGATTTTCTACATCCCGCAAATAATTCAAGCTCTTCGCTATGATACGGTAAGTAGGCCGCAGTCACTCATTTTCATGAAAGGTCGGGCATGCCTCATGATGGTCATGTTATCAGCAGCGGTTACGATTCGTTTTGTGTGATATGGCATTCTATTATGCATCGTTATTTCTGCAGATGGGCTACATCCGTCAGTATGTTGTGGCAGCCGCATCGCATTCGAATTTGTTAGCACATCAAATAATTTGGAATATTCAGTGTAATAAATATACCGATGAAGAGGGGAAAAATGAAGATCCGATATTGTTCAAGAAACTGAACAGTATTCAGGAAGAAATTATTGCACAGTTGGCTAGTGGACCGGCCAGAGTTTTCCGGGAACGGGAATTCGAATTCTTCAAGGAAGTGACAGACATCAGCGGGTTGATCAAGCCTTTTGAAAAAGGAGAAAAACGTAAACAAGCATGTCTGAAAGAACTGGCAAAAATCAAAGTTCCTCCAGGTATTTGTCGGTGACCAGTTTTTAGCTATTACGATCCCATTCCGATGTACATACAGTTTTTGCTTATAAGAATTTGCGACTGGGTTATCACCTCATATGCATTAGGTTGTTACCTACCCTCGAACCCGGAAGCGGTGGTTATCGATATCGATTCGAAATCTGGGTTACCTCTGCAGAGCGCCGCGAAGGCTCCCTATTTGGCTAAGTTCCTAGTGAAAAAATGCACTCTCGACGAGCTGGAAGAGATTGGTACGTCTGAAGATCCTGCATCAAAAATACCCAAAGACGCTCCACAGTATTGGCAGGCCGCTATTTTCAAAGTCGGAGATGACGTGCGGCAGGATATGCTGGCGTTACAAATTATGCAGTTGTTCAAGAACGTTTTCAGTATGGTAAGGGAATATATCATGCTTAGGAAACAGTATGATAGAAGAAAGATGGAACTGTTGTGAAATTGTGTTACTCTGCAGTTTTATGTGGTATCGTGTAAATTGGCGTTACTCTTCTTTACAGTAACTTATTTGTGAGTCTGTCTTTGAATTTTGCAGGCTGGATTAAACTTGTTTGTGTATCCCTACCGTGTCGTAGCCACCGGCCCGGGGTGTGGCGTTATTGAATGTGTTCCCAGTTCGAAATCCCGTGATCAGCTTGGAAAACAAACGGATACGTTGATGGAGTATTTTGAAGCGAAATATGGCGACAAATCCTCACCTGAGTACCTTCAGGCCCGACGCAATTTTATCCGCAGTATGGCAGCATACAGCCTAATCACGTTCATTCTGCAAGTGAAAGATCGTCACAATGGCAACATTCTCATTGACGAGCATGGTAAATTTCTGCAACTTTTGCGGATATTATTTGTCCATTTCCTGATCTCCTGTTTTCTGTAGGGCATATCATTCATATTGATTTCGGCTTTTTGTTCGAAAGCAGTCCGGGTGGCAATCTGGGATTCGAGCCCGATTTCAAATTAACCCCGGAGTTTGTAGGGATGATGGGCGGTGCGATGGAATCTCACTTGTTTAAGTGGTTTATGGAGCTCACTGTCCGCGGATATTTGGCTGTCCGGTACGAACTGTGTTTGTTACAATTTTCAGTGTGCTTTTGTGTATACGAAGTGACTTCTTGTCTTTTGATATCTTAATCGATATAAAGTTCTGTTGATTTAGCAACAAAGTGAACGTGTAAGATCTTACTGACATTATTTTCCTTTATTGCAGGCAATTCCGGGAAGAAATTTGTACTTTGGTCAGTATGATGTTGGATACTAATCTGCCGTGCTTTCGTGGCCAGACTATCCCGAAATTACGAAGTCGCTTTTCGCCGAATACGTCCGAAAGAGAGGCCGCTGATTACATGGTGAAAGTGATCCAGGGATGCTACCTAAACTACCGATCTCGCGCTTATGATATGCTTCAGTATCAACAGAATAAAATTGCTTATTGAGCCAATATTATCTCGCTTGTTTTTTTGTATGGACTTAAGTTGAAGTGACATTGTTTTTGTGACGATGGAATTATAAATTAATTATGATGACATCGTCTGTATGTAAAAGGTTGCTTTGGCGTTTGAAATGAGCTTATTAATTTGATGTCATTATGTGATGCTTTTTTGTTTGTAGTATTTTGTTCTTTTAAGTTGGAAATATTAGTTAATGTAGACAAAGGCTAACTGCAGAGTTAAAACGACTAAAGGTCACCCAAACAGCTCTTGTAATGCGAAAGTATTTGTCTCCATTTCTCTTGATCGCTTAGCTGCAAGCTGAGTGTGTTTACATGCATCGAAGCATGGCTGCGTTTTATTTACACAATGTACAGCTCCCATTACCAAACTTTCTTTATCATCGTAAATAACATACAACAGCAATTTATAACAATTTACAATAACTACCATAAGTACATATAGCTAGTGCATTATCGTTTTTATCGGATCGTTTCCCGTGTGCTTAGAAGATCTCCCAATAGGAATAAAGATATCAACGGGAGAATTGCTGCTGCTCGGACTTTGTTGATAGCGACCTGAACTTTGTTGGTTGGCTACCATCTGCTTCACCGTGGGATTGTCTTCATAGCCGGCAACGGGCGCAGAAAAGTATCCCTGTCTGACTGGCGCTGTTTCGTATTTTGCCTGCATGGAAGCGCTGGGAAACTGCTCACCCGATGAATCCAGTGATTTGCCTAATTTTCCACCGCCGAACAGCGCGGCAATGATTGCCGGAACGGGTTTGCGATGGTGCTCACGGTCCACTTCGTAGCCCAGCGTGGGATATTTGGCCGGCGAATAACTCTCATCCATGGGCGGTGGCGATTTCTTCTCCTGCACGGTCACAGGATCCCGCTTATACTCGGCCTTGGTGGCGGTGAAATACGTGGGATAGTTGGCCGGTTTGGACGGGGCACTGTCGGTTTCATAGGTGATGTCCTGTCCCGGCGGGGTCACCGTGGCGGCGGCTTGATAGGCAATCGGTTGCTTTAATCCCACGTTATTAAACACCGGATACAAGTCGTATCCGGGCGCAGTGGCAGGCATTCGCTGTTGTTGCTGTATTTGCTCATTCTGGTAGGGAATCTTTAAAGTGATAGCCGGTAATTGATCATATGTCATCTGTAATTTCTTTTCATGTTGAATATTGGGTACCTGTTCATACGCTACTAATGGCTTCTTTTCCGGCATAAAACTGGGCATCTGGTAGATGGTTTTGATGTCAGGATAATTGGCAAATTTTTCTTGATAGACCATGGGCATTTCTTGCTGTATGATCGGTTTCTTGTTCGTATAAGGATAGCTGCCTAATCCCAGCGCATAAGGATTAGTGCTCGGTGCCGAGAGGATGGTCGCCGGCCGGTCCGGTTCGGCGGCGGCATAGACAATGGTCGGCTTTTGGGCCAACGCTGTCGGTAGTGGTTTCTGGTAGGTGATTAAGCCGTCTGGGAACTGTTTGCTGTACATTTCCTTAATATTAATATTATCCGCTGCAACCGGTTTCTCTCCGACCGGAAGAGAATACACGACCTTTTGCTCGCTCATCGGCGGAAAGGAAGGGGCTGCGCCGTACGGCATTTCGGCTGCCGGTTTCGCATTCTCTACATAAATGGCCGCTGCGGGTGGCGATTTGCCGATAATGCTGCCATAATCGCCTTCCAGAATCGCTTTGACGGAGGGAATATTCTGACTGTAGCTGGGCATGTAAGGTGATGCCGGCGGACCGCTTAGCAGGGCTTTTAAAAATTCCCGATAATTCCCGTACGGAGAACCGGTTAGCGATGTCTTGGGATACACAGATTTGTAGTACGCTCCGCTTTTATCGTACAACGGCTTCGTGGGATACACCAACGGATCCACCGGATACGGATCGTATTTGTAGCCGTAATGTGAATTGGGATAGCTGGATTTCTCCGCCGAATCGGCAGCGCTCTTGAAGACGCCGATGTCGTATTTGGAGGGCAGTTTGGGCAGCACGACATTATTGGAGGAGTAGGAATAGGGCGCCGGCGGGGGTGGGAAGTAGCGTGGCGAGTATTCCGCCGGGGGGCCGGGTGGGGGCGGCGGTGGAGGCTGGTAAAAGGGCGGATCACTGCGATACGACGGGGGAAACGGCGGCGGATAGGAGCCGGGATTCAGCGGCGGATAACTGCCGAAACCCAGCAGAGAGAACAAGCCGCTGAGCGGATTCTGGCCGGCATAATTGGGAAAGGGGATGCTGGGCGCCCCGAATAACTGGCAATGGACGAACAGCGGCCAAAGTCCCGATAATCCCATTAACGGCATCGCCACTCTGGCAACATCCAGCATAATGTTATTATACATAGTGAGTTACTAAGATTTCACAACGCCGCAGGGCTGACTTTAAATTATTGTGTTGCGAGTGGTGGACGCGCGCGGGATAGCGTTACTGTGAGTGACTGGTGAATGTCTGTCGACATATCGGGCTGGTTTTATAAGATTAAGCGCATCGCGGCGCGCCGCGCGGGACCTCGAGGCTGTCTTGTCGGTGCGGATGCGACCAGTGGCCAAGAGGCCTATACGCTGGCGCTGATCAGGAACGACAAACTGGGGTGTCACAAAAACCTGCTGCACAGTGCCGGTGTTGATTTAGTGTAATCAGATGGCACTCAGAGGTGATGCGTAATCCTTCATAACAATCAAGATTTGTGTATTTAGGGGGCTTAATAGGCAAAATGGACAAGCTTCCTGGCTTTACACTATGTCTGTTAAAAAATTATTTTTTTTAAAAAGCCAACGTGCCATCAACAGGTACACGCATCGTACATGTGCAAGCCTGAAGATGTAAGCGCGTATAACAACAGCTGACACCTAATACTGTCATAACTCGTAGCATAATATCACCAAAGTTTAGTGATATTATGCTCGTAGGTGTATAGTACTTCATTATTTTAAAACGCTAAAAAACTAATATATAAGAAAGCAAGGATGCAATCGCGCTGTGTTGCAGCATTATGCGGACCACAGGACGGACGAAAATTGCAGCAAATTGAAAGGAGCAACAAAAGTACTGTAACCAGTCTAAGCTCTTTGTTAAAGTGCTTCGATTTGTTAGACTGTTTTGTGCGCGATGTAAATTTGCTTCTGCTGTCGTTATCGAACTGGTCATCCACGCGAAAAAGTAGATATTATTTGCGCTAAACTTATTGTTAAAGATAAAACATAATTTATTATTACCTTCTCTAGATCTTGTAGCCGACGTTTCTCTGATCCACGAAGCAAAACAAAGAAATATTAATGTGACATGAAGTGTAGCGAACAACGTAAGGTCATTATGCACTGCTTTATACGGTACTTGCACAATACCAGCACAGCCGAATTAAAATATACTGTAAAGTATATCGCAATTGCCAAATCAAAATATCAATATACACGCACAATTCTTTGAAAGACTCTATCGAAGGTTATTTGTGCAGCTGAATGTCAACGCCACTTGAGCAAATGTTTTGAGTTTTTATACCACACAAGAAACAGATAAATTTAATAAAAATCGTTGTTTGTGACGTGTAACCTTTAAGAGCAGCCAGTTCCGGCACAGTTCGTTGTGAAGACTTAGGCTTGAGCTTGTTCCGCATTTCTACCGACTTCTGCGTGTATCGAGTTCTTTGAGCTTCCATCATTTAGATCAGGGTCAAATGATGCAACCTAACAGTACTTCACGACAAAACAGCCCTTGAAGGATCTTTCCAGTTCTCCATGCATTCATGTTGAGATACTCTTCCTGCGTCAACAATTTACACTGGCATTCATTCATTACTCAAAAGGCACTCGCGAGTTAAGACGCCGTAAAATTGCAGTTCACTTGCTTATAGTGTTTTAATACTATCAGCACAATAACACCTCTACCTTGTTTCAACGATTAAACCCTGCAAAAATTTTGATTAAAATTTCAGTAAATTAGTTACGATGCTTATGCTTTCGGTCAGTAGAGAAAACACCAAGTTTGGGATTGCTTAGTACAGCCATGCATGGCTGCAGAGCAATTTACAGTTAGAACGATGAGTGCGGTCACGTTACGGATTGAAATTAAAGTTTAGCTGCAGGTTGCAAAATACAGCATTTTGTGGTATTACATGTACAAGTTCAGTACAGTCCATTATTATGCACAGCACACAACATACGTATATTTACATAGATGATATGTATACGATACGTATGCGTAAAGAAACGATGTCAGAAGACTACATGTGATAAACCGATTTTTGTAAGTAACACTGTAAGCCACTGTATTGGATATTCCAACTGAGACCATGATCCACGGACGAAGGCCAGATGCTTATAAAGGTCACGCGCGCGCTGTTATATACCCGGCCTTGTGCACACACAGTCGGTGTTTCTTGAGGAAAGCATGATTAGTACAAAATCAAAAACTGAATAAGATTAATATTACGTAAATACTTTGCTTTTTATACTTATTTATTTGCAAATTTCAAGCTAACAATAAATATTATACGCTGTTTCATTGTTATTTTAACCACCAACCTTATAATTTTCTGACATTGGCTTACATATCTGGAATCACATCTTTGATGTGCAGCCCGATAATGATGTCTATACATGGTTGCATTCTATACTTCTACTAAAACTATGCTCCTTTAATCGTGCATAAGGTTACGGTGTTCGTGGTCGTATACGACAATTCACAATTAATTTAAGAGTACATACAGTACCTTCTTACCAGTTAGTTCTTACAGTCACGGGCAAGCGATTTACTGATAAATCAGCTTATCTAATCGCAGCTCGCAGCACGTTGTCCTTGCAGCTTGCCTACAATTTTTTTATACACTTTAAGCATCGTTCGCAGCCAAACTAAACCGGAGCTGGTAACTTAGCATTCAAGTCAATCATATCCTGACGTTAAACTTTCGAAAACCAAAATCTCCGAAGTTTCTCAGCAATGGCTAAACATTCGGAAAGAGTGGAAGACGTGTTTAATGCTCTTCCGGACGAACAGCGGGATTTCGTGTACAAAATTCTTTACGGAAAATCTCCTTCGTAAGTATAGTATTTAGATAATACTCGTACAGTTTTGAGCGCAGTATCTTTTAACAAAATTCAATGCTTAAATTCAATGCTTAATTATCCAATTACTGCTAGAACTCTATAGCTTTATTTACCTAAATAAACGTCGCACTGAACAGCTTCAACCGGCAATTTGCATAAGTATATTTTATATTCGGTTTTCCTATCCCACGCAAGACTCTGGAGCTGGAGCACCCCAGATTTGTAATTAAGCCCACGTTTTAGTCGCAACTGATATTTCAAAACAACTCAAAATGCATTATTCAGTATAGCTTGCTAATTGCTTAAAATAGCTCACTCACTGACTGCATTGGTCTGCATGGAATAGGTATACGAGTACCATATATGTTAATAATAGCAATAATAATAAGCACATTACTGCTTTAATTTAACAATGGTGGGCCATGGCTGTTGTGTAATTCTTGTTTGACGACATTAAATTTTGACGATTTTTTTCATGCCGCAGTGATCTGAGTCTTCAGCTTCCACCGGAAGCGTTAGCCATCGCTAAGAAACATGGATTCGATATGCAGGGTTACCAGTTCACGGCTGCGACAGAATCCACTCGCCCAGCGAGAATCGTTCGCGTCGGATTAGTGCAGACGTCCAGTACGAGTACAGTAGTCTCACGGAAAGCCGTATTACAACTAACCACGTCCACTTCTGGATCAGACTACTTCTTGATCGCGTAAAAACGTTTATCTTTCCCTTTGAGCAGTCGCAGCTGCAACCACCGAGCCGGTGCAAATTCAACGGGATGCCATTTTCGAGAAAGCAAAATGCTTCTTCGACGCGGCCAGTAAATCGGGAGTCAATGTCGTCTGCTTCGAGGAATGTTGGCGTAAGACAAGTGTAAACAAATATTAATATTTATATGTGCAGACTGTAGTATGATTGCGATTAAAAGTATGCTACGTTGACGCTACAGTAGTATATTGACCATAATGATTTTTCAGATATGCCTTTTGCGTTTTGCACGCGCGAGCGATTGCCATGGTGCGAATTTGCGGAGGAAATTTCTAACGGGCCCACTGTCTCGCTTTGTTCAAAGGTGACCACTGACAACGGACAGGACATAGACCATTTCACCCCTTTTATCAATTATGAAAGGGGGAATAAGTTTTCGTTAATCGAGCAAAACAAATCTAACAGCAGTATCGCACTGCTTCTGTTCTTCACTAAATAGGGATACGAGCATGCTTACAGTGGATGTTTTTCATAATAGTTCGAATTGTTGTAGATGGCGAAGCAATATAACATGGTGGTTATCTGCCCGATTTTGGAGCGCGACACTCTTCGCGGTGATATAATTTGGAACACCGCTGGTAGTTGTTTGCACTAAGTCTCCCCGTCACCAGGTACACTTTACGTTTTGCTTTTGCAGTGGTGATCAACACTGACGGAAGTGTAATTGGTACTCAACGAAAAAATCACATTCCTCGCGTTGGAGATTTCAACGAGGTGAGAATGTAAAAATTCTCTATAATTATGAGAATGTTTATACTCAAGTCTGCGTTAAGTCGGAAGTAAATTACTTATATAGAGTACGTATTATATGGAAGGAAACAGTGGACATCCAGTTTTCCAAACTCCATACGGTAATATGATCTGTTTCTGTGAGGAGTAACACGGGATACTGCACCGAAGTATCTTGTTCATAATGGTGTTTTTCACTCTGCAGGTCGCATTGGTATCAGTGTTTGCTACGGTCAGTGGAGCTCTTTACGGTCATGAGTCATGACGGAATAAATAATTTATTAGACGGATACTTTTTTGAAAAATAATTGTCGTTTATGATATCTAACGATTTAGGATAAGCTATTTTTTCCAGATCGACATCATCCACTCAACTGGTTTATGCTGCAAGTGAACGGTGCAGAAATTGTTTTCAATCCTTCTTGTACCGTGGCGGGATTAAGGTAAACCGAGACATTAGCCCAGCGCTATTGCTAGCCGAAGGTCCGGGACAGTTTCACATTTAGCTACGCTGATCGAATTTAAGAATATATAAGTGCCAAATTAAAGCGTTCATTGAGCATACTTCAATACTTTTTTGTATGTTTTAGCGAGCCACTATGGGGTGTGGAAGCTAGAAATGCAGCAATTGCTAACAGGTGAAACCATTTTAGTCTGGTACAAGAGAATGTTCCACTACACTTACCGTCAGAAGTATAGAAACTCCAGTTAAATAATATTGTGGTAACTGCTATACGAGTACCCTGACAGCCATATTAAAGTGCGTTAGTTATGCTACACCTTGGTTATGCTATAAAGTACGTGCAGATAAGCATTAATCTTGCCGGTTTTCTTTCAGTTATTTCACGTGTTCGATTAATCGTGTTGGAACAGTAAGCTTAATTACTTACTTACATTTTCTTTATCGAATTCCGCTTGAAGATATTTGACTGAGATTGATTGTAAACTCGATTAATACAGGAAACCTTTCCTAATGCATTCACATCCGGAGACGGGAAATCAGGTATACCGAGTCTACGGTGACCTGTCTGCTTGCCGTGATACGTCAATCGATCGATCGATGTTATTTTTCTTATAATCTGTAGTTGCTGTTATTTATTTATACGCCACGCACTAACTCTGCATAAAATTAATGATGTTTTTGGTACTGATATGCACAAAACAAACGTATAGTTGTGAATGGGTTTAAAATTATGTGTCAATACATTCCTTTAAGTAATTGGATTTGGACATGTGTTCAGAATTTAAACACTGGAAACTGTATGCTTATTTTGTAGCTCACAAAGATTTTGGACCATTTTATGGTAAGAGAGCTGCCGTGACCTATTAATAATATTTTTATTCATTAAATAAACTATCCGAACATTAATTACCAAGGTCTGGAAGTTAAAATTGCTCGGATACCAGGTGAAACTATAATTACTTATGCAAGCGTACGCTCATGTTCATAGACACGCAAATGCACGTATAAACAACACGGAGTTGTCTGCCGTTGACGTCTAGCATGAGACCGGAAGCGGCCACTGCGTAACGTTGTGATCTGATTTTAGGATCCAGTTACGTCACAGCACCAGATGGGATTCGAACGCCGGTTAGTTCATGATACTTCACACATAGACGTGGAGATTGGCCCAAAATAGCTCAGCATCTCCCTTGAGGTACCTTTGTTGCCTTAAAATAGGGTTTGTCACGTGAGCGCGATGGTTTGCTTGTGGTGCAAATGGATTTAAACCTCAACCGCCAAGTGTCGGATAAATGGGGATTCAAGGTATTGTACTTTACTTATTACTCTAATCAGCCACGAGTATTGTTAATACATACAAAAGGTACTCGTAGCAATGCAGTGCTATCCACAGTAAAGTGCAACAAAAGATAATGACAGTATTTGTACAATATTTTTACGCCTGCAAAAGACATACAAAAAAATAACTTCGATCCTGCATTTTCAGATGACTCAACGCTTGGATCACTATGCTGCAGAGTTTGCGAAACTTGCCAAGCGAGAATACTTGCCCCATACTGTCCACCCACCTAATAATGCGAAAGGTCAAAACGTTCAGGAGAATGGATCCAATTAAGAACATCACAACTAAGCTACGAGTATCGAGTTTTTAGTTTGTTAACGACAACGGTGCAAATGTTTATTGGTGTTATTACTGCAAATCAAATTGTTTCAGGTATGAAGTACGCAATATTTACTAATACACATGCCGAAAAAGTTTGCATTGTCAATGTTGAGTCTGTAAGTAAACTGTTTGTTGAGCATGCTTCAGTAAACGTTAACTGTTACCAGTTTTTCTAATAGACATTCATTATGCTGATTAATTATTTATGGCGGTGTAATTACAAGTAGTCACGCTGTTTTAGTATGGTACTACTAATTTACTAGAGTGGTACAACTATTCCGTAAATGTGGAAGTACGATAGGCAGCGTAACTGCAATACACTACTTATTGTGGAATTACGCATAGTGTTAATAATCGGACGTAAAACAACAAAGTCGGCATTGCGGCTCACACATTAAAGTTTCTACAAAGTTGTTTATAAGTGATTTTGTTCTTTCGACGTCGCAAACACAATGTAGTAAATATCGTGCTACACGTAGGTCCCCAAGGTTGAACAACGACTGCCGGCTGGTGATCGTGATCATATTTTCCGGTTTGTTCACATATTTGCCGGATTTAGCAGGCTTTCGTTTTTCGTCTTCTCTAGGGTAGCTGATCTCTGTTCTCCGGAGATACACTGCATTACACACATACGGCATATAATAGTATTTGGCAGATCAAAAAATTCTGATCGATTTAAAAGAGAATAATATCTCTAGGTCTATTTTCTTATTGTGGCATGTTGTACAAAAGAGTAAAATTTTTATCACCCAATGCAAATTATTTAATTTGGCACACCTGCAAATAGAACCACTTATTGCATATTTTTTATGATTAGTATCATCAATTTTGTAGAAGCATTCTTGGTGTCCATCTATACTCGTAGGGCAGATTTTGTATGCTATGCTGGCCGTTTTATTGTTGTATATTATAATACATATATATAATGTATAACGTATCTACAATACAATTGACACTCTGACTGCAGTACTCATCCGTACAGTACTTACATTTTAACAATTATTCCGTAACAGCAAAGATTTGCTGTTATGCAGGAAGTGTGAAGCGTTATGACAGGGAAGGTTCAAAGGAATTTGCGTACGAGTACGAAATGGAATATTACGCATCCGGAGCTTTGGAGATTTACAACTTATGATGAATCGGAATAAATGGTCGATACGAGCCGGAGCTGTGACGGGGATAATGCGCAGTACATGAAGTTTTCTGGGCATGGCTGGGAAGGCCTACCAACAGCGCATTTCCGGTTCTCTGTCTGGCTATTAAAATTCACCGTCGTTCAGTGAACGGTGAATAGACCAGTCGCTCATTTGTCAGTAGAAGTACTGTACTTACTGGCTGTGTGAATTCTTGTGTATTAACCGCCAGGCCCAGTCCAATGCGTGCGAAGTGTGCACTGTACGCCGTAAAGTACGGTACAGCCGATCTATCATGTTGGCTCCCTTTCACCATCACGTTCATCCCAAATTTGGGCTGCCTTCACAATATCTGGATACATGTCCGACAGGAGTTTGACTTTTCATTGATAGTATTAGATCAGACTTCCGGGGCTTGTCTGAGGGAAAGAAGTGGCTGCCTCTTGACGGGTATGCAGTGTGTGCGATATATATTTCTCAATTTGTTTGTTTGCCCTGTCGCGCAGTGTAAATCTTGTTAATATGTCAGCCGTCTGGTGACTGTTTAACGTGTTTTCTTAGATTAGGCCAGACCGGTCGCTGCGTGGAGTGTGTTGTGATTCGTGTGAAAACATCATCATCATCACCTCTCAGTATCATGACCGTTGCCAGAATGCCGCACTGGTTCGGGCACGAAGCGCAGAAACACTATCGCTGCACGGTGAAGTATCTGGACGATTCATCATGGGAGACCACGTATACTAAGAGCGAAGACAGCCAGAAGCTCTTCGACCGGATCTGCGACCATCTTAATCTCATTGAAAAGGACTACTTTGGCCTGCGTTTTGTTGACGAGAAGAAGCAGCGTCGCTGGCTGGATTTAGGGAAGAATGCACGGAAGCAGCTGAAGAAGGCCGGAAAAGATGTGGACAATGTTATACTGTGTTTCCGCGTCAAATTCTACCCGCCCGATCCCATACTGCGCCTCCATGAGGAGCTGACGCTTTATCAGTTATTCCTGCAGTTGCGTCGCGATCTCCAGGTAAAAACACGGTGCTCTGCCACTGGCGTCTGCTGTGTATGGCGCTGAAAAGTTCGATTAGGGATTTTCTTGAGAGCGGGTATTGTGTGAGAGTGTGTGTGTGAATGCGAGTTGCCAGTGGAAAGAGCTGACAACCGGCGCTCTCCACTCGCTATTGATTTCTATTTTTTTTGCGTGATCATATTGATTGGCAGTTCATATATGCGGGAAGAGCGTGCATCGGTTGTTTCATGCGTTATAGTTAGTAATCGGCGGGGCTTGACAGTGACATGCGTCAGCAGTATCAGTTAATCCTTTTTAAGCATTTTTCCTTTTTAAGAGCATCGCCAGAATCCGGATTCCGGATCCTGGAGACCACTTAAATTTGTATGCACTTTATAGGAGTATGCAGGGAGATCCTAATTACGCAAAAAAAGAATTATCGTGCGGCAGCGTACCAGATTTTGACGATTGTGCTTAAAACTAGCGACAAAAACAGTTTGATGAAAATTGTCTGCTTACGAGACTACATTTAAAGTATTTTATCGGACCATCCCCTCCTGTTTCAGTTGTGTAAAGCGTAATACCGGAAAATTTGAATGATTTCGTAACTTTTGAACCATGCGTATATGCTATCGTCATCACGGACATGACAGATGAGTCAGGATGGCACCGGTTTTAACAGACGATCAGTGATTTTTTGCTTTACACATTTATTATTACCAAAGTGACAAAACCCGCCATAACGTTAAAAAAGCGAATGGTCAACATTCTACTAGCAAATTATGATGGTCAGTGCGCAAGGGAAGCATTAGCCGCTTGATCGGGGGAATTGTGTGGAAGTCATAGATAGATCATTGTATGTGTTACAAAAGTGTTCTAACTATTGGCAGCCATACTAATCAATGTAATCATTACCGTAATTGTGTTCCAGGTATTTTGATCTATTTATTCCCTGCGTGGTGGCTGTACATGTTGGTAGTTAAGCGTATTAAAGCGCCATTGCAAGAAAACAGCTTGGATTATCGATTCAGATTGAAAATTATTACTTATATCCCCGTCTCTCATACGAGACAACCGGTACACTGCAAACTGTAGAAGATTATTGTGTTCAATACAGACTGTGGTACTTATGTGGCATTGAAATTGCGAGAACTGATCGTGATTGCCAGAGTGGCAGACTTGTCGGAGAGTTGCAGTTGCGGGAATTCATCAATTTATTTGCAGTGAGATGGGTCGATAGGGAAGTCCTGGTCAATATGGACTGTCGTTAATTACTTATCCTTACGTGCTTGGGGATGCTGACAGTCGACATAGCCGCTGCTTGTTCAAAAGAGCTACATCACTTCACAATCAGGCAGAAGCATTAACACTGTTCTTACCAGTGGGAGAGGGTGTAATGTATTATTTTTACATTTAACAATTATTCGTAACAGCAAAGATTTGCTGTTATGCAGGAAGTGTGAAGCGTTATGACAGGGAAGGTTCAAAGGAATTTGCGTACGAGTACGAAATGGAATATTACGCATCCGGAGCTTTGGAGATTTACAACTTATGATGAATCGGAATAAATGGTCGATACGAGCCGGAGCTGTGACGGGGATAATGCGCAGTACATGAAGTTTTCTGGGCATGGCTGGGAAGGTCTACCAACAGCGCATTTCCGGTTCCTCTGTCTGGCTATCAACATTCACCGTCGTTCAGTGAACGCTGAATAGACCAGTCGCTCATTTGTCAGTAGAAATAAGTACTGTACTTACTGGCTGTGTGTATTCTGTGTAGTAACCGCCCAGTCCAATGCGTGCGAAGTGTGCACTGTACGCGGTAAAGTACGGTACAGCCGATCTATCATGTTGGCTCCCTTTCATCATCACGTTCATCCCAAATTTGGGCTGCCTTCACAATATCTGGATACATGTCCGAGAGGAGTTTGACTTTTCATTGATAGTATTAGATCAGACTTCCGGGGCTTGTCTGAGGGAAAGAAGTGGCTGTCTCTTGACGGGTATGCAGTGTGTGCGATATATATTTCTCAATTTGTTTGTTTGCCCTGTCGCGCAGTGTAAATCTTGTTAATGTCAGCCGTCTGGTGACTGTTTAACGTGTTTTCTTAGATTAGGCCAGACCGGTCGCTGCGTGGAGTGTGTTGTGATTCGTGTGAAAACATCATCATCATCACCTCTCAATATCATGACCGTGGCCAGAATGCCGCACTGGTTCGGGCACGAGCGCGAAACATATCGCTGCACGGTGAAGTATCTGGACGATTCATCATGGGAGACCACGTATACTAAGAGCGAAGACAGCCAGAAGCTCTTCGACCGGATCTGCGACCATCTTAATCTCATTGAAAAGACTACTTTGGCCTGCGTTTTGTTGACGAGAAGCAGCGTCGCTGGCTGGATTTAGGAAGAATGCACGGAAGCAGCTGAAGAAGGCCGGAAAAGATGTGGACAATGTTATACTGTGTTTCCGCGTCAAATTCTACCGCCCGATCCCATACTGCGCCTCCGCAGGAGCTGACGCTTTATCAGTTATTCCTGCAGTTGCGTCGCGATCTCCAGGTAAAACACGGTGCTCTGCGTCACTGTGTATGGCGCTGAAAAGTTCGATTAGGGATTTTCTTGAGAGCGGGTATTGTGTGAGTGTGTGAATGCGAGTTGCCAGTGGAAGAGCGACAACCGGCACTCCACTCGCTATTGATTTCTATTTTTTTTGCGTGATCATATTGATTGGCAGTTCATATATGCGGGAGCGTGCATCGGTTGTTTCATGCGTTATAGTTAGTAATCGGCGGGCTTGACAGTGACATGCGTCAGCAGTATCAGTTAATCCTTTTAAGCATTTTTCCTTTTTAAGAGCATCGCCAGAATCCGGATTCCGGATCCTGGGACCACCAAATTGTATGCACTTTATAGGAGTATGCAGGAGATCCCATTACGCAAAAAATTATCGTGCAGCGTACCAGATTTTCGACGATTGTGCTTAAAACTAGCGACAAAAACAGTTTGATTTTGAAATTAGGATGGTTTTAGCTGATATACTGCAGAAACTATTATTCGGAATTATTTATCAATTTGTAAAAAGCGTAATACCGGAATTTGAATGATTTCGTAACTTTTGAACCATGTGTATATGCTATCGTCATCACGGACATGACAGATGAGTCAGGACGGCACCGGTTTTAACAGACGATCAGTGATTTTTTTGTTTTACACATTTATTATTACAAAAGTGACAAAACCCGCCATAACGTTAAAAAAGCGAATGGCCAACATTCTACTAGCAAATTATGATGGTCAGTGCGTAAGGGAAGCATTAGCCGCTTGATCGGGGGAATTGTGTGGAAGTCATAGATAGATCATTGTATGTGTTACAAAAGTGTTCTAACTATTGGCAGCCATACTAATCAATGTAATCATTACCGTAATTGTGTTCCAGGTATTTTGATCTATTTATTCCCTGCGTGGTGGCTGTACATGTTGGTAGTTAAGCGTATTAAAGCGCCATTGCAAGAAAACATGTACAGCTTGGATTATCGATTCAGATTGAAAATTATTACTTAATTATATCCCCGTCTCTCATAAGACAACCGGTACACTGTAAACTGTAGAAGATTATTGTGTTCAATACAGACTGTGGTACTTATGTGGCATTGAAATTGCGAGAACTGATCGTGATTGCCAGAGTGGCAGACTTGTCGGAGAGTTGCAGTTGCGGGAATTCATCAATTTATTTGCAGTGAGATGGGTCGATAGGGAAGTCCTGGTCAATATGGACTGTTGTTAATTACTTATCCTTACGTGCTTGGGGATGCTGACAGTCGACGTAGCCGCTGCTTGTTCAAAAGAGCTACATCACTTCACAATCAGGCAGAAGCATTAACACTGTTCTTACCAGTGGGAGAGGGCGTAATGTATTACTTAACTAATTTTTATTAGATTAGCTAAGTAAGAAAATCTTGGATCCAGTGAATTTATTTTTAATGTTTAGTTGAACAATTGAACCGCTGACTGGTGAAGTACATCGTTTTTTGTTGCTCAAATTTGATTTCGATCAATTTTGGTCATAATAAAGGTCGTTCTTTTGAAGATTATTAATTTGAGAGTAACGGTGCATCTAGCTTTTACGCAGTGAGAAAGTTATGTAATTCCGTTTCGGTGTGCCGTTGATTCACGTAGCATAAGATTTTTCTTGCTGTCTTGATCGTTTGCGGTCTGAGTGTTACATTTAATTGTAAGGGTAAGAGTATGCACTGCACATTTGAGATTTCTAACATATGGTCGGAAACAGTTGTTTTGTGGGCAGTTAAGCCGGTTTGAAAAAGAAGACTGCAAGCTCGATCTAAGCCATTACGTCCTCGAGCCCAGTGGAATATTTATTGGATGCATACTGAGGAGAAAATTACGGCAGTTCAATCTGGCAGGTTTAGCGGAATGTACATTTCGTGGTGTTAGATTTTCTGAAGAGTTAATGAGACCACAGCGTCCTGGGGTTAATGATGACGTAGATTCTCCTGACGTTCGAATGTTGAGCAAGATATTTAGAGGCATCATTATGCCCATTGAAATTGCTGATGGGCGTTTCTGATGTTGTATTACAGTAATGAATTTTTTCTTTTAGCATGGACGACTTTATGGATCATCGGGCGATGAAGCCATACTACTGGTAATTCTCAGTTTTATCAGACAATGTGATACTCATATATACGAGTACTAATTTTTGCAATTTCAGGCGTGCATCCTCCAGTCAGAACTCGGTAACATTTCAGCGGGTATAGTAAATGTTCCAGAAGACTATCGCGTATTAATGAAACACGGGAAAAAAGGCGAAACCAAAACCATCGAACAGTGGCACTACCTGCGCGACTTAAGCCCTTCGGAGTGTGAGAAGCGCTTTGTGGAACAGGCTGCCCGCCTGGACACCTTCGGCATTGATCCCCATCAAGTGAAGAATGAGGAAGATCAGTCGGTTTTTCTGGGCTACAATCATTTTGGCATCATTGCTTTTCAAGGCTCAAAACGCATCCTCCATCTGGACTGGGCCCACATCCTGAAAATGTCTTACGAAGGCCGCACCTTCCTAGTACAGTTCATGCGAGAATCCAAGCCACAGACCCGCGGCTTAAAGTGCCCCACGTCCAAAGCGGCCAAGCAATTGTGGCGGAATGCATTGGAGACCAAGATCTTCTTCACAGCCCCGACCAGCAAGACCATCAAGCCGGTCTCAAACGGCTCCACCATCTTTTCTCGTGCATCACGTGTCCGCTTCTCTGGGCGTGTGGCACGAGAAGCCATGGAAGCCAGCTCGACTCTGCACCGTTCCGGTGTGACATTCCAGCGAGCGGCCTTTGCACATAAGCTCGAGCCGGACGTGTATGAGGGCGTTGTGGCCACGCCAGCCCTTCACCGGCGCGCCAGCCTCTTTCCCAAACCCAAAGAATCCGGCAGCGGATCGCCGGTACCCGGTGAAAACCGGTCGGAAGAGTTGATAGTAGTGACGCCGGAGCCACCCGCCTATATGGAGGCCGTTCCCTCGGAGGTGCACCATCCACCTGCCTCTCCGTCTCCGTTCGATATGCCACCAGAACCGTCATCTAGCACCAAACTTCCTTCACCTATGCCGTCGCGAACTGGTAGCGATCTACAGTTTAGACGACCGGTAACGGAAAGCATATTAGCCAGGGCTAAGCAGGAGATGGATCAGAATATCGATGATATTTTAAGTAATGGACGGTTTGAGCTGACCAGAGAAATCTCGCAGACAGTACAGCCGGCATCCGCCGCTGTCGCTGTGCAGCATCGACAGTCGGCGTTGGGAACGGTAGCCGTAGTTGGACTGATTTCCGGGACAGCTATATTGGGCATTTACACCCTATATGATACAAACTGGTTGTCGCCCGCACCGCTGTTAGCAGCGATGGACAGCATTCGAGAATTCGTCGCGAGTCATGTGCTTTCCTGGTGGAATTAAATGAATTTCAAGTGAGAAGCGGCACCGGTGGATGTGTTAGTTAACGTTAACGGGATGATATGACAATGGTTCTGGTCAGTGTGGCAGAATTATGTATCATGGCTTTGATGATACGAAATGCTTTACAGTCTGTCAGATTATTTCTGTAGTCAGCAGTTTTAACGGTTTTATATTTTAACTTTTAAAAATTTTTCTTCGGTTTTATTGTGAGTTTGAATCTGATTGTCTGTTGTTTGTGCACAAACCATGACTTCTAGTTTAAAGCGTAATTATTTCGATTCTTCAAAAAAACGAACTTTCGGTGAATGAATCACTTTTTTATTGCGCCATAATATTAAACTGGCAGGAAAAATTGCTCTGCAGCAAAACCACCTTCAACATTTGAAGTGGAATAATAAGCTGCCCAGTATAAAAAAGGAAAATACGAAGGAATGCAAAAGCACAAAAAGTAGTACTTTGTACACAGTAAGTAATAAAAGTGTTCTAAAAATTTAAGGCTGTAACAGTGCAATCGGTGCATGCAAAATCTACCAACGAAAAACAAACGAAACTAATCAAATCGAACTGAAAAAACAATAAACACTGCGGTACGAACGGAACGACGAAATAAACCCTAACTGGTCCGTTCCAAAAAAATACAGAAACAAATATCAAACAAGCCCGAGAAGTCATTCGGAAGCGTCATCGTCGTGCTTCGGAGCGAATGTATCAAGAAATGTTCGCTGATCCAGTTCACCGGGTTCGGGATTATCGGGATCGTCGGCCTTTGTAATGTCGCGAATTCCAATGTCATCCGTTCGTCCAGTCTCTTTCAGGTAGCGATTCCAAATGACTGGATACTGTCCAAATAATTCCTTACTCTCGATCTTCCCGCTGTTCAGCTGTTCGCCTAACCATTCCAAGAATCCCACCGTCAAAGATTCCCACGCTTTCGCCGATTTATCATCCATGCCCAGCCAGCGGCGAATCTCCTTAACCCGCTTCTGCATGCGCTCCCTGGCGTCACTCAATTGAAACTTTTGTCCTGGATCGCGTCGCATTTTGGATGCGGCGTTTTTGGCTTTCTCGCGCACGGCTCGCACAATAATGTACCAAATGGTTTTCTTCTTCAGCAATCCGATTACCTCATCGTTTTTATTCACAAAATACAATACCTCCCCTTCGTAGCCATGTCCTCGACGGATAGCCAGTAATTTATCTCCCAAATCCCGATGCTTCACCACTTCGTAACCTGTGACATGCAGGTGGAAAGCGCGACCGACTTCCTGGCAGAAATCGGGCGGAACGCACAGTTCATCTTCGTACACCGTCGCTTCCAGATCGGTCTTCGACCAGCTGATGAGGAACAGTTTGGGCGCAGTGAGATACGATAAATCTTCAATGTGCTGATAATGCGGCAGCAGGATTTCCAACACCGCCGTTAATTTCGTGTGGTGGAAGAAACTGAACAAGGCATTGCGGTCGGCCACGTCCATGGCCTGGAAGAAGGAGAAACACGACGACGCCACATCCCGCGCAACAAGGTACCGCGACTCCGAGTACTTTTCAATATCCTTTTTTAAACAACAAATGCACATTTTTCGACCCGGCGATCACATAGAAATCACCGTCAATCCACCGCACAGTAAAATGCGCCGCTTCACCGTTCATCTTCTTCGTACAGATCACGCGTTCCGCCTCGGAGATCGGTCGGACAAAATACTTTTGGAATTTAAACCCATCTCCGATATCCCGATCGTCATCATCGCCCAGTCCCCCCGTGAATTTCTTCAGTGCGAAGATGACGCAATCGCTAGTTCGCTCGGATGTTTCTGTGTTGTGCAGCTCCAGCACACAGTTGCCGCGCGCCACGCGCTGTCGAAAGGCCGCATTCTGATCGTACACTTTATCATCGGGACCGCGAGAAAACACCCTCGCGTCCACCAGTTCGCCTTGTAGATGTTGAGGAAGGATGCCAGTAGGAATGGCTCCGGAAACGCTTTTCAAATTCTTTTGATTCGCAGTCCAAGATAACCAGTTTTTGGCATTCTGATCGCGCGACGCATCATCGGTTTCTTCCAGCAGATACGTTTTCAGCCGGTCCACAAACTGAGGCTGAATCAAATGTGATAACTTTTCAAACAACTCTTCTTTAGAAACCAGATGAGCCATGTTTGCGAAAGCGTTTCCAGAACGGTAATTTTATGGTACGTAGATGTGACATATCGCAGAGATTACACTGGCAGTGGGTGTAAATACGGCAGTGAGCAATCAGCACCGGAAGTGTTCCACGCTTCTCAAAATGATCTTGAAAAGTAGCGAATGGCGACAGGTAGGAGGTGTGGCCAACGATAAGAAACCAGCTGACTTGGCATGCTTCCTGTGAAATCCATGCGGCCCAGCTGATCACTACTCGAACCCGCAAGTGGCCGCTGCGCTTACTGGGAACGACAATTGATTTCATTCTGTAGCGATTTGTGGTTCTGCAGATCTTTTCATTACACTTAACGAAAATGGCAGCCATTGTTTTACGTAGTTTTGCTACCAATCTTGGGTACAATCAGCTGTTGATGCGGTCATACGCATCGACGGCGGCTGTGCCTAAAGTCAAGAATTTCATCAATGGCCAAATGGTGGACTCCACAACCAACCAGTGGATTGATCTGAAGAATCCCGCTACAAATGAAGGTGAAGCAGCATTTAATGAAAAATGTTACATGCTGTTAAAGATAGGCTAAGATAACACATTTGATTGACTTGTGTTTTTTTTCGGTTGTATAGTCATTTGCAAAGTTCCTAAAAGCACCAACCGCGAAATGGAGGATGCTGTTGCGGCAGCGAAGGTTTGTATCTGAATCTGCTTACACTCTCTGCTTCTGCTGTCGATAACTAAAAAAATGTATTGTGTTGTATCGTCTTCTACTGAATTATTTATGTTTTAATTATGATTTGATTTGTTCCTAAAGGTTAAAATAATTGAATATTATTGCGCTGTTTTTCACTGTGTAGGGGGTACACAGTGTTACAATGTTAATAGACGAATGCGGACGTGTACCTTCGTATTGCTATTTACTATGACAGTATCCGCGGTAAAAATTGCAATTTCTTGCTGACTGCATTTTAGCAAGCCTTCAAAACATGGTCAAAAACTTCCATATTGACCCGGCAGCAAGTGATGTTTCGCTACCAAGCGTTGATACGACAAAATATGAAAGAACTGGCAAAATTGATCACCGAAGAACAAGGCAAAACGCTGGTGGATGCGGAAGGAGATGTTCTGCGCGGATTGCAGGTAAAGATTGTGTAGGTCTGTAAATTTGTGCCGCATGAATGATGCAAAGCAGCAGGCTGGAAGTGAAGCATAATTATAATACCGTTGCAGTGCCTTTATCTTGGAATTCTTATAATATTTTATGGTGGTTTTTGTTCCGTGTTGTAATAATTTTACTGATTTGACCATTTAGGTCGTGGAGCACTGCTGCAGCATCACTTCTCTGCAGCTGGGAGAGACTTTACCGTCCGTTTCAAAAGACATGGATACAATGACATTCCGCGTGCCGCTTGGTGTTTGCGCAGGCATTACTCCCTTCAATTTCCCAGTGAGTGCTTTGAATACGCCTTGATTGCATTGACATTGGATGCTTCTATAGCATTGTGTCTTTTTATCCATAATATATGCAACCATTGCAATTTCCAATGCAGGCAATGATCCCGCTCTGGATGTTCCCATTGGCGCTCGTATGCGGCAACACCTACGTGATCAAGCCATCGGAAAGAGACCCGGGTGCCTGCATGAAACTGGTGGAACTGGGCCAGGAAGCCGGTATTCCCGACGGATGCGTCAACGTCATTCACGGCCAGCACGATGCGGTCAACTTCATCTGCGACCACCGGGACATTCATGCCATCTCCTTTGTCGGCTCCGATAAAGTGGGACGGTACATCTACGAGCGGGGATCAAAGAACGGCAAACGTGTGCAAGCCAATCTCGGAGCGAAAAATCATGGTGTCGTTATGCCGGATGCTAACAAGGAAAACACCCTCACTCAGGTAAATCGGTAAAACGATATTTAAAATAATTCACCTTAAATTAAAAAATTATGTGTACAGGCGGTTCTTTTTGGGCTTGCGACAATATTGATTGAACGTGTGAAGAACGACAAAGTTTTTAATAAGTTGCTTTTGTAGCTTGTTGGTGCCGCTTTCGGGGCTGCCGGTCAGCGCTGCATGGCCTTGTCGACGGCAGTTTTCGTTGGAGAATCCAGAAAATGGATCCCTGATTTGGTGGAGAAAGCGAGGAAACTGCGAGTTAATGCTGGCCATGTGCAGGATGCAGATTTGGGCCCTGTTATCTCGCCCGAAGCCAAGGACCGCATTTTGGAGCTAATTCAGAGTGGCTTAAAAGAAGGTGCTAAACTAGTACTGGACGGACGCGATGTCAAAGTTCAAGGTGTGTATGCGAACAGATTGCACTGAAGCGATGGATATATGAGATATTTCTACCTGATTATTGCATGATTACTCTTAGGCTACGAAAAGGGCAACTTTGTCGGCCCAACCATTCTGGCCGATGTGAAGCCCGATATGGAATGCTATAAGGAAGAAATCTTTGGCCCAGTGCTGTGTGTACTCACGGCGGAGACGCTTGATGATGCCATTAAGCTCATCAATGAGAATCCATACGGAAACGGCACAGCCATTTTCACCACCAATGGCGCTGCGGCTCGCAAGTTCACCAATGAAGTGGATGTTGGACAGATTGGTGTCAATGTGCCGATCCCAGTTCCGTTGCCCATGTTCAGTTTTACCGGTTCCAGGGCGAGTTTCGCAGGTGACAGCAATTTCTACGGGAAGTCTGGCATTCAGTTTTACACGCAGATGAAAACGATAACACAATTATGGCGTGAGCAGGATGTCACTGATACACGCTCAGCCACCGCCATGCCCATTATGCAGTAAACGATTTTATCTGTTCTTATTTGTCACGTCAAAATTAGATAAAAAGTATAACAATTACGACCAGAATAAAGGGGAACTGTCGTCGAACGTTGAAGATTCTAATGTCGTAATAAATACCAATCGGAATACTTGTTCCTGAAGTGAGCGCTACAGATCTGGCTGAAATGCCACCAGTACTTACGTAAAAAGAAGTTAACCAACAGTTCAATAACCATGGTCATTGAAAATAACAATGTTTAAGCAATCACCGCTTGCATGCTTTTTCGGGTTATTTTAGAACGATTAAAACAGGGTCAAACATAAGACAATTCAAAAAAATCACAACAGTTGCCAAAATATCGGTATGCATCCGAATCAAAACATGTACAGCAGCCGCCAGCAAACAACGCAGTCTTCACTGATATTTTACAGCCCTTCCATTTCGGAATTTTATTGCTGAACCACTGACAACCGGACGCATCCAAGAGCGAGTAATTCGAATGATGTCGATGTACTGCAACAAGAACGAACGCTTTACATGTATGCTGACCAACTACCTAATTCACGCAGTCAAATACTTTACCTGTAAAAGTAAAAACATCAGTCCGCCGTAAATGGCAATAATACTTGTGACCAAAAGATCGAAAAACGGCTGTTTTGTTCGAGAAGCCGTTACTACTACATCCACCGGACCGTATAAGGTAATGTCGGATTCACTAAGAAACGAAACATCCACGTGTGAGTAATAAAAATTATTACGAAAAATGGAACAGCATGCATTTAAATAAAATTCGTGTACGCATTTGCACGCTTACGCTTTATCACTGTTCAAAGGTTTCACTTTGAAATCCACTAAGCGCTTCGTCAAATAATCCTTCACTGCCACCATAACCGGATGATCGGGAGTGAGCATTTGTAGTGGTCGGGGTTGTCGAGTCAAAATTTCCAACCAAGATGCAATATTTTCCTCGGAGACCGCCTATTCAAAAATACATACTTCTATCAAGCAACATAAAAACAAGGCGACCCGACTCGTATATACCGGCACCTATGTACTTACCAAAAAATTGTCATGGAGAATTCGAGTGTCGTTTCCCTCTAATCCAAACATTTCGCGGGCCAGAGCATCGGCTAACCAATGGGCAGTTTTGGTGAGCTGAGGAATCTGAACTGTTGACCTATGTGAAACAAAACAATAGTAACCCTAAACTTCATTAACGACTTAGCAATACAAACGTTGCACGGCACAATTGCATATCTCGACGGGACAACGGTTACAAGAAAAGAAATAAAAATCCCGTCACAATTAAACCAGTTAGACAAAAAAGAACCGAGAAACGTCAGAAAACAGCGCTGGACTCCGCCCTTACCTGTCATCAAGAATCGAGCGCCGTTCGCTGATCCTGTTGAGAGACAAACTAGATAAACTGAAAGCCGGTACCCGCACCAAGCTGAACTGTTCGTGTTCCCATGTCAATTCGTCTTCAGCTAAATTGATCTTTTTATGCACGAGCTGCGCCGCATTTCCCGCAATGTTGACCGCACTTTCATTCAACACCTACAAAGTCGAACTGATGCAACGCAAAGCGGAGGCGAGCGCGCCATGGCTAACCTCAAAGAGACGATGTGCCGGTGATCCTTCTTTGGGCGGCCGTGAGACGTACACTTTCGGCGGAAAGTCCTCACCAACACCATCTAAGCACACGGCATACTGGATCTTACCGAGAAGACTACTCTCTGTCGCATCCACCTGCTCACTCAACCACTTTTTGGTACCGAGGAAATTAAATTTCCCCCCGGCACTGATGAGCACCAGCAATTCTCGTTTAGGTGTGGATCGCTGGGTCTGTTTCAGCGTGCTCAGAATGCGTACAATCTCCAGAAGCACGGCCACACCGGAGGCATCGGAATTGGCGCCGTAGGACAGACCCGGAGCCACACCGATCGCATCCAGATGAGCGACGAGAACGATCATCGGCTGCTGTTCCGATGACTGCAGGGAAGCCTCATCGCCAATGCGTCCAATGAGATTGGACATCTTCACATCGCCAATGGCTTTCGCTGAATAGGAACTGCTGGAAATGTAGTAATAGTCTCCAATCACTTGCTGCAGCAGTTCTAAAATAAATATTCCCGTAACGTATCAAAGCTAAGTCGACCGGTTCAGATTCTTGAAGTATTTTTGGTCGGCATTTCCAGAAATTAATACATCCAATGTAAAATCATTCGGTCGCTACACGTCTTCGTGTGAGAACGAATACTTTGATAATAAATCAATGCAGTAACAGAGGCTTAAATACTTTATAAAACAAACAAGCAAAATGATTTGGAAAAAATATAAACACGTTCAAACGCACCTTCCGTGGTCGTCTGCGGTGTGTTGACGCTTCCCGAATGGAAGTCCAACGAATCCAACCAATCCTTCACTTCCGGTGTCTGTACGACAAAATACACCGGGATCTGCAGATCCATTTTCAAAATTGTCTGCTCCGTTTCCACAAACGCCTAAATCCGCAATCGTAACACAAAGTCATCATCATGGAGCTCCGTATCACATACTACGCAACACTGAAGCAACTATAGTAGTTCCACATCATTAGATTTATGTAATAATAATACATAATCCAAATGCAGGATAAGAGGCACTAATAACACTCACGTCACGGTCTTCGCCCTGAATGCTGTTCATGTTCTGTGGCACCGCAATGATCAGCGCCACAATACCCTTCTGCACCACCGAAGAGATATCTTTGGTAATGAGCTCCTTCCATGATATCACCAAGCACCGTCGGGCGACGGATGCGCTGAAGAGCGTACGGACCTCGCAGTTCAGCGAGACGCCTGGCGAACCTAAAGATGAATAAGCGCATAGTCTGGGCGCCGTTGCCAACTGCTTAACTGCCACGCTAATTACCCCGCAGTGATCCCGACACTTCATAATGCTGGATGCGGTGGAACGTGAAGTGGTGCACTGCCACGGCGGGTCGGATGGCTGGGCCGATGAGGAGAATGGTTAAGGGAACCAGGCACACCCACACCATGGAGTGCCATCCCTGTCTGCATACATCCAACACATCACACAAATGCTCGCCCAACATCCTCTGATCGAATGCGGAACTGCAAGGACTCCGTTGTAGTATAGGCTACCGTGGAGTTGGAAGTCTATCGTGGCGGAAAGAGAGTCAACAAAACATCGGCGCCCGGAAAAAATACGGACTGACAAGGGAAACTAATGGAAACCGCAAATGATCTACTGTTTCCAATTCCCACACTGAAGTTCTTTTAATCGCGGAGCGATGCTGACTACTAGCGCTCCAAATCTATTATGGTACGGTTGCTCAGCACAGTAGCTGTATGCGGTAAGCCACGCCCGTCGTGAAGCCACCTCGAGGTGGAGTTGTTGCTTACTGTGAGATTCAACTAATGGACATGAAACTGATAAAATCCAAGTAAAAGCCCGCCCGTCGAAGGTTGACGGTAAATTGGCTTGCTGGCTATGGAGTCCATAGATGCCTTGCAATTCTGTGGCCAGAATGAATGCCGCAATGTGAAGTGTGAATGAATAGTAAGTAATTTGTTTCAAAACAGAAATATAGGAGCCGTCTGGGCAATTCCACGGCGTGGTTTTACTTGTATAAATTGCTGCAAACCCAGGGTCAGCATAATTACATAGCTTCCCACGGGACTAAACAATTGCGCCGGGGCGTCTGCCATCGGTCCGTAATGTAGCAAATGTAAGTAGCAAGCAGCTATTTTTCAGTGCCCGCTGATGGGAAACCGCGCGGATGTGACTTAAAGCCGCTTCCGGCTTGCGACCCCGACGTTTCGCAACCTGAAGCGTACGGTAGACCCTTCGAGCTAGTCACTCGAGTGTCACACTGTCACCCTAGGGCCTAGGCGATTAGTGGTGATGTAAACGTCTAGAAGTACAAGGCTACAAGCCATCCATGATTTGTCGCTAATTACAAAGATTTGATCGATATAGTCGCTAATTATGTCGTCGATTTCTGAGAGATGCGGTTGGACGCGTTTCCAGCCATGCCCGTTTCGTTCGGTGTGAACTCCAGGAGAGGGCTTGGGTCGCTTGACTAAATATAGCGAACCCTGGCTACCGAGAGCAACGCTTCCACCGTGACTCCAGTGACCGGTTCACGTGTTTTGGTGCGTTGGGATTCAGATTTCGCGAGGTTATCTCTCGTCACTCGCTGCTAATTTTGTTTGGCTCCGCAATAGTGCTTCCGTCCTCACCTAAGTCGCATGTTTTCAAGTCAACGGAGCCACTGAGTAAGGGATCCGAGGCCAAAAAGGCCAGGAGGGTGACCCTCTCAGGGGTCAGAATTTCGAAACCGCCTTTTGCAACCGGAAATGGCGCCACGTCCGTATCGTTTCCGTCGCCCTCAGATATTAGCGCTTGTGGAAAGGCAGTAACCACTCAGTCTGTCAATTTGTCCAATTCATACTACCGGAAATCCGACTGGAAGCGAGATCAAAATCATAATAAATTGAAAATTGAATTACCGAACCCATTTTGCAGTTACAATCAGACGTATGTACAGCCTCCGGAATATGTTGCCAATGTTGTTGGGTCGTTGCAAACTCAGTATAGCATCAAAAGCCGGGTCATTCTCCTTGTGGGCAGCTGATGCAGCGACGACTGAGTCACCATTCCTCGACCGCATTCGCGCTGTGGTGGTGCGCTAACCGTAAGCAACTCCCGCAAGCCGCTTACCCGGTTACAAGACCTGCTGCCGGTTTGTAACGGTTCTTTGGATACCATGGCCGCTACATACGTGAGCACCTTGCGAGATTCGCGACTTTGTACGTACTTATTAAAACTATATAAATTATTATTTATTTTGATTTCGGAAGTATAGACTTTCTGAGTCCGTTCTCAGCTTGTCTGTACAGTATCACTGCCAATGTTATAATTTTCTTAAACACAGCTGTTTTTGATAATGATATTTAATTTCGGAATTTCCAAACGTTTTGGATAACCCTAATACGTCAGCACGAACAATCCCACCAATCTCACAAATTTCCCAAGTATTTCACAGCACGCTTCTGGACAGTTCTCGCAACATGTCAAACTAAACCGTGGCATTACAAAAACATATAAAAACGAGACATGTAAAACCATTCCGATTTCAATACTGCTAACTACTTGCTAGTTCAACGACATCCATCAGGCGTCCAAGGTACAATCCGAGGAATTTGTTGTTATCACCGCCAATCACCTACGAAATGGAAGACCTCACGCTCAAACACACTGCACAACATTACGTTCTGATTGTAGTGGAGTCATGCAATGTGAACTTGAGTAATGTACAATACGATATAATGCGCGAACGCGAAAGATCCTTTTGTTTAACAAGCGTCAAGTCTAGTTAACATCCACACACCTTATACAAGTCTGCCAGCGGTGCCAGGAAGTCGTCAGTAATGAACTCGCGCACATTGGTCTTAAAATGACGATATTCATCATACGGTGTCGTGGGCATTTCCTGCTCCAGAGCGGGAAGCAGGGCTCGGCGCATACTGGCCGGAAGCGGAGTTTGCTGTGCATCTGCTAGGAATACGCTGCACACGTGCTCCAGGTGAGTCACCAAGATCATTAGCAAGCATTCTTCGATATCTAGAAAGTGAACAAAGTTGTACACAAACACCACATCTATATTTAGTAAGCGCGTTAACCAATGAAAATATCTCAACAAAAATTCAAAAGTTACAGGTAACTGCATCATTAACCCACTTAAAAGCTGTCGAACTTCCACCATAATATCACATTCTTGCTCTTTTATGAACAGTCTATAGAAGTTTTCCCTATCTTCTCGTCGAGCTGGAAGAAGATCCGAATCGAGGACCTACAAAAATCATTGTAACGCAGCCAAATTAAGTTTACTGATTATCTTGGAAATGGTTTCAAATCAGGCAAAATGCAGAGTAGCACACAATTTTACAACAAGAAATCGTTTGCAGAATAACCTTTTTCCATATTTTTGACTATGACTGTGAGCGACAGCTATCCGAACTGTTTCCTTAAAAATCAGTTTATAATTTAACCGTCCATTTAGTAACGTTTTTACTTCTTGAAGTCAATTATAAGAAAGATCACTTTAAAGTAGCTAGAGTCGCAGTTCTGCTGTGTTCTCTGTAAAAGTGGCATACCAATTTCAGATCGCTTTCTGAGATAGAACCACTGTTTCGCTGACCAACCATCCTTATGTCCTCGAACACTTTTAACCGATCCAGCACGGCTTGGCCAAATGACCGAATATGTTCCAATAAATCTCCGTAGGACAATGTAACCGTTCCAACTGTTAGTTCTAGAATAGCAAGATTTGATTAACATTAGTATTATCAAAACTCTCTTACTGCGTTTAACGTTGAAAGTTTGAAATTTGCAAAATTTTACACTGAATTTCTGGAACATTACCTTTTCGGCCAAATACGTTGGACCGAGCAAAAACGGGACGAATAGCATTTGCGTTGATAATGCCGGAACCATCGAATACAATCTGCCTGAGATATCTGAGCAAGTTACCAGTAAGTCGTAAAGAGCGCGAACGTCGGCGGGAAGATTGATAATAATCTTTATAATTTCCTTTGGGAGGCGGCAGTACCAACGTATTTAAATTCTGAAGTAAACGGCTAAGTTTCAGTTCGATAGCAAACATTTCCGCTGGTATTTCTGTGCACGTCGGGTCCGCAAGCTTTTGCGAGAAACCTGTAAATATGCACGCAAATGATTACAGTTCTACACAAGCTCTACTATGTAGTTACCCTATCAGTGTAAGCGCGCAGTTTTAAGGAAAACATCCCGGCTTGAAATAACACATTTAGTGCTGTCATTAATAAAAAAGAAAACCACACAGGTCGACTTTATAATTATTCTGATAGCTATTAATAAACTCCATGAATAAATACTAACCCTGACGGCCGACCAAAGAAATCAGTTCCACAGTGCGGTCAATATCGTCCCACGCAGGATCGTCAGTATCAGAAGGTTCCCGAAGAAAATCCGATAAAACCACTCCGTATACTTCGACGTACTGATAAACTTTCGTAAGTAGATGTCGAAATGCAGGTCGCAGGCGGGCTTGGTGTAAGACAGCAATAAGGAAATCCACAATTTTACGAAAGATGCGAATGCAATAGCCATAGACCGACGAGCTAGTGCCGGCAATCCAAGCTCGCTGGACTGGGTTCAGGGAATTTCTACAACCGCATGCAGAGAATTTATTTTCCAACGTAAAATTCACTCTTACAACCATTACCTGGCGTCTTTTATCACATTCAACGCGCGCATCACATCAAAAAGCAAAATAGTCTGAACTGCAGTATGGAAAGGCGCAGATTCATGTTGGTCAGAAAGTTGAGTTCGCGGAGATGAAATCCAAGAAATAAGCGCGCTCTACAAGATTTAATAGTATGCAAAGACTACAAATACTGCAGTTAGGACTTACATCCACAATCGTTATCGGTAAAAGCATCCATTAACCATGCGACTTAACCAATACCGGGGTAGGTAACCGGAGTGAAAAAACCCAACGGCTGCAAGAACAGTTAAGGAGCGTTACCATTTTCGTCTCAAAGCTCACAAGGACATCGTCGTTATCCGTCTGGGCAGCGATACACTGGGCAAGTTTCTGATTATCCTTGGCAAGGGTCGTCATCATTTGAGACAGAACAGAAAAGTTTCCATATGTGAAGAAATTGCCCTCCAACTCGAACAGTTTCCACAGCGCGTTTAAAGTCTGGACAATGGTGGCCTACTCGACAAAAAGCTAAGGATGAATACCGGCAGACAAATAAAGAACGAGATATCGCCACTGTGGGAAATGTAGGTCGCATACCTCTCTGGGTCCATTTACGGATATTAATCCATCTAGCAGGAGCCTAAGTAACTCATCAAAGTGTCCTGAGAATGCATTTCGCACATGGCTGCGTATTGCTCCTGCAGAGGTCTGGACACTTTGGGAATACCCCGCGCTAGCATCTGTTTAAAGAAAAAAGATATACCGAAACCACGGCAAAAAATAGGTAATTATACCGACGATGATAACAGTCTACTCCAACCAAAGATACATGTACTTGTGCCTTGTGGAACAACAACTATCAACAAGTGCAGTTACCGCTAACATGCAAGTGAGAACGCACTCCACCGCATACCTTCATAATTTGCGTAGTCCCAGTCGGCCCATTTCAGTAAAAGGAGCAGGTTAACACAACAGTATTGTTTCTCCATAACTGTTGAGGCTACAAAAAAATTCAACGATGAAAGAAGGCCGCCGATATACTGCACGACGATTTGCACAATAAACGACCGAGAATGCAGAATGAGTTGTTTTTACCTTTCCTCAGTGCCACAATACTCAAGTTTCCAATTACTTCCGTGATAAATGTACTTGATGTACGCAAAATAACGCTTTTGTAGTCCACAAGTAACGCTTTCATGGCAAAGCCTTCGACATTGAAGCTATCCCAATTACTCGCACCGCGTCGCACCGGTCCAGAGAAGCGTACAAAGGCTGACAGCAGCGAAAATACTGTCTCAAATGACAAAATCATTTCTGAAGCCGGCATTCCAGCAGCGATCTGTAGGAAGAAAACAGGATGATCTACGAACCGTAGGCTATTAACATCTATTAGAGAGCTCAATGGACTCACCTCTTTACTGAGGAGTGCACTTAGCTGGATCATGAACGATGGTACAGATGGAAATGGGAAGGATTCCCAACCCAAACTCTCCACGATAACGCTAATCAAAACAGTCCACGCTTCATAGCAGTCTCTTCGAGCCCGTATCAATCCCACTTGCAACGTCTCTTGCTCGATGTAGTCACAAATCGTTTTGAAGTCCTATAAACAGCGTCAACCAATTCACCCAAATACCGATCATGAACAGTGGAACACAGGGTACACTGTGGAGCACTGAATCTAGTCTTAATACAGTGCTTTCATGACGTACGTGAACCATATCAGCTCGACCCATTCCGTTTTCTTCGTATCCGTGGAGCAGTTCCCGAAGATACATCAGCGTTAAAGATGCATCATGGAGCACATGCCCGTCATCTGTGGTAATGCGAGAAGAATTCAAGGCGTCCTCTACATTAGCATAGTCCAAAAACTCCAGATTTAAGGAGCGCACCGATGCCGGTGGAGGCAGGGATAGCGTGACCACCGACAGAAGCTGGCATGCCATGGAAGAATTGAATTCCTGCTGTCTGTTAACCTGTTCCGACGTCGACATACCACTTTCTGCAGTACTGGGGAAAGAACATAACCGAGATATCAATACGTTGGCAGATGGGATCATATATTCATCGATTAGGATACGGATCTCTTTGGCGACGATATGTAAAATGGCCTTCTGGTGACGAAGCAGTGAATGGGTCGCATTATCACCTGCGTAATAAAAAAAATCGAAAAACACGAATGTCTTAAGACAGTCTTTGACTTTTCATTTCCATACAAAATTACCATTGTCGACGAGCGGAAGCTGGCCGAGAAGCTTTTCCACACATAAATCACCAGCCCAATCATTTCTTAGGTAGCGAAGCACGTAAACACCGGTAGCTTGCTTTTGGCACAGAAAATCCAATATGTCGAGAGCTGTTTCAGTTACTGTCGGAATGAGTTCAAATAATACTCTGCCAGGTTCGATAAGCTCGAATATTCGTGGTAGTGCAGCACTGGAAATGTTTTTTCCTAGTAGAAAACAGAGTAAGTTCACACTCGCAATAAATTAGCCTCAGTCATTTTTACCGAGTGACGACGGTTGTACCGAACCATTTTGAAGGGGAAAACCCCAACAGCACTTGCGCCAAATTTGGAAATGAGCAGTTTTTTAGATTTCCTAGAATCATCTTTAGGGCGTCTTGCACCAGTTTGACAGATTCTAAAGCAAAAATATTAAGGCAAATATATCTGATAAATAATGCGGATTAACTAGCGATTATATACCGACAGATTCCAAGCGCCTGTTTTCTTGTTGAGTAGATTCCGGATCGATCACAATACAGCCGGCAAAGTTAGCAATCACCGTATTGTACAATCCCTAAAATACCCAAACTGACCGAATTCACAACGTAAGGAGTTCTTTTACGTCATCATCCAAAATGTTAACAGTTTTCAGTACAAACTAAAGTATTAAAATGCACTAAATTTTCGTTGACCTGACCTCATCGTAGTACAGCACAGAGATCCAGTCCTTATGGTCTTGAACTCGACAAGTAACGAAACTGATAATTTCCAGAGCCAACTGAGCGATGCTCAACCTTTTCGATCTGTACTTTAACAATCTGAAAAGCAAAAATAATCGAGGTAAGCAAGCTGAATTCAAAACTGAATTACGTAATAGCATACTTCATGAAAGTGAAAATAAAATCCTTTCTGGCAGACCGGTTGTTGATGGTCGTAGCAATGAGCGTGTCCAGTCCTACAGCCGAAGCATTGCGGTCGTGCTGTTTGAGGAAATTCAAAAAGCCATCATGGTTATGGATCACACTGCAGAATATTTTAAGAATGCAGGAGACAACATCTTCCAAGCGACGGTGAACTAAACGTAAAAAAAATTCGAACACTGAAGTACCGAAGTTAAAATAATTCAAATATGGACTTCTTACCTCCATCGCTGTGGCTTTTATCGTACTCTTCCGAACAAACAGACAACCAGTTCAGCAACTGTAAGACAGACATCCGATTTATTAAAATTAGTACGTGCTAAAATAACCAAAGAACGCATGATTTATTCACATACTGCGAATAAATCGGACATTTATTATTTTAAGTAACCCAGCTCCATACTTTATCAAAAAAAGTATGCCCTTCCAAAATCCTTTGTCGCAGAACGTAACCAGGATGCGTCGTTAACGCCGGAATGATGACGAAGCTCAGTTCATTCAAAGATGTGAGACATTTTTCAAAAAGTTGCAAACAGGATAGCAAGACGTCTAACTACAATCAAAGAACACAAATATTAGCCCGGGATATGAGCGCAGAGAAGACATCATCTTAGACATGGGTAACGAGTAGCTGCTATAACGTTGCGCACTTACATGCTCTTGGGGGGTAGAAAAGCTTCTTTCATCCACTTTAGGAAAAAACAGCTTCATGAATGTATGAAGTGAACTCCTGGAACTGTTGCAGGAAATCGGGAGCTACAAGACACCGATGATAAACGCAGCAATTCGCTGTGCAAGGAATTATACAAGAACCAAACTATCGTTGTACCTAATGCATGATCGGATAAGCTGCCAAAAATGCGCAACATGAGGAGAATTATAGCTTTCGTCACGGGATATTCACGATAGCGCACTTCCATTTCTTCTAGCTCTAGCTACAAAGACGGCAATGGAGAACATGGAGAGTTTCGACTGCAGGCGCAGCATTTACGTTTTTTAAACCGTAGACATTTGATTACTTTACCTTTAAACCTTGTTTAGGACCCGCGACTGTTAAAGGTGCCAACTGAAAAATATTAAAGACACTTAAACCAACAGCGCAGCGTACTAGTGTACGGAAACAAAAACTTCTCACCACTGCACCCATGTACTGCCATATTAGTGTAGCAGGTCCTGTGGACTTTGCGAAAGACGCCAGCGTAAGAAGAATTGTAGCTTTCATCGTCGTGGGAATTCCACAGCTAACCAGGGTAGCTAGAATATGCAGTGGATGATTCCAATCGGGATTGTCGGCGATATGTAATCTGCTGCTTTCATCCTATCGCGAAAAGACGGTGCAAGATTTAGATTTACGAAAAACACAATCAATGAATGAATACGAGTGTTTATTTTTATTAATTATGCCATGCATATTTGAAATCGGTAAGCTGCTGGCAGCAGCGATATTTTCAGTGCATTTACAAAAACTAAAACATACTTACATATTCGGCAATTTTTCCAATGAGTTCCACCAGTGCGTCAAATGTTTCGTAGTCTTCGGGAGAACACTCTTCGCCCTCTGTGCGCGACCGCCATCCGAGAGACGCACCGTTCCATATTTTATGTCGAAAATCGCTCAACGCCCGAAAAAAATTTTCATAGCTCAGAATCCCTAAAACGCCAAAGCTTCAACTCCGACGAAATTTTACAAAGACGCGTTTAGCCATACTCGAGCGTCTTGATCGAAGGTAGTTGTTAACCAGCTTAGCGAGATCGTCGTTAGTAATCGAACGGGAAATTTGGCGTAATGTCTCTATCAGAGCAGTGGCTTCTGGCTGCTGCTCTTCACCGACACGGCGTAGCAGACGGTGCAAGGAATCCTAAAATTACGGCAACCTTAAGAAACCGTACAGATACTTGATTACGTCGCCCTACTCACTGCTTGTGGGTCATCAATGCTGATTCCGCGATCCAGAGGACTTGCTCGACGGTTCCTGGAATCTTGTCTTAGAATCCCCGACGGACGAGCCATGACTTTGAGCACTCGCAAACGTAGAATTAGCGCTCCAGCGTTTAACAGTAATTAAAGTACGACAAAGTTAAGCAGCGTCACATCTCGGAATTTAAGGCTGGATAGGGTCTAGAAGAGAAGAAAAACAGATGAGGATTCAGAAACCTCAAACGTAAATAATTTTGCCACTTTTAAGAGCTGCTGGTTCATGATAAAACTCATAAAACGGTAAAACCGTAAAACATGTAGAAACAGTAAATCACAAAATATTGCGGGCTTTGACATAGAGGAATCCCCACTGGGAGAGTTGTTACTTGCATAGTTTGCTGTTTTCGCCGTCGTCAATTCGTCATCGCGTCGGTATGTATGTTGTGTACTATGTATACCACAATTATTAAAGGTACGAGTATGGTCCATACTACTTTCGGCTAAAAATTAAAAGACCAAAACAAAAATTTATTATGAAAACAGAAAGACCAAAACAGAAATGGAGTTAGTGAAGACGTGAAGGCGTTTTTTTCTGAAAAGTTATATTTTCTGGAAGTTCTGACCTTTACTCAGTCTCTCGTGGCCAGATTTCTGGTGCTGCAGCGGAAAAAATCGTTTGAATAACGTCGCCTTGCCTTTCGTTGTTCGCAGTGGCCAATATGTCAAAGCCTCAAGTAAGCATCCTAACCGAAGGGGGAATTAAGTTGTGACGATTTCAAAATTGCGGAAATAGATCTAGTGCATTGTTGGTGATGGTTCCGTTACCATTCTATCGGTTGCTTGAGTCAGCTGTATAAACAATAAGTTAAAATTTCAGTCGGCACCATCGGCGCCTCCAGGATCCAGCGCGCATGCGCAGAATCGCGGCGGCGAGCCAGAAAAACGCAGACCTAAAGAAACACTGTTTGAATTGGGTCGGTATCTGGACAAAATAATACATGTCAAATTCGTTGGTGGTCGCGAAGCCAGTGGGGTGCTAAAAGGGTACGATGCCTTGCTAAATCTTGTCCTGGATGAAACCGTGGAATATCTCAGAGGTAATACGGTAGAGTAGGATCTGGGACGCGATTGCCGAATCCTGAAAACTTACGTCCGCTTTACGGGTAAATCCCATTTTAAGTTTATAGACAAGTTTATCTAAAGACTTATAAGCGTAATTTACGAATTTTTTTAAGGTCAGAATCGTCATCGCAAGTTTTCTATTCCATGACACATTATTTACTATTGGAAATTGGAGATGACGAGAAATGGAGCGAAGACGAAAGAAAAAAGTTTGTTTTAGCATATGATGACATATGCCACGTTGATGGATTGCTGCAAGCAAGAAACGATCTACCGTTTACCGGCAATGGAGCGAATTTATGGAGGAACGCAGTCAAAATTATTGACCGATTCCACATAGGAAATCACAAGAAAACTTGTCAAGAGCCAGTGGCGAATTTAAGGGGGTGCTCCCGGGGCTAATGCCCCCCGTAACTCGGATGTGAAAAAAATTCTCAAGAGGGGGGTACATTGCAAATTTTTTTTCGGCAGAGGTCGCCAAAAAACCGAGAGAATACTCCCCCCTTGGTATGAGTTCTCTAGCCCCCCCGCGAAGCCCGCCTAGATTCGCCACTGTCAAGAGCAGTACAACCCGTCAAAGCTATCGAAATTTCACGGACAGAATTGTACCTTCAACACTGAAAACTTGTGAACAAATTTTCTCTAAATTCGGAAAGTACAAACAGAGCGCTTTCATGATGACTAAACATCGTCAAGAATTTTTCATAAACAGACTCGTTAAGATTCATAATTCTGTAGTCGAACGGTCTTTAACGGAAGAAAAGGAACTGTTTCATTTCAACGGGCGGCGCAGATGTAATGCTTTTTAGAGTCACATTTTACGCGACATTTACTCTTTTGGTTTGTATGTCTAGTGCCTTTTATTTTTTTATTTGGCGATTTACTTCTTGTAATAAAACGTTCTGGCATTATTGAATAAAGGGACAAGTAGCGGCATGTAAAGGCAGTCAGTTGCATTCAAAGTTTTATTAGCTGCATATAAAGGACAGTAGCGGTGGATAATCGCCATTAGCGGTGGAGAAAGGTCGATAAAGGCCAGTAACGGTAGACAAAGGCCAGTAGCGATGGACAGAGACCAGTAGCGGTGAATAAAGGCCGATAGATACCAGTAGCGGTGAATAAAGACTAATAGCGGTGGATAAAGGCCAATAAAGGCCAGTAGCGGTGGATAGAGACCAGTAGCGGTGGATAGAGACCAGTAGCGGTGGATAGAGACCAGTAGCGGTGGATAGAGACCAGTAGCGGTGGATAAAGGCTAATAGCGTTGGATAAACGCCAATAAAGGCCAGTAGCGGTGGATAGAGACCAGTAGCGGTCTGAAGGCTTACTTAAATACTATTTCAAAAAATTCGGTAGCGTGAAACTTGTATTTTTTGTCATTACAGGTTAAGTTCTTTTTATGTCCTGTACTTTGCTTTACTACTATTTGTTCTCCTTTACTATGTACTTTCTTAAAATGACTGCCCTTAAAATGACTTTTCCTCCAAATGTCTGCTATGGTCACTACTATGTATAGGAGGTAGTAAAATATTAAGATACAAACAGAAAGTACTAACAGTAACTAATGGTAATACAAGTAGTTTGGCTAGTACTACCAGACCAGCTTTGTTTGAGGTATGGAAGGATGAAAAAAATACAAAATATACTCGTACGTCGTAACAGCAGTAAAAAAATTTTGAGAAATATTTCAAATATAAAACCTCTGCGAGGCCAGCTACGAAAATATTTTAAACATTTAGAAATGTGGAAAGTTTATTGGTTTTCAAGCTTTCCGGTTAAATTCGACCAGTTTTATGAAAACTGTGAAAGCCTCCGTAATTTTTTTTTCATGGTTCTTTTTAACGTTTTTAATGGAACTTTATACTGCCGATCTAAAGTACTGAAAACTTGAATTTTTGGTACGACAGATAATATTTAAACAGTGATAAAATGGTAGAGTGGGATCATTTACACGATGCCCATAAAAAACCATTTTTCAGCGCAGAATTAATGGAAACTTGTGGGGAACAGTTAACGGTCGCCCAAGGTGACCTCACATCACACCCAAGGTGACCTCATTTGCTACTACTGTAATTGTAAGATTTTTCAGCCATCAGTCAAGCTCTTCAGTATTTATCAAAATAAAATAAATACATATTTAGCAGATTTCGAGGTTAGTGAATGCCCAAGCTGTCACCAGTATCACAGAGCCGTACGAGAGTGAATACAAAAACAGACCGCGAACCGGCATTTAGATATTTAGAAATTACATATAAATTAGACAATTAAGACCGTGAGATATTGAGGTACTCAGACATTCCTAGACATTTTTAAAATTTCGAAACTCTGGAGGCTCAAAAAATTAGAGGTAACGGCCCCGCTGCGCGGGGCCGAGTCGAAATATTTAGAAATGTTTAGAAATTCTTGAAATGTAAAAGCTTTGGAGGCGACTTTGATGGAAATATTTATAGTTAAGTATTTGGATGTATCCGAACGTGTTTTAAAAGCACCTTAAAGGTTTCAAGAATTTAAAAAAAATTATAATTTTGATGGAATTGACAATTTAAATAACTATACAGATCTGTAGTTAGGTTGCTAAGCTGCGAAACTTGTATTTCCTTATTCGATACGTTTCCAGAATTTACTGGAAATTTCTATGAACTTGAAACGCTAAGTACAGGAAGTTTGAAAGGGTTTTTGAAAACGTTTCGGAAACCAAAATTTTTTTTCCAAGTTGCAGGTAGGAAGCTTTGAATGGTGCTCTATTTTATAAAATTAACAACTTAATGGAAAAATCAAAGTTGATTTAGGAGATAATTTCCAAAAGTAACAACCTTTAAGTACTAACTATCGTTAAGTACTACAACTTCTAAAATTTTTCTAAACCTTCAAAACTCAAAATTTTTTTGAAGATAAAGGTAGGAACGTTTCTGCAATGCTCTATTTTATAAAATTATCAACTTATTGAAAAAATCGATCTTGATTTAGGAGATAATTTCCAAAAAATAAGGACGTAAGGATATATGAATCTATTGATAATTGTAAGATAATAAATTCACAGAAAATATAGTGCTCCCTGAACTACAACAAGTTACTAATATCAACGACTGCGCTCTGATTGTACGTAAGTAAGAAATACTCTAATGTAGAAAACGTAGCTACTAGAGGCTTTGAGCAGAAAACACCATAACCATACCTTAACCATCCCTTATCGTGTAGTTGGACGACCGCCATCGAGGTAGCAGTGTACAAAGTACTCAGCGAAGGCGCATAGCTGACTCTGGGTCCCTTCAGATTTAATTTGTTTTCTCGCACTGCGTGAAACGATCTCTTTCCAAAAAATTACATTTACATTCAAAAATGTTTTCTCTATTCAAAAAGTGTATATCTGGGGAAGTTAAATTGGGCAGGTGTTAAGGGGAGCCTTTGAAAGTCCATCACCATACGACACGTTTGTATGGTATTCACACTTACCATACGCTCGCACTTAACCATATAGTATGGTTAAGTGTATGGCTATGGTTAAGTGGAGCAGTTGCTCACTAGAAGCTTTCGGCAAACGCTCCGCTTAACCATACCCATACACTAACCATACTGTATGGTTAAGTGCGAGCGTATGGTAAGTGCGGATACCATACAAACGCGTCGTATGGTGGTCGACTTCCAACGACTCCCCTTAACATTTGTGCAATCAAATTGCACTATATGTGCTTTTTTATAATACAGAAAACATTATTGAATACAAATATAATTTTTTCGATTGATGTCGTGCCATGTAGTGCGAGAGAAAAAATAAAACCTGAAGGCACTTAGAAGTCAGCAGCGCGATTTTGCTGAGTGTCTCATACACTGCCACCTCCATGGCGGTCTACCACGACTTGATAAGAGATGGTTAAGGGATGGTTACGGGTACGCGTGTTATTACTATGCGATGAGGCGGAAATTCGATTTATGGCAAGCAATTACATTCGCAGCGTAAAATTAAGCTGTGGCTTGGCTGTCACCAGGCACACTACTTACGGGTGTTGACATTTTCAACTGAAAGTTTCATCTGCTATGAATTGCTAGGCTGGCCGAATTTTATTTTCGTAATAAATTGCTTATAGTATACCGACGTTTTTTTCATTTCTCAGTAGTACCATAATTTTCATTCCACGCGAAGCTCCCTATCTTATCGCGGCATTATATCTACCGCACCTGCATCGATAGACAATCGAACCCACTTAACCTCTTTTTTTATTCTGTTTCAACTTTGCCAATTTGGCAGGTTGTTCAGACATTTTTTCCGGTCGCTTTTTTCCAAACTTATAATCAAAAAAGTCATCACGTTTGTTTTTAACATAATTTTTGAACAGTAAATTAAATACCTTGCGCAACAGATTATATTCTACCTCTACATAAGACTTACAGGGACAAAGATCTTACAACGGGTGAAAATCACTCAGATTCATTTTTAAGAGCATCAATTTGAGTATCACCGCTAAATGCGATTTACTTTTCACAAACGCTGGAATCTCTGTTACTTTTATAAATAAAGTGTAAGCGCGAGAGCAGAGGGTAAATGCTTGCTTTCGTGGTAAACAAAGCCCACCATACTCCGCGCGGCTTCTTGCACCAACATAAGCTGCACCAGGTAGCTCACTTCCTGAGGAGAAAACTTCCACTAACTGTCCACGACAACTATCACATTTCGACTTTTGGTCCGCAGTTCTAGCTAGCGCCGCGGTAACGTCAGCAATCGCGTTGTTAAACAGTCCAGCCAAACCAGCATCAGTATTTGTATCGTCTGAAATCAGATAAGGCAATCATCACAGACCGACATGAAAACGATTTTAATAATAATCATTCTTTTTAGCTATAAAATTCACGGTTTACCTAAAGTTTCCCAAGGGCACAGCACAATCTGTAGCATTTCCGAACAAATCCACAGCTTTCTGTCTTCACGCATCAACCTTTAAAATTAAAAAAAAACCGGAGATCAATTAAAGCATTTAAAAAATCAACGCTACCATACTTCTCCGTCCTGTCTTCAACAGGACAGGGCTCGGGGTCTCGAATAATTTCCAGTTCGTTTGAAAACGAAAAACAATAATCGCGAAGTGGGTGCCGGGATGTGCGCTGACGCTTAGGCAGCGGCTCATCAGAAATCTCGATGATCCGTTTTCGGGTTTTGTAGCGGCTCCCAACATTCGGACTTTCGGTAAGCTGCTGGTAAGCTTCGATATGAGAAATATTCTGCCGTACTGTGGCCGCGGTAAGCTTCGTCGTTCCGAACTTAATCGCAGCATTCAGTTCCTGGAAAAGCTGAGTAATGTGTACATGACAATTTTGAAACATTAGTGTGAGAAATTAAAAAATTCATGCCACATGTTGCATAAAATTATTATCCACACAATAATTTCAGATAAATTTAAACAATTTACTTACTTCTATAGGATCGCTGCATTGTTTCCTGGCAAGTATGTACTCTGCGCCCGCTTCAAGAGAAATACGTGATATCTCCCTTATTCCATGTATAGTTGCATTCAAACCCAACCACGTTTGCCGGGGAAGTGACTGCAGAATACAATCAGGGTGGGGGCCAATGCCACTTAACGACTCCAACATCTCCTAAAAAACAAAAACATGAGAACGGTGAAAAAAACGGAAGCTTTGTTTATTTATAATAGTGTAATAAGCACACTTACATCAAATTTCGTATCAATATTGTTGAGAGTAATCACTTCAAAAAGAGGCTGCCTGAAACGCTGAGCTTGCTGGATTGAGGACGTCGTTAGAGGGTAATAAAAGCCCCGAACGAAATTGGCAAAGTTCAAAATTACTTGCAGTCCAAACCTAACAGCGTTCACGTCCTCTCGCCGAATTTCGGCGATTTTTATAAGCAACGGATGGTCTGGAGACTGAGTTGTCAGCATTGTCAGCGCCCCAACTGTGCGGTCTGTGAACAACTAAAAACGCCAAAAAAGAGGAGATGACATAATTACTACTAAGTGCAATTATTACTATGTAATGTAACTACCACTAAATGCAGAAAGCCCCATTCACATAAATTTCTAAATTTGCGTATCGTTAAAACCTGCATTATTTAATTAACAAACAATTACTTACACCTTCCGCCGTTCTGGTACACATTTTTTCAAATGTGTTCGGCCACAAAACTTTTCGTGTGATATCCGGAGCGTACTTAACTGGGGAACATCGTTCGATTTCAAAAAGTGTTTGGAGTAACGTGATATCAAAAATCCAGGATCCGAACTAACATAAAAATAACACGAAATAGTACTGTAGTACGATGCACCATGTAAACACTAATTACACAATATATTATTAAGAATTGTCACCGTACTTACACATAACCTTCCACCATTGGAAATTCGCAGGATATTCGCCCATATCCGTTTCAGCAAATGACTGATATCTAAAATAATAATTACGAACTGTTCCGGAAATAGCGGGTGTCTGAATCGCCAAGGAAACGTATTATCAACCACTCCCAGTATGCCACGGCATCCCGCGTTCTCAGCTCCGTGATCTGAGCACAGTCCATTAGCTCTGAATTTTGTATGCTGTCCGAGTAACCGAAGATTTCGAAGTAATATTTTGGCTAAGTCGCTTCCTTTCAAATTTTTGACAAAGTGATAGGATACTATCTTTCGCACGTTGCCGACTACGCTTTGGATAATGAATATAAGTACATTTTTTGCCGGTATCACTTCGTCATTGTTTTCAGCCAGTCCAATCACCGATCCATTGATGTATTCAACTTGCTCCGTTTGATACGTAGCATCACAAATTAAATTAACATCGCGATTACTGTCCGGAATAGTTTCACAAAATTCGCCCAGTTTTATCATATGCTCAATATCTTCACCATCCTCAATATCCCACTGAGCGGTGTGATCACGCAGTGTGCGACTGTGAGGTAGAGCTGCACCTAAAACGCGGCGTAAAAAGCCATAACAGCCAGATGACAAATTTCGTGCCACAGCACACAGTCGTTTCATCCATGGTGAATAACGCCGCTGAGACGACTTTGTGGATGCGGAATTTATTATTTCCTTTGCGAAGCGAGCAACCGAATGGATTTGCTGTTTGAGGATAAAATCAGTCTCCTCAGAACTTGCTTCTTCGTCTTCAGCACTTTCCCCATGAGCTTCAAAATCATAATTGGCGGATTCCGGTTCACTTTTGATCAGCTTCATCAGCTGATCACACTTAGTGTTGACGGCGCGACAATGATGCAGAATTTCTCGCTTCAATTCCTTGAAATTAAACATCAAGAGTTTTGTCAAACAACGACTGCTGGAAACATTCGAACAACCAATGCACTCCGTCACATCCGATGTTAGCACGGTGACGCCATTAAAACAAACAGCGGGAATCAAGTCTGACCGCATCCGTAAAACAAGTGCGTCTGTCGCAAAATTTTCATTTGCAGGCTCTGTCACGGTAACCTTGCCCAACAGAATTTCGCTGTCGGAGCGAACCAGAACAGCAAATCCATGCTGATTGATCAGTTGATCATACCTAGCGTCGCAAAGGTTTTTCCAGAATTTTCCTGCTATAATCTTTTCCTGTTCTTTGGCTGTGGATCGACCAATATCCCGTCTGGTGTTCTGCGAAATTTTAGTAAAATATGGCGATCCAGGGTGCTTCGTTGGTACAGCTGTTGGCTTCATTCTCGGGTATTTTCCGCGTAAAGATATATCACTTCGACGAAAATGCGCACTGCATATGTGGTGACTGGTGAGAAAGCCAGATTGTTCTAAATCTTTGCGTCCGCAAAATGCAAAAAAGGCTTTGTACCGCGCATCATTTTTATCCGGAACTTGGAAATAGGAAACGTCTTTTGACTTGTCAGAGCGATTACTGCAGCCAAATACAACACAGATATACCCTCCGCGAACTACGGGTTCCGATTCCCGCTCGTAGTGATAAGGATTTATGCAGATTTCGCCTTTTTCCACGCAACACGTCTTTCTTTGTATAAGTTGCAACCCTGGCCCTCTGAAAGACCTTATGACTGCCTGATGCAGCGGAATTTCCCGATTATTGTGCTGAAAAATTATTTTGGTCAGATTAAGTTTACAATAAAACAAAATCAGATCGAATAGATTTATTGTCAGTATTGCAATATATATTATTCCACTTACAAAATTATGAGGTTTTGAAACTCGCAAATTACCACTTACTCGGATATAAAGGTCGTCGCCGCACGCAACACAACTGGTATCTAACGAATCTCCAGTCGCCACGGCAGCGTACATCTTCTGCAGCATTTCCGAATCGGTTTTAAAAATCCGCACCAAATATTTTGACACTTTTTTAGCATAAGCAGTATGAACGTGCTGAGATCGATGCAGGAAAAGTTTCTCAAACGGAGCCACATTTTCTGTAAACGACAAATGATTTTAAATGGTTAACTACCTCTCTTGAACACTTAATTGTAGGCAGTACATTGTCTTACCAAAAATGCCACATTGTTTTTCCTTTTCGATTTTTTCCTTAGCCAGTTTTCGGTCCAGTTTCTTTTTAGCTGAGCGTTTCTGACAGTACTGCGACTTCTGCAATAATATTACAGTACAATAGCAATCGTACCTCGAACATACTGTCAGTACCTCCGTAGACCGTGCACTGGTGAAGAAGTAAGCAATATTGTGTATAGATTTACAATCGAATAACACGACAGTCGGTGGACAAAATCCATGGTAGTACCTTTTGTAAATCCAGTTCTGCGCGCTTCTCCTTGATGCGCTTCACTTGCTCTTCTGGTGCAGTTTTTAAATAATAGCTTTGCTGAAGGTGAGATAAGGAAAAGAATTCTTCGTCACTAATAAACTCACACTCATCAACTGTGGGCCGTAACTCTGCACTTGGCTCCTCCATACTGGCCACTGACGATTATTAGGCAGCAGATAAATTGGAATAAATTAAGATCGGAAATAGATATCTCGAATGCAAGCACCAAGTCAAAATAAGCCAGCATCCAGAAAACACGCAAGGGAGAAGCCGATATCGTCCGGCTGTGGCGTGTGTGCCATGCCCGAGCTAACAACACGGATCAATCTGCAAAACCCACTCAGCTGATCAAGAAAGATGGCAGAGATAAGCAGAGGAAGGAGATGAAATATTACATCTTTACAACTCTGTGTAGAAATCAAATTACGTTCAAACTGAAAGTAAGACGAGGATACGAAAACGAAAATCTAAGAACCTTAGAACAGATAAAAATGTTCGATTTAATTTAAAAAACCAATATCCCTTCTCTGGCAGTATTGACACCCGTAGGTAGTATGCCTGGTGACAGCCAAGCCACAGCTTAATTTTACGCTGCGAATGTAATTGCTTGCCATAAATCGAATTTCCGCCTCATCGCATAGTAATAACACGCGTACGTTACGGTGTCGTTTGCCGAAAGCCTCTACTGTAATACGAGTAGGTTATAACAGTAACGTTATGTTATATTGTTATTGCACTGTGCGGTGTACTACTATTTTTGGAGTAATAATACAGATTAGTTATTAGTTCGTTATGACTTGTGAAGATTATCTGAAAGTCTGCAACAATGGGATTTACTCAATAGCTTACTATTAGTATTAGTTAATCGTTTTGCGTTTGCCATAGGATTGCTTAAAAATGAGTGCATCAAAAGCCGACGAAGATCCCATTCCCGACAGCTCCGTGGATAGAAATCGTCTTAGATTTCTGGCGGAATTGAAGAAGCTAATGATCGAGAAGGGTACTCTTGAGTCAATGCGAGAGGAAATTAAGGAACAGCTGAGAAAACTGCAGGTAGGAAGCCGTACCTCTGGGAAATTCCAACAGCATTTCTTCATGGTCACATGAATATTGCGCAATGCTTGCTTCATCATTGACCCGTATTAAAATTATTTCACTGTACTGATTGTCAATCAGTGATTGTTGTTTAAAGATTTAAAAGTGAACACCCTAACAAGTAAGGTGCGGAATGCGGATCCCGTGTTAGCTCTTCCGCGGCGCCTTGCGCAATAAATTTTATGTTTATGTTATTTACTTTTAACAGCACGAACAGCGTTATGCAACAGATCTGCTCAACTGCATCAACCGGATACCGAATATTCCAAAATCCGTTGATACGCCGAATTCACAAAAGACGTACGACGATCATGTGGATTTTCTGGAACTCGACGACCCACTTATCTGATCCTGTAGATGTGGGCCATCTGGAGCTCTTTGTGGTCCGGGATACTTTCGGGAACTGGAAGGTGTATATTGTGATCGCTCTTTTGCTGGAATGGAATACTTTGTGAGCTTTCGTTGCCTTGTGATGTTGCCCACTGAACCAGACTAAATTTATGTATTACAAAAATCTGTGATTAGTTTCATTTTCATTAGTGAGTAGTCTCACAAATTGAAATTGGTATGTATCTCTAAAAAACTCTATAGCTTTGTTATAGAACATGCTTTGTTATAGAACATATACGTAACTGCATCATGGAAAATTTGAAAGCCCAGAAAATTGACATAAAAACTTTAATGGAATGAAGTCTTTCGCGTCGGCGTATGGAACAGACATGTTAAATACAATAACTCGCCACCAACGATTCGCTCATGATGATTCACGGAACTGTTCTCGTAGTTAAAATTGTTGTTATAAATAAATAACTAAACATAATAAGGATGTTAACTGTTAAGTAATATTAACCCGACAAAACATTACGAGACAATGGAGACAGGGATTTGCAGTCGTCAGCGGCTCAGCCTCATGTCATATCGGTTTTGTCAATTAAGTGGCAACTGGGCATTAAATCATTAACCAATAACTTCATTTCACATACTACAGCGAACGCCTACACGAAATATAATGAAAACTTTTCTGCTTATCATTCCCCGATAAAAACATTTTTCCCGGAGTCGTGTCGCCAAATAGTGATGCATCAGGAATGTCCAACGCGATCGCGGGGGATCAAGCGCAGATCACTTCCATGCTTGAGAAAAACGTTCCCGGCGCTCTGAGCAGGGTTAATTCCAATGCCATCATTAGTAATAACTGCGCTAGTAGCAGGCGGCACCTTGAATTCTTCCGCAGCAAATTTCACTACTGCCGTAAATGGCGTCTCTTCTGGAACTGATAGCACTTTGAAAGGCAATTTCGGATCGGACGTCAATGTTATCTTAAACGTAACTTTCGATGCCATGAGGAAACACGAATGGTTCAAGAACCGACTCAGTTCTGAATGTACCAACGTGATCGGTAAAAAATTATCACTCTTCTGCCTCACTCTGCCTAAAAATCTTAGCGTAGGATGAGAAAACGATGAGAAAACAAAAGATAAAAAAGCACACGAACTTCGATGAATTCTTTGCAGTCTGCTGTTTGCACAGAGGATTGCGTCCCGTACTGTATCTGGAGAAAAATGACGTGGAGGTTTTGAAGCGATAAAATGCCATCCGAGGGTGGTTAGTCAATAGTCAGACGATAGATGTCCGAAGTCTAACTATTACAGTACTTACTTTACGGCAGTACCTGTTAGTCTAATACGAAGAAATAATTATACGGTTCACAAATAATTTTCTCTTGCCAATACCGTTACGGCGCAAAAATTTTGACGTTTATACGTACCTCACTGGCAGTAACTGATACAACATAAAAGAAGGAACCACTTGTATCTTATGTGAACTTCTAGAATATTGCCACAGAAGGTCACAAAACCGCTTGGGTTCTGATCGCGTATGCTTTCCAGTTTCCGGCCAAGGAGTTCAAGTTGCCGACTTATCCAACTGAAAGCTTTCATCCAAGTTATCCGTATGCCAAAAGAAACACAATGATAATTTATTTCCAATATAATACAAAAACAAAAATCAGAAAAGATCTCGAAAACTGTTCAAAAAGCCAACTTCTTACAGTCCCAGACTAGAGAGCAAAGGATTCATCAGCCAGAGACGAAAGAAGGTAACTTATGGACACGGTTTTGGCATCGCAAAGCGTTAAACAAGACATTAAACCAAAGAATCCACTTCGTGGAAGAGTTTTGGTAATAAAGAAAGTTCAAATTTCAGAAAACGCCGGCATAAGCAAGACCATCGTAGAGCTTCCAAAATGGACACGCACAATCTTTAAAATAAACCAAAGGAACTGAGTTTTCTTGAAGATTCGAGCAATCTAGTTTTTCTCGTATTGCCATGCAGGAACTGCTGGTGGTCGTCCAATGATGGAAAACTCTTTGCCAGACGTAAATGGGAGTTTCGTCAGTTTGTGGGTAATTGGGAAAAATCATGAATTCACAACCATGTGATTAAGTGCGAAAAAGCCACAATCCTAGTAATTCAGTCAAATGTGGATGCTTCAAAAAACGCTGAGACATCCATCCGTTAAGATCGCCGAATGATATGAGAACCGACGAAAAAATGAAAAACCGACTCTAAAGCGCAACCTGAAATAAAGACAGTATTCTATTGAAACAAAATAAAAAAAATAACGATAAATGCTCATACCGTATTATCGCTTGCAGATGGTAACGAGTCACTGAGACAGTTCACCAATTCTGTGTCTCAGCGGCATGTTGATCGTTGTCGCCAGAAGATTTGCCTCCTCTCGATCACCCGGAGCGTCCTCAAAAACTGTTTTCTGGTTATCGGTGACACGCCTTCGGCCATCTCCACTCCCGGCTCCACCCTGAAACTCACCAGAGCCACGACCTCGCCCACCTCCGCGCCCATCCCCACCGCGACGACCGCGTCCACCTGGACGGCCACGACCGCCACGTTGTCCGTCACCTCGAGTACGATCAGTGTCGGCGTACCGATTACCACCATCATTTTCGTAACCGTTTACCCTTTCCTGGCCATTAAACGACTCGCCATGTGGTGGACCTTGATTCCGAGGAGCCCCGCCGCCCCGACCACCGCGTCCCGGCACACCACCACCGCGTCCCATAGGAACTCCAGGACCCGCTCCCCGGCCACCTCGAAAGCCACCGCGATTCATCCCGCGAGGACCTGACATCATACCCAAATCATTGTCCGACATGTAATCCGATGGGCCATGATTTATACGTGGCCCCATTCCATCTCCGGGAACCATTTTCAACGATCGCAACTGCTGGTTTAATTCGCTGGATTCTTGTCGCAGCTGTTCCAGTTCACGCAGATGAGTCAGATGAAATTCCAGTAACATGCGAGCGTTGGCAATGGCTTCAGCCAAACCGACAAACACAAACGGAATATGCCCCTCCAGGCGATGCGCTGTGTTTGGTTCGTTTTCGCCCTCCACTTTAACGCGTACGACGCCTGAACCATCTACGATTTCTTGAATCAGATGTCCATTCTTGCCGATAACTTTTCCAACCATAGGAGCTGGAATCTGTACGACGTCTTCGCAAAATTCCAACAGGGCACGGGCTTTTTTCACCCCTTCTTCGGTTTCGCCTCGCACGGTGAACGTACCTGTACTATCGTCCAAATCAACCCAGACATCCTTAATGCGGCGTGCTGTTTTGATATTACTTCCTTCCGCTCCGATAGCCAAACCCATGAGATCTATGGGGACAGTGAAGACCTCCACAAATTTGGCGGTAGACGGTTGGCGTGAATAATCTGTCATCTTTTTCACGGTATCATCCCGTTTGCTCATGAGCATTTGTTTCTGTTTCATGCTTCGAAAGAACAACGGAGCCAACATACTTGCGCGCTTCAGTGTATTTTCATTGGAGGAAATAACAATAAGGCTTTTAGCGTTGGGCTTGTCGTCAAATCGCACCACACCGGCTTTCGTTCGTTCCTGGAATTCACGCAACGTTTCAGGCCGCTTAGCGATATCCACTACCTCTTCTGGCAATTCGATGGGCAGTTTCTTGAAGCTGTTCGATGAGATGACTGAACGATGGGGGAGCAGGCGCCGCACTGACTCATTAGGAACGATTTCTTGACGCACTTCCGCATCGGATATCTTAATGTCGACCACAAGAAATTCGCCTTTGACAATTTTGACATGAGCGCGGTACCATCCGCTGGGCTCCTGTTCTGAAGGTCGAAAGAACACTTCGACATCCTCGCCAGCCTGGATGTTGGGAGTGGGGGCTTTCAGTGGAAGATACACTTCACTGAACGGGACGATCTGGTCCGGCTTCCAGTTGTTCTCATAGGACAACAGGACCCCGTTCGGAAGAATATCCACAACGGAGGCACGATAGAGAACTCCGTTGGCACCCACCACTTCCACGCTCAAGTCTTCCATGGTGATGAAGTCCAGAATTGTGAGTTGATAGGATACTACACTCAACCTAACGTCATACAAAACTTCAAACATACAGCGCCGGATCAAGTAATCAGGGCAATTTTTCAAAAGCAGCGTATCAGAAAAGACTAAGGCTTTATAATACAAAAATCCTCTTATATTCAGGAAATGAAAACTATTTCAAGTTTACCTACTTTACCATTTAGTCACTTTGTGCACCGATATTAAACTCGATACTACAAAGTAAAAAACAAACGCGGAACCTTAAACGTCAAACTTCTATTTTTATGAGCCAATAGATAGCTTATAACTGTCACTGGCTTTGTAAGCCCTTTTATCATTAGTGCTGGTTGCTGAATAACTTTCAGTCTTCACAAAAAAGTATGAAATACGTACGCTCTAGCGCTGTACTATAAGAAGTCCAGCAGAGATCATAATGCAGAAAACCAGCAGAGATCATAATGCGCAATGAGCAGAAAACCTATTACCGCGTGAACTGACTGCAAATCTGTAACAAAATTAAACTGCTACTTAGCTATTAAAGTCAAAATCCCAGATTCTGTTGGCGCAGCGCACTTCTCATTTCACTGTTAAAGTTCGCCGATACAGCACATTGGAAGAACTTCAGCATCATACTTTATAGCTCGATTACGATCACTACTCGAACCTAGCTTTACAGCGTGAAGTTACACTGATCTAAAGCTAATGAACGAATTAAAAAAATCGGAATCCCCCAGTTCACTTACCGTTGTGATGGAAATTATATCAGCAAGGTTGAGGTATTTTGAGAAGGTCCCGAAAGATGGAAAATCCGAAAACTCGTCAGATTTTTAAATGAGGAGTGCTCCACAGTCTCAAAAGCAGCAGCACGACTATCGTCCACATTGACCTCGGTTCGGGATGGCACGGCTCACGGGTCGGTCAGCTTCGCTCCTTCCGGCGTTTTCCAGCTGCAGTTCCAAAATTTAGCTAGCGAGTTATGAATAGTTAGCTCATTTGCGCACCCTATAAACGACCAGCAACACTACTTAAATCATATTAAATGGCACTTCGATTTCATTAATCAAGTTAACAGTGTTAACTCCATTAATTTTTTTTAAGATTTGAGTTTTGTTGTACTTTGTATTGATATAATGATATTGATGGTTAATAACTTATGATACCGGCTAAGTTACAAATTCGGTCTCATCGGCGACCGGAAACCGACTGACCGTTTCTCGGCGCTTACGACAGTAGTAAGGTAACTATGGTAGCTCGCGCCTCCTGGATCAGTCAGCGTTGAAATCTACTGCCCCCTCCCCATCAGTCGAAATTACTGAAGCCATGAAGCGATTTCAATTTTGAATTTTTTTATTCTGTGCCGTATGGTATTCGAGCTGATTGTAAAATTAGTGATCATCTGCGCTCACTAAATCAGCTGATCACTGTTATTCGTTTGCTCAGTATTTTTTAATTCGGTATCAGCCGTAGGACGGTTTAGGAAAAAATGGGAGAATCTGATGAAGATATATTGCTAGTAGATGAGGATGATGATACTGCTAGCTCAGTTCGCGGAAAACCGAAGTCTGGAAGATCGTGGAAAACTGCAAAAAACCGGTAAGATGTGGACTGTGAACTGTGAATCCGTGATTTAAAGTTTAAACCGTAGTTATTTTGTTTCCTGTCCTTAGGATGAGTAATCCGGAATAATTTGGTGGTATGGGAATTAAGTTCTGGCCGAGAGTCCTTCTTCACTGTATACTTATACTTACAGTATAAGATTTTATAATATTAGTGCATCGGATTTATCATTTACTGTTTATTTTTAGATGATGCGGCATTGATGCCTTACAATGTTAGCAACTAAGCACGCACAGCCATTTGTAAATTAATAGTACTGAATTGTTTACCAAACATCCAATTATTAAAGTGATTGATCAGATGTTCTGATTTATCTTACACGAAAATGTTTTTCAGGTATTCCTCCATGAATAAGGTGAAGCCTTTGCGTTCCTCATGGCAGGACAAGATGAAAAGAAGCAGGCTTTAAAATTAGTTAAAGAACAGGAATCTCAATTCAAGGAGGAGAAAAAGAGAAAAAAAGAAGTAAGGCATAGCCGTAAATTACCCGAAATGAGCCCATGTTGTTAAGTATTCGTGAATTGTGATGATACTGCAAAAAGCGCTGTTACGAAAGCAAGCACTCATCGTTAAATAGCAGGAATTCTAATAGCATTTTATATACGAAGAATACGCTAGATTTACTACTGTACTATAGGCCGTTTTACTCGCCTTTTCTGCTTAAAATTTTAAAGCTTAATTTTTGCATTGTCCTTTTAATTTTACGACAAAATAAACTATATATACTAATAATAATCTCTATATAATAATCGCGTAAGCCTTAATCTTTGTTGAGTCCGTCAGCTCGACGCACTGATCGAAACTGCCATGACTATGTATCATTCGATAGCCCTTAAAGTGTACATTAGCCATCACAAATCAGTTTTCGAAGAAAAAAATAAGTTTGAAAGAAAATGTTCACAAACATTAATATACTAAGTCTATGGGAAAACCTAAGAACCCATCACTGCTAAACTGACCACCCCATCACTGTCTCAAGAGCGCTTTTTCGACAGTTTCGCGCAGCTGCCAGCTTGATCAATTTTACGTCCCATAACAGATAATGCTCCATCGTCCTAAGTTTGTATATTTCTCTTCAAAATTTGGTTTTAAGAAAGAAAATAAAACGAAAAAAAGAAAGAAGACAAATATAGCGGAGGAGATTCTGCGACTGTGGGACGGCTCTGAAGTCTGTTTTGAAGTAGCTGACGCCCGGAGTGGTTTATTTAGTTTTCGCTTAACTATACTGTAAACTGTAAAGAGCCTTCCCGGCGGCGCGGTTGCCTTTGTTGCGATGGAATTGTGAAGACCAATTTTTTCGAAAATTGCTGTCGTTTTCGACAGAAAGTTGAGGTACTCGTAGTATTTGAGACAGGCAAGTGGGGCAATTTGGAATCTTCAAGATTTCCTTCGAAGCACAGCAAGCTGTTTTCTCCGCATGGTACGTGCGGTCTGGAATAAAAAACGATTGATACGTTCTACATTGGTTGATTTATATAAATAAATAAATGATTAATATGTAACACAGTGCTTTTATCTGTACAAGGTACATCATATTCGGTTTAAAAACGGGTGGATGGAGTTGGATGTAGCAAGAACTGCATGATATTAGTTGGAATGCTTCAATTAAGTTCAATATAAGTGCCAAGGAACAAATAATTTTTTCTGTTCGCTGCAGAGGGTATTGGAAGGCGCCGAGCTGCGGCGCGAGCAGAGCTCGCGTAGCCGCAAGAATGTCAGAAACGCCGCTTAACAGTTGCCGATTTTGAAGGAGAGCTAAAGCGCGGAATGAAACGCAACGAAAGGCTTTATTTATTTTACCTGTGGTCAAGCAGTAGTAAAAAGGAGTAGCAGCAACAAGTAGAGCAATTACTCTCTTAGCAATTTGGTTGTTCAGCTGGGATAATATGACGGGCACCAGTGGTGTTAGTGGTCGAACTGGGGATTTAAAGTACAGTCAATAAACTGTTATTGGATAGTTTACACTTTACAGCTTGAAAAGCGCAGAATTGCAAAAAAGCAGGAAGGGAGAATAACTTCTAACAAATTACAGAGTGCATACGCAGGAGCTGCACAAAATTTAGGCAAGTAATTGGTTGCTGATTCGGAAATCAAGAAATAAGTCAGAAACTAATGAGAAAAAGTATTCGCTTTTGGGGAAAATTTCGCATTTCAGGTTTAAGGTTATCTCTGCAGTTAAGGAGACAAGCATATTTTCCATTAGATGATATCGTCATTAATTTTGCGGACTTCGGTATATTATAGCATTTACGCTTCGTCCCTAAAACCTACCCTTTACCTGCAGACTGTAGTCACGAGTTTTAATTTTTGCACTAGGCTATGATTTGACCATCGCATTAATTATTCCGCGCAATTTGCGCGGGGTCTGCTAGTAATATTATGATTGTCATTTGTCAGTAGTTTGAAATTTTTTGTTGCGCAGGAAGCCAGGATACGAATAGAAGAAAGAAAAAAACGAGAAGAAGAAAATGCACGACGCGCTGAAATTGTTCAACCCATTAAGAACACTGCCAAGATAAGAAGAATGAAACGGAAGCAACTGCGTACACTGGAGAAGCGCTGAAAATGATCTGTGTGTCATTGTGTCTGAAGGGATGTGTCCAGTGCAAGACTGCAACGATACTCGTAGGGTGCGTCTCCAATTCAAAGCGAATGTAGCTTTGGGACGGTTGCTCAACCGCACGAGGTGACTGTATGCAGTGGCCACGCCTACAGATACGGTACGCGAAGCCACCTCGCGAGGTGGAGTTGCTGTATCGAAACAAGATTCGCTTCGAATTCGGGACGAGGCCGTAGTGGCACAGAGAATGATACTGTAACTGGTTATCGTTCTCTGTTGTGTTTACAGGCTAAATCTGTATTGTATTATTATAATTTGTATACATCAGTGATTAGTACATGCATAAACATTGTCCACTCTTCTCTGGGTTCTTTGACAAAACTTACTGGAATAAAATCAGAAGCTCTTGAATCCTGATCCTGTCGTTGTACTTGTACACTGGAATAGCTTTGCTTACTGCACATTTAGGGGCAATTGCGCTGAGAAAAGTTAAACTAAAACTGTGGGGGTAGCAAAAACTGAACACTGGGTGGTGCACTTCGTCTCGCCACGATTACCCCTTAAATGAATAAAGCGGGACAGCCGACAGCAGTTCTTCATAAAAGACCAACCAATGTTATACTGTATTTTATAACTTTTAACTTTATTAATGTGTAAGTACTCCTTTTACAGTGATTTCGAAGCTTTAGCGTTTAGGTAATTTTGAGATTTGATTGTTTAAGTTAGCGATTAGCCTTGCATTTTTTAATTGATCATTTCACTTTGAAGTTTTGAGCCTTTCATTTTGAAAAATGTGACTCTGCTGAAGCCTGAAACCCATAACCTAATTGTGTGAGCAACGGTGGCCACTGTCGATCAATCAAGACTCATAAGCGATAATCAAAGAAGTTGTATCTTTTACAATGGAGCAGATTGGATCAGCAAAAAAAGCTATCCGAAATAAACATCCAGTCTATGATGAGGAAGTTCTTCCTTACGACACCAATTTTTTCATGGAGCCCCCTTATGAAGCTATCACTACTCTTCAGGATTTCGAGGAGTACGCTCAGGAACGACTGAAAGTTCTTCGTGCTGTTGAGAATGTGGGCGTCAAATGTCGGAAATTTTCACAGCAGTACTATGAGCAAATAAACAACGATCTTACAAAAGAATTAAGAAACCGCTATATACGTATGACTAACAAGGATTCTGTGGAAATCGTTCTTCAGGAGAGGCAGCGAGATGCGTTATCTCACTTCATTTTGCAGATGGTTTTCAGCAGAAACGAGGTACTTACTAACTTACAGTAACTTACTTTTCACAAAATATTTTATTTACCTTGCGTTTTTTCATAAAATAAAAATCTTTCCTCTTCGCCAGCTACGGAGTCCAAATCTTGCTGCGTACTTTTCGCATATTCCACAATTTTATTTCATAATTAATTATTGTGATTTTTAGGACCAGCGGCGTTGGTTTATACAGCAGGAGAGCGAGCTGTTTCGATTGCGGTTGGGCTTGGAAACTGCACCAGCTCTGAGTCGATTTATTAGTGACAATGCACTGGGATACACCGCCCTACCGGACGAAGAGTGGAAAAACCTGCGAGATATATTGCAGGGTTCCACTTTCAATGGACAGACTGAGTCGGAATTCTACAAGATGGATTGGGTGGAAAGTCTGAATCAAGTCAGACAACGTCATGTCTTCGTAAATCAGGGATATGCGTATGTTCCGCGTAAACACTTGGTTGATGTTATTGCGGCTCGATTTCGGGAGCACTTGTCACACCAAATGGCCAAATTGGTGCGCATTATGACGGAAACGCAGGAGAACACGCGGTTGTTTCCGCTTTTTGCTAGACTGGTGACCGGTTACTCGGGAAAAGATTACAGGTAAAGTTTTTTGCAAGTACTAGGTGTTTTCTGTGCTAGTTTTCACAAGAAAATAACGATTCCGAGGCAGTATTTACGAGGTGTTGTCTTTTTGAATACATTTGCTCCGATATTTCATTAGAAGTTTTGTGCAAAGGAACAAAATTTGCCTGTCTGCCAATTTCTTGTAATGTTTCAGTTACCTTAACTTTTCATGAAATTTGATTATGAATTTACATTTGGAATACTCGCACATTCATCGTGATAATTTCATAGAAGACACTGTAATTTGCTTCTGTTCGGCACTTGTTCGATCGTGCCGGCCGATCACGTTTTAGATGTCTTCATATTTCCTTGATACAGTATATATATTTATACGACTTTTTCGTGGACTATTGAAGATCTGTAGGCCAAGTATGTATTGGACAGTGGGCGTCTGATACCAGTTTCTACAGCATCTTAAGGTTTTGTCGATTGCAGTGTGAATGAAACCGATTTCGGCATAAATTTGGACAACTTGAACCAGTTGGCCGTGGAATCATTTCCCGTTTGTGCGCGCCATATGCACGAAAATTTCCGGCGCGATCATCATTTGAGACACTGGGCGCGCCTTCAGTACTGGCTGTTTTTGAAAGGTATCGGCCTTCCAATGGATGACACCATCAAGTTGACCCGACTGGAGTTTTCTCGGCATGGTTTGAATGAAAGTCAGTTGAAGAACATGGATTATGGTGTGCGCCATTCGTATGGGCGAGAAGGCCGCCGTGCGAATTACAACCCTCCATCGTGCATGAAGATTATTACGCAGAATCCTCCAGGTCAGGGCGAGCATCATGGCTGTCCTTTCAAGCATTTTAGTGAAGGGATGCTCCGGCAAAAGTTGACGACGTACGGTATGAACAGTGACGAAGCGAAGCAGATAATGGACCTGAAAGTGCAGAACCATTACCAACATGCGTGTACCCGCTATTTTGAATTGTTTCATGCCAAACACGATAAGCCGGTCTTGGGTATGCCGACCATTGAACATCCGAATCAGTATTTCGAAGAGAGCCGGCGACTCTTGCATCCGGAAAGTGTAAAAGACAAACCACCGGTTTTTTCCCGCCGTTCATCCGCGCCAGATGCAGATGGGAATTTTTCCATGACTCTTGCCCGGGAAAATTTTAATGATTGTGAGATGTCGGAAATGGATATCCCTATCGATGATGACTTAATGCGATCCTATGAAACCGTTATGGAAAAAGAAAGCGCATCGCAGTGAAACTGACGGATGCCTTTGCATCGTATTTTGTAATTGTAAATATTGTCTTTTTTAATTAACACATTTTTATTGATCCCATCAGCCTCCCTAGATTGTTTTCACAAGAAGCATCGTAAACCGCTAACGAGCACTACTCGTACTCCAGTACTGCTCCAGTAGTACAGAGTACTCGTAGTGTTAAACTGTTTCTACACGTTTTGCGAACTCCGAATTGCGAGTAAATTGCAGACGATTCTACACAAAGATGTCAATGTTGAATTACTAACGACGCTGCTTTAATTGATTTCAGACTCTGGGAAGCGCAATAATCATTATCGCAAAAGCATCTTAATTTAAACAGGAAGAAAACAGCCCAAAACGAAACACGGAAAACTGCAAAACCACAGTTAAAATTGACAAAAACCAAAACCGTCCTGTATTTAGAACCGGAACTTGACCACAAAGTGTCGAAAGCCAGCAGTGCAATTTTGATAGCGTTTTCATCACCAAATTAAGAAACTAAATCGTGAGACAAGCGTTTAATAAGCATGCTTTTCAACATACAGCGATTCAGCAGCATTTGCCCCCGCTTCACCACCTTGGTACTGGCCCTGGCAGGCAAGTCCATTAGCCTGCAAAGAGATCCACCTTTAATATATGTCTTTTGAAAAGACTGTTTCAAGCAACAGTAAAGTAAGAAGACAGTCGATACTGACCTTGGCGCGCTTAACCAGTTCTTCCTGAGCCTGTTTGTAGTTTTCTTTCTTGCCAGCCCAAGTTTTGAGAACAGATGCCTGCAGAGCTCGACCGAATGAGAAGGTCAGCTTCCACGGCTTTTTGCCCTGATAGGTATTGATGGCGTTAAGATTGACCGTCGCTTCCTCTTCAGACTGTCCACCAGAGAGAAATACAACACCTGCAAAACTTCCCATCAGATTTCTGGAAACTAAAGTAAACAAAAACTTTCATTTCTTCTTTTTACCGGGAACAGCAGCCGGAACAGTACGGTTGAGAGCTGTCACAGTGGCACGTCCAATTTCCTGGGCCGAATACTTCTTCGGGCACTGCTGTCCAGCGGTGACCATGTTGGGCTTCAGCAAAGTGCCTTCCAAGAAAACGTGGTGGTCTGCGAGAGCTTTGTATTGGGCTGCAAGCACCTACAGTAAAAGGCAAACAGATCAGTAACATGCCACATACAGCATATTTAACGGTCACTATGAGTAGAAATGTTCCTAGAAAATACGCGAAATCACAGACCAAAGCCACAGAACGGCAGCAAACTTCTGTGATTACACGACGGCTTTCTCATCAATCATGCGTACACAGTACTGCACACATTAATTTTATTATAATACTTATACATAACTGCATCGCTGATATCTTTTGGTTTTATCAAAGTCTCTAAGCAAATTTCGCCAAGACAACCATACGAATGACATGACACGTAGATTAAGTACAGTACCTGCTCAGTGATATATTGGGCGCGTTCCAGATCATGATCGCCATCTGGCAAAACTTCCGGCTCGACGATAGGGACCAAACCGTTCTGTTGGCAAATGCTGGCATAACGCGCGAGCACATTGCAGTTCTCCATGATGGACAGCGCCGATGGAGTACGGGGTCCAATTTGCAAGACGCAGCGCCATTTGGCGAAATCAGCCCCGTCCTTTTTATACTGTGCGCATCGCTCGGCCAAACCGTCCAGACCTGCGCAAGCAACATGAAGTTCAAACAAACAAACCAAAGTAAATCTTGCAAATTTTCAGAAACGACTGTGTACACTGTAAGCATTATTACGAACATAACTAATGAAGTAGTAAAACGAAATTCATTCTAAATTGACACCTGCCTGAGAAAACGTTTTACGTCAATACAGAAATAGATACTTACCCTGAGTGGTTGTTTCTCCTTCCGTTCCAGCCAACGGTACCACACCTTTGTCAACCTTGATGCCGACGATGATTCCAGCATCCTTAAGGACTTGCACAAAAGTGCGTCCATCATCAGCCTTCTGGTACATAGTTTCATGGAACAGAATCACACCACCCAAATTCTGAGACAGCTGATTGGCATCTCCAGCGGTGAACAGGCACTGACGGTACATGCGCCGGTTCTCCTCGGTGTTCTCCACATTGATCGATGCCAGACGTTTTGCGATGCTGCCTACATAAAGAAATATGAACTCAATTAAATAAATTCTACAAACTAAGTATCAGTGAACTGATTAGCAGAACGTGAAGATAATGGTACGAAATGACAACCGGTGATAGATAAAACGGAGCACCGACAAAACCCATCAGGTATAGTACTGTAATGAAAAGTAATATGCTTACCAATACTGCAGCAAAATACACGCTCAAATTCAAGAAAATATAAAATTTCGAAACTCCTTTAATTACAAGAATATCTATAGCAGTAATTTACTTATACTTTTGCGACTAATAGAATTATAGAAGCCTACTGAGCAGAATTCTGCAACATGTTACAACACCAATTTACACCATCAACTGTTGAAAAGCTGGACCAACACGACACTCGACTTCCTGGTGGACGCACGGCGCGTGACCTTACCAGTGCTTTCGTCAGCAGCGAGAATTCCCTTGCCCTGGGCGACAATACGGTTGGCGATGTCAGCCAGCTCTTTCTTTTGCGCTTCCGTAAGATATTGTGGAACCGACATTCTCTGTAAGAACAAAATTCACAACTACGTTTTACCGCCAAACAATAAAACTGTGAACACAATATTGCCGAACTCAATGGTTAATCAGAACCGCGGTATGTTCTTAAAAAACACCACTGTTAAGAAAATTTGAGAATCTCTTAAACAAAACCAGAAACACTAACATTGGCCATTTTGTAAAAAATCCGAGACAGTATCCTGAGGTCGGGCAAAGCGACGAATGAGGTACGTAATACAACAGTCAAAACAAAATTTAATTCTAAGAGAGGTATGGATTGAATTACTTATTTCATCAGTGCGATGTCGAACAGATTTTTAATACCAATAATATAATTCACGGTTGTTACATACAGAAAACTGCAGTAGAAATTTACAGTACTATCAGAATGAGAAATCACATTAAGGCGCTATTCCAGTTCTTCATGCATTTGTCTACTATTCGCTGCTCCTTTATATACCACCGCTGCTCATGCATAGCGTAAAAGGGCGATCCATGACAACATCCGATCTTGAAGTTGGCACGTCATCCCAAACTGCTTGATCAGCACAGATACGACACGGGGAAAGGGAGCATGCAGAATTATGAGTTCAATCCTCTGTGTTATTTTTTAGAAAATCTTTCATCATTCATCGAGCAAAAGTAATTCGCTGTCATTTGTTGTGAGACTATAATATATTTCAGATACGCACACTTTCGTTAATATATCGCCCATCTCCGGGCTGCAGTGTGGATACAAAGATACTAATAGTTACAGTACCTAAAAGAAGTCAAAGGGCGACAGGAAAAAATCCCTTTCTACGATTTCATCTGATTTAGGGAGGCTTCAATGCGCTCAACGGCCCTCCAAATCTGCTGTACACTTACCGACTTCTAGTACGACTCGCTGGGAAAGGAAAACGCTAAAAGATAACAGGATCCTCAAGAAAATGTGCGATCTATGCAAAGGGAATTCGTCGGTCTACTGACTTCCGCTAGACTACAGCTGACTTGCTTTTGGCACCTTGAAAACTGATCGCGTGTGCGGCGTTTTTGCTGGATGTCAGCGCATCTAGGGTTTCAAAACTGCTAAATGGTCCCACCCCATCCGCGTTTCATTCTACCAATCACCGAGCGCAGCCTGCAGCTTCCGGTTGCTTAAAAATATGCAGTATATTTCATCCGGCTGTGAGTAACACTCGGCTTGGGTGGAAGGGCCATCTTGGAAACTTCACTTTGGCATGCGTACGAACTTACCGCCCTCAGGCATTCGTGCCACTGCCTTCGAAATCAGCCAATGGTTTCCGATTTACTGATTTTACACGCCAGAAAACACAGAAACATTACCAGAATTTTAAAACCATGTACCAGTTTTGAGGTTATGATTTCTGCAAACTGGTGATGCGGCACTAATGCCGTTGCGACTGTCCTTGTTGTTGGCTTACAGATTTAATGAAAACACCAAACATTCTGGAACGAAACGCTTTCCACTGACCAATAATGACGCATATCAGGCATTTCCTTTCCTGAAAACCACGTTCCGTTGTCGCAGAGCTGAAAGAGACTGGCATCCTCCAAACGCATATTTCAAATAACCTTTCAGAACTTTCTTGCAGTCAAAGAAACTGATTGAAGAAGTTACATAATCATAATCTACAAATATTCCAAGATTTTCTTCAGATTCCCAGTTTAAATGAACACGTGAAGCTGTCAGGAAAATAAATTCACGGTCGCTGTAATTGTTGCATTAAGTAACGCCTTTTAGAGCCTCTAACTATGCAGTATACATAAGTCCTGAAATTTCAAGTAATTCCATTGATCTGTCATTTCTATACTACAAAACTTAATATAAGTTATAAGTTCCAAACCAATGAATAATGTTATGTAAAAAGCACCTGAATTCAAACCAAAAACTACCAACAAACAGCTGCACACTGGAATGTATACTAGTAGTATCCACCTTTGACCTTTACGACCTTCGTTACTTAAGGTCCAACTTAAAATACTTAATTTTCAAAAAAAACGATAAATCAAAGTACAATACTTACTTCAATACAGAGTCTGAATGCAGTGTTGCACACATAGATATAGATATTTGATGTACGAGTACAGCTGTTATTCACCAACTTTTAATAAAAGAATAATGCTTTTTTTCGCCTCCCAGTTCCTGCAGTACTCTTCTGATTAGTTATGGAGAAGCTAGTTCATATTCAAACACATATTTTTCTACTCAGATAGCAATTCAAACAGGTCAAACAAAAGGTAAGGAGCTGGCAACCAATCCTCTTAACAGTAACAGTACTAAGTACCGTAGCAGTTGTAGTTTGTTCGGCTCAGAAATTTAACGTATTTACTATGCGCGTTGCACGTAAATATTTTTAGTACGAACAACTAATGGCTAGATTTTTATAATAAAATGTAAACAAATCTTAATGCAGTGCATAGTCAAGAGAGCTAAATCTAGTAACTCTTGTCTTACATCCAAAATCTTTTGGTAAAATATGAACTACAACCAGCAAATTAAGAACACTGGCGTAAAAGACCAGTAACGCAACAACGGTCAGATAATGCTATATGATTATTTCGATGGATCACAAGGCTGCAGTAGTGCTGCGTAGCTTAGTTTTTTTTAAAATTATGACACTGGTTATACAATACGGCATATCACCATCAAAATCAGGAAAATGTCAAATTTCTAGGAACTGATCATAAAGCACGAAATCGATAAACGTTTACTGATCATAAAGAATAAAACTAGGAAACATCTAAACTCAAGTAAAATCTGATAACAAGATGTACAAACTATTACAATTCTCAGATTTTTAAGTGCCGGTAGATGAAAACACTGTTCCACAAAATCTATCGCTGTCGTACTCGTATTTGCCGGGTCTTGCTGAAGAGAGACACCTATTAATGAAACATAAAGCTGTAGTTTCAAGCGGAAACAAAATCTAGCAGAACTGCAGAAGTTGTTCGAAAATGCTACTCACAGTCAGTATCTCCATCTATTCGTACAGTAAGAATTAATACCGAATACTTTACCGTAAGTATAGATATAAACATATGAATACCGAATACGTAAATACCTATTCATTTAAGAACGACTGAATGATAAATTTCATGCTTATTTTGCAACAGTACCCATACTGTAATGAGTGTAATTTGTCACCTCTTGAGTAGGCTACAACTACGAGCAGAATAAAATAAGAATATCAAGAGCATTAAGAAAACCAATCAACATATCTTTGTGATCAGCGGTAACAAACAGAATCATCTCGTTTCATATCCGAATTAATCTACGTTAATTTGCTTCAATCATGCTTCCCGGAAAGTAGTTTATCTTTTGTACCTTATCATGTCTGACTTCAGCATCAGGACTGAGAGACCTCTTGTGGGTTCAAATATGAACGGAATAAATCCCACATATGTAGTCCATATGCCGGAAAATAGGCGGCAAAGGCGTAAGCGATCATGGAGAATATCCCGATGAAAACCACATCGGCAATTCTTCTCTCCCAAGGGTCAAGCATGTATGTGCATGTCACCAGCGTCCACTGAAAATACATCCATCGCAGCTTCTGCAAGAAGGATAAATCGTCCTTCTTAGGGTTCACCATCGTGCTGCGCTCAGGTACGGTGGAGCTATCCAAAGGACGAGACGAAATTCTCAACATGTTGTAGACGATCCGAAGAATGCAGCGAATTAAACCACCACGATAAGGAGGTGAGCGACCGAAGTTCCGATAAATGTAGCAGTAAGACTGCAAGACTTATTTTTATCAGACTCGCTTCAGGGGGGAAGGGGGGCTGGTTTCCAACGTACTCCACAACTTTCAGATTTGATCCTCGAGCCGTAAATCGTAAAATATGTCAATCCTTTCGATCTTGATGCTGGATTTGATTAAATTCTATAAACGAAAGCTGACAATCAGGAGACAGTGTCTAAACTATCGAATCATGGTTACAGCAATCGCTGCTTTTAGATTTACTGTACAGTGCGTTCACAATATCACATACCTTTTTCCATTCCGGATTCCTACCAACAACTGCAATAAAAGGCCAAATACGTATACTTATATATTTTAGATAATTTAAATTACCTCGACCTTTTTCGATTTTTCTCCTCAAGTAGGCTTCTTGGGAAAAATCCAGTATGAAATCCGTTCACAAAACAACAGTGTAGTGCACATATACAGTACCGTATGCGCAAAAAAATTAATACGGGTAAACGGGGAAGCCGTCTGAGGACTACCTACAATAGTAAGTACCAGACCTGGGCAGTTATGGAAATTTCACCCATAGTTATAGTTACGAGTTCACTGCAGCACGCGAGTTACGTTACGAGTTACGCTATTCAATTTAACTGGAGTTATGAGCTATAACGCGAGTTACGCTACAATAAAAATTTTTACTTTATTAATAATTTTCAAGTTATCTCTTACCGGTATTACGTACATTACCAGATTGAAACACACATCGTTATTAACTTTGCAAAATAGCTGATTTTCAGAATTCAGAAGTTGTCGTTAGTGGATGCCACCCACAAGTGCTGTCTCAGATTTGAAAAGTTTGCTTTTCTCTTCACTGTTTGCACTTTGCATACGAGTATTTTACGCAAAATTTTTTCACTGTATTAAGTAACACTAGTACTTGATTCACTTGAAGTATGTACATATCTCCCTCTAAGAAAGTCTTCACTTACATTCAGTCTGTTCACACTATTTCTAAAAAATGCAGAAAAGTTTTTTATTGTGGAAAGTAGAAAGCTTGTAAGTAAAAAGTTTAAGGAGAAACGAAAATAATATCAAAGCTTTTCCGCTTTTCCGTTTAGCATATTCCTGTTTGTTTTGCGGACAGTTTGCCATACGCTTGTGTGCTAAGTGCAATCAATTTATTTAAAAAACAAATCATATTATTTTTGAGATCTCGTTTCTTCGGAATGTTTTTACTTGCAAACGTTTTGTTTTCCATAAGATTTTCTTCTGCGTTTTTTATGCTATAAGCTGAACAGACTGAACGATACTGAAGGCTTTCGAAAAATCCTGAACCTGGAGCGGCTACCCGGTAAACAGCACACTTGGCACAACTAACTTGGCGCACATAAGTATATTTTTTCGTAGCTGACCTGAGTGACTCTACTGGAACACAATGTACTAGTGGGCGCCGCTGATATCGCATCGCCATACATCGCAGTGGCCGCACAGACGTCAGTAATGCCTATGGCGGTCGTGGTGTACTAGCAGTAGGAGCTGTTTTGTGCGTGCCTGCTTGTAGAAGTATCGAAACTCAGTGCGACCCAAGTCGAAAAATATAACTTTCATTTTAAGATTTTCTATACTTTTAAGTTAATAATTTTATTAGTAACTTGAAACCACAGAGTTACGCTACAGTTACGTTGCGTTAAAATGTTTTCGAGTTACGCTAGAGTTAAGTTTTCGTCCTAGCGAGTTACGCTCCAGAGTTACGTTAAAACTCGATAACTCGAAAATAACTCGCGTTAAGTTATGAGTTAAGTTATAACTGCCCAGGTCTGGTAAGTACTGTAATAGCAGTTACTCAACGCTAGAAGGTTGGCTGCTATTCTAGCATGAACATTGAGTTGGACAATTATTCACTTAATATTAAAACCAATTATTGTTTATTGACATCAGCACATCATGGACCATGGTCATCAGTACAATTAAATCATAATTAATTACCTATTATAAAGTCATAACTGGTAAAAAGTACTTAAAAAATGCTAATGCTATTAGCAAGTATTACTTAACCGAATCAACGAGTCAGCGCACACCGCATACGCGTACTCTCTAAAAGTTTCAGAATCTTTTTGCGTTGAAAAACGCAATATCTGCACAAGCAATTTCTGGTTGATTTGGAAGGTGGATTACAAGACAGTAGACGATAAAAATGGAACATACGAATCGGCGGCAAATAGTTGTTTAAAACTAATGGCACGCTTGACAGCCATTAGCCGACACAGTGACACAGAATACCAATCTAATGAATCTACTATGTACGTATATTAATACTTAACCAAATTACATAACAGAAAATCATGCCGAACGGCCCGAGCCCATGCAAATAACCCAAGAAAGCTAATGCGGTTATGAACTCGGCAAACTAACAAAATAAAAGCCGTCCCGTGTCCGGATAAAATCAGTCCATCACTCTTCCCGTCCCGTTTTCAGTAATCGCAGCGTTCTCTCCAGTAAGTCGATAGCAGTGGCCGCATCGTCGAACTGCAATGCACTTCCAGCATGTTTCATGTTTTTCTGCGCTCGAGCTATGTCGTCTGAAGATAACGGAATTCCCGCTGGGTTAGTTACCACTGATACATGGCCTCTTCGTTCAGCAGAAGGTGATGGTGTCTGAACAGACGCTCTTGGAGGAGCAACCGGCAATGTGCTAGGTGGTTTAGCAGGCGGAAAATCCGTTCGGAACGTACTGGGATTAGCGGAATTCCCGAAATCACTGCCATATGTCGGACCAGGCGGGAAAGATGGCTTCTCCGGGGATGGCATGCTTCCTCCAGTGGAAAACGATGGGACATTCTGACCCGGGATTTGTGATGACGGCACATTAACATTAATGGAACCAGGATCTTCGTTCGCTTCCCCGTCACCGCCTTCAGCCAACGGTCCGGGAACGGGGACTTCCCCGTTTTTCAGACAATTATGAATATAAGCGGCTTTCCATTTCGCATACTTCTGCTGACGAGCGACATCATCACTTACTTCTCCCCAAACCGCCAGCACATCAAACAATAACCCGGCAGTGTAAAACGCCTTGATAACATTTTTGTCAAAATGTCCAGCGCGGTCCTGTGCATCCGCCCAACTAAACAGCTTTAGCGCGTAGTTTTCGATGTGCGCCTGAGCTACCATGTCATTAGTGATGGCTTCATTACCTTTCTGAGATTTCTTAGTGCTTTCCAGATGGTTCAGCACACCGGATATAAACAAGCTGGCTGGTTTACTTTTGCTGTCGATACGAATGCCCAGCTGCACAGCATGATAGCGCAACCAGTAGGCTACAACAGGATCGCGGTTGTCGTGCTCCACAGCTGCTTTGATGTAGTGCAGCATGGGTTTTAAATTATCCGGGCACGCAGGTAAATTCGCCAAAGCTGCCATTTGTTATTGTAGCCTGTCAGTAACCTGTGCCTGCAAAATAACATGACAATGTCAACTTTCTGGTTCTTCAACATGAAACACGAAAGGACAGTGAGTATTCATCCTAAAAATCACTACCTCGTATTAGTATTCACTAATACAGTAATACTTAACTATAGATATGTAGGTACGAGGTATGTACAGCAATAGGTAAATACAGTACTTAAAAAATTTACAGTCAAGTCATTCACATTCCCCTGTCACATAAAACATTCTTTAGAATCTTCGATTCGGGGAGTACAATCACTACAATGTACTGCTGTACAGGTTACTTTTAATTCTGCAGTTAAGAGTTTCTTTTGCACTTACGGTAATCCCTTTCCCAGTTTCCTTGCAGTTTTTGATACCAAGAAACCAACTAACAGTCCAAAATCTTAATTCTTAAGACAGGTTCTAAAACTTCTAATACCATCAAACCTTTAAACGAAACAGAAATTAAAAGGTTCTTATTTTTCCGCAAAACACAATGCCACTAAAGCTCGCAGCCCAACAAATCGCGAAAACACTTTTACTCCATGCTGTCACGTGAACTCCGGACACAAGCGAATTAAAATAGGAGCAACAGTAACATCACTTCAAAGTTCTAACTGGGAAAATCAATTAATTTTTATTAAAATTGAAAGTTGATCGGATGAGTCAACTGAATGAGGTAGCTTCCTAGCACACCACACTACAGACCATGGTGTAGTCTACACTTGGAGGAGGTTGATACTTGAAAGGTTTCTCACTGGTCAGTGTGCGTAGCACGTACTCGCAGACAACTTCGATGTTTAATAGCACGGATACATCATCGCGGAATGTGCAGTACTGTACTTATAAATTCCAGAATTCCAGTGCACGTGCAATCTCACTAGACTGAGTAGATTCATAGAACTGGAAGATATCTGGAAGCAGTAAGTTTTGAACTCGAAAGTTCGAAGGTAGATAAAGTTCAAAAGTTATGCACCACGTACGTTTTCATAGGCGGCTCAATCACGAAAGCAGGAAACTGGGAAAACAACAAAACGCCGGCGCATGCGTAACATTGTTACGTACTACCCGTAGTAACTAAAGTTAATAGGGAATTTTAGATTTCACATGGTTTAGGCTCCGTCCACTAGAAACTACCGCGTCACATAAACAGTACGTTTGCAGACTGAAAATCGTTTAAAATGCTTGTACGGATGCACACTTGCAGTGACGTACAGCTGAAAAATAAATCGAATCGAGAGTGCCGAGAGCGTGACCAACCTGCTCTCGGGGAGGCGGTTAGAGCACACAAAAAAGATCCACAGGCAGCATACGCTGGCTTATTGCTCAGCCATATGGCTGAGCCGTTGCACAGTTCCACGTAAGGCAGATAGTTTTTACGCGTCAGCCAACGACGTTGGGTTACGGCGCCTTACGTCGCGAACGGACGTAAATCAACCCGTAACGCCAACTTCTATCCGAACGTCGAACTGCACGTAACTTGTTTTGTGAAATCTAAAATTCGCTAATAATATGCTGTTTGTTGATGCTGTCATTGCTGTGTAATGCTTCAGTTTTGTTGATGCTGTGTGATGCAGCTGATGCTTCAGTTTTCCTTGTTAATCAATAATATTTTCTGAACTAAAAACCACACTGATTGGAAAAAGTTAATGATTAGTTGTTAACCGTTAACGTAACAATTTTTATGGTTACAGACTTACAGCCACCCCCACAGGTAAACTTTCGCACTATTACCGTACCAATTTTGTCAACTTTGCAACTATTGCAATAATTAATCAGAACTATTATAGGTGACTCGGAGGTGAGACTGAGCACTGAGCGATGAGCCGCAAATGGTTGATATACTCCAGTGCAATCGGCACACTTGTCGGTGGAACTGTTATTTTCAAAGAAATTTTACAAGGATGCCTCTACAAAGGCGCAGAGAATTTATCTGGGAGGACTGTGATCATAACGGGTGCGGCTGTTACAGTTAGATTATACGCTGTGTTATACTCCTGGGTTTATCAGGCTTTGGTAAGTGTATGCCTTGTTTTGCAAATGCGTATCTGGTTTCGTTTAGGAGCCAATACGGGAATAGGCAAAGCGACGGCAACGGAGTTCGCAAAGCGAGGAGCTCGAGTGATTATGGCATGCAGAGATATGGATCGCTGTAAGAAAGCCAGACGCGACGTTATCACCGCTGCGCGACCTGTTTTAGCGAAAATGAGAGACTCTTCGGGAAAACCTATGCGGACGAATGTCAAATGCGAAAGTTTAGACTTGGCATCTTTTGCGTCAATTCGAGCATTCGCAGGTGGGTCGCTACGCTGTAAAATAAATAGATGATCTTACCTATAGATATCATATTTATATGTATAAATATGAATGCTTGAAGTAACAAATCTAATGCTTTCTGCTTTTCATATTATTTCAATGATCGATCAGAATTGATACTGGTGAGGTACACTTACAGGATAAAGGCGCGAAGTGTAAAAGTCGTTGAAGACGATTTACCGACCTTACAGTGTCATCGCTAACACGATGCGCGTATGTTAGCCTTATGACGGCTTATCCATTTCCCATATTCCATCACTAGACTACAATGCTTTGTTTTAAAAATACACATTGTTATTAGTATATATTAGGTATTATTTGGCTTTAATTTCGCTACGCAGATATTCTCGTATCTTGAAGATGTTTGTTTACAACGTATTTTCTGCTGCGAAGGCACAGCCTAGGAGTATAGTATACCATTTTTGAAGCTTTCGCCAGTTTATTCTCTGACGAATGGACATAATTAACATGGACGTTCGATTGTCCAACAGTTTGGTAATCATGTTATTTCAGATATAGTGAAGGAAGAACCTAAAATCAATTACCTAATTAACAATGCCGCCACAATGAAAGACCCGGAACGGAAATTAACAGCCGATGGACTGGAGCGGCAGATGGGGATAAATCATTTTGGACATTTTTTGTTGACAAATTTACTGCTCCCTAAATTGAGGGCGACGGTTGAAAGTCGTATTGTGGTGGTCAGCTGTGTGACGCACAAGTCAGGAAGCATCGATTTTGAAAATCTGAACGCCGACAAGGATTATTCCGCCAACGATGTCTATGCTGCCAGTAAACTGGCCAATGTTCTCTTCGGAAAGCAGCTAGCGCGCAACTTGCAGGATGCCGGCACTGGTGTTTTCATAGTCGATCCGGGTCTGACCTTTACGCAACTGAGTAGAAATCTCCCTGTGATGCAGTCCGTGTCCAGATTTATTTTCAGACCAGTAATGTGGTTGTTTTTGAAAACACCTCAGAGAGCTGCTCAGCCCGTTATGTACGCAGCACTTAGTCCGGAGCTGAATAACTGCTCAGGAGAATACATTGTGAAGTGTACTGTTGGAGACAACTCGCCCGCGGCTAACGAGGAGCATCTCGCAAAGAAATTGTGGCTTGTAAGCGAACGTTGGACGAGAACAACAGCTTCCCCAGATAGCACGATATCTTACTGATGCGCGGACGGAGTTGATACTTTAAATACTTACTCTTATGTACAATACAATCATAATAACAAATTAATGATCGCTCATTTCCGTGTTTTATTGTCCTTCGGATTCTGTGAATTTTGGTGGCAATAAAGACGAAATCTTCAAATCTACGAGTAGCATTTAATATATCCATGTTTCACGAAAGAATTCTCTGTTTTTGTTAAACAGATAGCTGTTATTGTGCAACACCTGCAACCCAGGAAAGTTACTGTTGCACTAATAGAAAGGCATCTCGAGGAGTCAAGGGTTATAAACTTTTTTGGTTGAAACTGCTTTTCATTATGAAATTACATAATTATTATTTCCTTATGAATGGAAATCTGCCGCATATTATCGAAGGCTGTGATTAAGCTGCATGAAATCAAACCATAACTAGTTTTAACAGGTAGCTTTATTCAGTATGTTTAACAACAGCAATGCCTTGAGTTCACATCATGTACAGAAAAGTGAACGAAAATGAAAAATAAATCGTTATCGTTTTATAAATAATTATTTATTGTTTCCATTTAAGTGAAACAACAACTTGTAACTTTGTAAGTACCTCTAGTATAAGAATTACGAAATCACCGTAAACGTGAGATTCACTATTTCCCACCACAGGAACCATGCATACATATTTCTGTTGAGCATCGGGGTTATAAGTTATAACCGTGTCATCAAAGCACGAACTTAAATCCAGCTTAACTACTGTGATTTAAGACATGCGCGATTTATTTTGGTTAAATTCTTCCATGTACTTTGTCCAAGATAACTCGAGCTCAACCTCTTTCTCTCGTTTTTGTCGCTTGGACATTTCCAGAGTTTCGCATGGTTCCAGGTTAGCCGCTTTATATTTTTCTTTCAAAGCTTCATCGACTTGCCCCTCTTCTAACCACTCATTGTTACCAGCAGGTTGTCGGACCTATAACATACTAACAGTTGTAACTTGTAAGTACTGCAAGGGCAATACTATTAGAACACCGTTAAAGTTTTCCACATGCAACTACTGCAGCCAAGCATGGGAGTTATGATAAAGCACATTCACAAAGAACGATGAGTACGATTTCAGAAAGAAAACTCGCTCAAAAAGCAGAATACAACTCTACGAGTCTAAGAGAGAAAATGAACACATTACCAAGAAAAAGAGCCTGCAGTGTGCGACGCGATGACCAAGTATTTCCTTGGCTTTCGAGCGTGGACGGTGCCCTGCAGTGCAACAGTTCACATAATAGATACAGTAAGTTGGTTGTGACAAATGAAATGCCCATCGAACTTTGTTTTCGGAAAAGTACATACAGGCGCGCCGTTGATTTGCGTCGTCGCCGATCCCAATTCCCAAAGTTTCTAGAGAAGAAATTTTAATATAAAAACGCCCATAAAATACATTATTATCATGCAGTTAGAGCTTCGTCAATGTAACGATTTGGAACTACAGTAATACGGATACGCACCATCAAGCGCTTGATTGTCTAACAAAAGCTTGCTGATACGCCTTTCTGACTGTCTTGATGGGAACATATTTAATTGTGCGTCCAGTTTCTTGAACCGCACATCTGAGTCATGGTCATCTGCGCAAGCAACGAGACAATAAGGTCACATGTTTTCATACCAGATTGTTTTGCAGTTTTCAAAACATCGAAGTAAATTGAAGCTACCTAATTCCGTACGAAGCTGCAGAGGAAATTATTCAGTAACAAGTGTAAACAGTAAAGTTATAGCTATACAGAGCTATGCAATACCTTAGTACCTACCTAAAACTGTTTCAGCGTTTCTAAAGACTAGAACACAAACAGAAAAGCAAACCTTTACCGAATTTGTTTTTCTTTCGGCAAGACTTCTGCAGACCTGTGGACATTGGCAACGAGAGAGCTGAAAAATTCGTACAAAAACAGTAACGATTTCATCATGATTCGTAAAGATGGCGTTTAAAGTTTTTTACCGCGCGCAGCCGCCCGAGATGCTACAATGGATTTTTCGATTCTCGTCTTTGCTGATCCGGTAGATTTGGCACAATACAGAGCCTTTCGAGATTCTGTCGCATAAATCACATGCACGAAAAATAAAATTAGAGATCCTCACACACTATTAATGCAAATCGTAACGTTTAAATCGCAAAGCAAAGCTTTCAATTACCAGACGGTTCACTCAGAGACGCTGCTGATGACACTTGACCAGTAACCATATGAGCACTTTCAGAGTTTTTCTTTTCTGACACAGCGGACACAGGCACAGCGATCTGCTCATCGTTTGCGCTTGCACTGCCATCAGACGTGACCACTGGATTTCTTAAAAACACTGATGATGATGCATTTGCAGGCTCGAAGTCGAACCGCGTAACTCCTTCCTGAACCGTGAAACAGCCAACAGTTTCAATAGAATGGCTATTTTTGTTCGCCGATGCCGCTTGTGATCCTAAAGGCGGTTTTTGTTTTCGTTTTCGAGGTGCTGCTGGCGTTCCTAGTGCAGCTGCAAACATACAGAAACACAGATTCAACTGCCAGCGTAAAACTCACAAAATAATCAGCAACTCTCGGTTATCCGAACTGCAAGCGCAAGTGATGCTCTCGTAGTTGTAACAGACTTGAGGGGTGCGGGTCACGACTTACAGTATCATGGATTCCGCTCTGGGCCGCTCGAATAATATGATTTCAAGAAGTACGTTTTAAGTAATTATTTGCATTCAGAATCAATTGATAATCAACATACAACGCATAATTTCAACAGCTAATAGTAACAAAACAAAAACAGGAAACTAAATTAAATCTAAATTCAACCGGCTACGGTACCTGTGCGAACTAGTTCAACGAAAGCCTTCATGTAGTCCTCGGCAAACAGATCCTCCAAACCTGGAGGGAGGGACTTCTTGCTATCGGTTATGTCTATTCGACGGTTATCTGTTATCAAAACGAATTCGGACATTAACGTTAGCGGTGCTGTAAAAACTGAATATTGACTATTGAGCAATGTGCAAATGGTCAGCTGTCCCTGTCCGCAGAAGCTTACTGGAAAGGGGCACACCAAAGGTATTCTTTGCGGAGTTGTAGACCACGCAACTTCCAATTGGGGGAAAAGCGTCGTTGTCTTCTTCGCAAGCCGCTCTTCCTGATCGGCTGAGGCGAGTGGAAGCTGAACCTGAAGAAGGCTTGGGATCTGAATGGGAGTTCGTTTGCTTCGCATTTCGACCCCGTGCCTGGATCAGCTCATCGTCCATCATGATCAATCAGTGCGCCTTTCGGTAACCAGTCAACAAGAGGACAAACCTGCTACATGATGCCAATCTGGCAGTGCAAAACCGAATCTTATTCCACGTTCTAGTTGAAGTACGGTTACGGCTCAAGGAAATAGTCACATGGCACTATAATTAATTACGATTCTAGGTACTGTATATCCAGTATAGGTACAAATTGACAGCGTGATGTTGATACTGCCATATGCAAAGTGATCTAGCAACAAGAGTTCGCAAGAACTGTTTGAACGATTTTACGCACTTTTACTTGTTAAATGAATGCACCAGCTGACCAGCCGCGGCTGAAGCAAGAGCATCTTGTGCCAAAGGCAACCGCACACGGGGTACATTTTAGTGAATTCATTTTAAAATTTAGTTTTTTAAAAATTTAAACAGAAATTTGAAATGCAGTAGTATACTCGTACCAATTACTAGTGTACCATCACTTATTATCGGGAATATGCGAATACCTATATTCCACCTACGCGGTCGATGGACAATGGACGCTGGCCGTAAGATGATTTTACGACATTCGTGAAAAAAACCAACAAAAAACTGCCGACCGACCGACAATCACTTAGGTTAAGGTACTAGTCGTAGTAGTCTTTTAGATTCTAAGTAGTTGTTGCTGTGATGGTTTCTTTTGTCGGTCCCCTGAAGAGCTTCCGGTGTGCAGTCCTCACCGCATAATTTTTTACAGTACTGTAATAGCAAAGTGAGTACAAAGGAAAAAATGAACTAAAAGCGCAATTTCCACAAAATCCACTCTGGCAGACGCTTCTTTCTTTACTGCACTGTAATACAAGCGACCTCTACAGGCAAAAGCTCAGTATGAAATTATTACAGTACTTAATTTCTCGTTTTATAAGTTAAATACTGCGGTAAGTATGACCTGATACACGAATTTCAAAACGTCTGCAGTGCATGCACTTTCGAAATAGCATCAAAAGATCATAGAAAAATTAACACAAAGATGAATTACTCAGAATCTCTAACAAAAAAACTCCAAAGGCCAATTATGGAATCTTTTGAATACAGAGTAATATGGTATGGATATCCACGATTCCAACAAACGAAAAAATGTGCCACTTTTAATTCCCACAACTCAGCACGCTTTATCAAAATATTTAACACGTAAAAAGGCCCATATTCCATAAAATTCCAGATCCAAGTCACTGATAGTAGAGCTCCAAATTCATTCCGTCATGAATTTCGTCTGCAAGGCAAAACATGGTGCATAAGTTTGGTGGTTGAACAGCAAAAAGAGCACAAAAAATCCGCGATCAAGCAGGCGAGTTGACCGGAAGCCTCCGAGTACACTCAGAATTTTTTGTAAGCACTTAAGCAAAAACGTCTGCATTTCTTAATGATCTGTAAGTATCACAACTCTGTATTCTAACAATAAAAATAATTATGCTGTAGCAAACACTTACAATCTTCCAAAGTTATATGGTCCTTGTAGATGGTGTACCATTTCTTTAGAACAATTTTTTCCCAGTGCGTTCCCGTTTGGGCAGCTATCAATTTCTTCAGGTCACCAACTGTATCATCGGAACTAGAAAACATAACTCTCCATCTTTATTAAAATACAAAGTATAACGCTTACGCATCAATGAACATTATAAACCTAAACAGATAAAAAGATCACACAACCCAAACTTGAAACCTTATCGATGTTTGGCAGTTTTTATAGTCCCGTCTCGTTAACAGTTTTCCATATTATAAGTCACGACTCACGACAAAATAATTCGTGGTCCTTTAGCCCTCACCAAATCCAAAACTTACTTGCATTTCACGCGGATTTTCTTTCCCAAACGATCGTTGCAAGTAATTTCAATCATTTTAATTACGTGCAGTAATTTGTGAACTCCGAAACAAATTATTAAACCATAAGCCGAGCCGCAGAGGCACTGGCGCTAGTGACGAAGGAAATACCTAAACCAACTTCGCAGACTCCAAAGACGATGAAGACATCAAATACTTTAATATTGTACGCGATATAATAATATTAATCTTATGGTTAGAAACAATTCATTTGCCTTTTATGGCTTCACAAAAGATCCAAAAAGGAACTTTTTTCGGTTTTTTTTAGTAGAAGTATGTTTAATGTTTACCGTCGCGCTCGCCAGCATCGCACTATTAGAAATATGAGCTGCCGTAGACTCGCAGTACTTACTAGTTACTACCTCCTTCCTCGGATTGCAGTCCAGGGGCAACGGCGTATACTCGAGCGGTTATCATGCTACTGCAGAGATGCTTTTCGATTTCTTGGACATCTTCTGACTCTTCTCTTTGACAAAAGATTCATTTTTCCAGCTGGCCGTCAGATCCTTTCTCTTGACATTTTTCATAATAAATTTATTTATTTTTAGGAAAACCGAGACCCTGAGCATTTTGCGCTGTGATGAAAAAACCGTGGACTGCGTAAAACGGTTGAACTTCGATTTGAATTTTAGTGGTTACACCGTTACAGTCGCCATCTCTTTGTCTTCCAGTGTCTCCATGAATTCCGCTTTGATCAGTGTGAGGTGATTTGCCTGCCCCTGCGATCTGTGAAGCATTTTTTGTAATTATTATAGCATTTGAACAAAACAGTTTGCAAGAACTTTTGGAATGAGCCATGGCATCGAACCCTGTACAATTACAAGCACATCAGCCTGTTGGAAATGCCGTTGTGTCAGAAACCCGTAACGGGAGCGGAACGGATCGCTACGAAGCTATTCTGAGACAGACGGAGGATCAAATGCAGTATCGAAATGTGCTAAATTTGTTTGGACACCTTGCACAAAAGGTGACGGAGTTCGGGAAAGATGGTGAAGAAATTGACTGGTAGGTTTCCAGACGCAGAGACTGTTGGTTAACTTTTGTAATTTCATTGTGGTAAGTCGTGAGACTGTAGCAGATGCGCCTTAAGGGACTTGACTGGTGCAAAATTTTGCTCGGTTAACCACTGCAGTTCAGAACCCTGGCAATGGCCTACGTTTTGAAATTCCAGGGTGAAAATTGCAGCGATAATGAAAGACGAATTCCATGTGGACGAACGAAGCCCTTGGGCTACTATTTTCCATTCCAGCGGACAGGTTCGATTATTTCAGTTAATTTACCCCTTCATCGTATGTTAATCTGTTTCTTTTTGTAGCCTATCAAGGAAATGTATAAGAAGCTGTGGGATAACCACAGGTAGGCAGATAATCTGGGGTGGGGATGTTGTAATGCGTATCCCCACAGACTGCAATCCTGCTTTGTGCATTGCCAGCATTGGTTCAGTTTTTGGTTGTCTTTTTATGACAGAACGCAGGTTTCTACTATTCGACTGCATCGAGAATATGAGACTGCAACGGATGCCAAATGTTTGGAGCTGGTGTTGATATCCAAGTATAAAGAATGGGACCGGATGGAGAAGGAAGAAGGGAAACGAGATTATTTTGACGGGTTTGTTGCGAAATTAATTCAGTGAATTAAATCCCAAACATTCGTTGTTTGTAAGTTCTGTCATTTTATATCCATCTGATATAGCTGGAGAGGATTCCTTCGCGATGCCATCGCTAGGCGGGATACGAGAGAAGACATTGCGGAAAAGCTGAACGATTTGACCCAAGTGCTGCAAGAGTTTTGCAAGTGAGATAGTAACTTCATCCTGCTGAACCTGTCATGCAATTACTGTACTGTGTTTTTTTCTTGATTAGGGGAGGCTTGCATAATAAGTATAAGGACGTTGTGAAGACATATTTTCCTTACTTCAAGGAGATATATTGCGACTATGGCATGGAGCTGCCAGAAGCGCTGAAATCTCTAAACATAGAAGAACGCATCCAGCCGCAGTCTCAGAACGTTTCTCCGGGTAAAGTTATGGACCAGCCGGCGAACTCGTTGCCAATCACGGCTGTCGCCGTAACGGTCGATAAGGTGCAAATTGCTATGGGTTAAAAAGCACTTTTCATCATCGAAATGCGTCGTTGCTTTACTCGAATTTTATTTTAGGGCAGTAATGATGGTGTCGCTGTTGGGACCATGGCGGTTCCGAAACCTTCGAACGCGGCAAAGCCTTTGACGCCGATTGTCGAAACGCAGGCGCCACCGGTTCGCGCTGCAGAACCTGTGCCTCTTGACCCTACACCTATTGTGTCTTTGGTATGGAATCTGTTGGTTGTTCATATGCCGATATACTGGTTTCATCAACGTTTAATCGGCGCGATACATGATTTTTCTTGAAATAGGCTGCGAATTCTGGCATTGCCCCAACCGAGCAGTCTAAATCGGAGCCATCAGTTTCGTCACCTGAGGCGACTAATGCGACAGAACAAGCTCATGCTGTGCCTCAACCTGTGCCGATCTCTTCCCAAGAAGCACCGGTGGAATCGGCTCCTTCAAAAGAAATAAAAAATGAAGCCGCGCCAGCAGCACCGCCAGTCACCACTGGCATTAAACGACCAGGACGACCACCTGGAAGACCTGGTTTGCCGTCAATGCTTAATCCACCGCAAAATATCATTCTGAAACCAGAGCAGAGAAATAAGGATATTATGGGAAAGGACAGCACTAATACGATTGCTCCCGTACCGTCGCAGGATAACGCGAAACAACCAGAGCCCAAGTATTTTTACTTGTTACTGTTAATCCCTGGAATAGGTCTATTTCTTGTTAGCTTTCACAATCAGATTAGTGTCCGGCGATATATTCTGGCTTTGTTATTTATTCTTTTTTGGTTTGTATATTATTCTTTCGCTGATAGGAAAAGGAAGGTTCAACCGAAAGGAGAAGAAATTTCTGCAGCAACAAATGCTGCCACAGATGATCAGGAAATGCGGTGGAAAAATTTCGAAAACTTGTGCAACACAGAAGGGTAAGGTTTTATAGTTTACAGTCCACTTCAGAAGTAGTGGAGTTGTGTTCGTTATTCTTTTGTAGGAAATTGAGCAACGATGATTTGATTGCAATGAAAAGAGGATTGCTTGTGTCGTTGTTCTCTATTTCTCCGACCGAGTAAGTTACTTCAGAACTTCTTCATCAGTTTTACAGTTAGCATTTTTAGTGATGTGATAACCTGTACGAGATAATTTGCAGCATGGTGGACTATGATCCATTCAAGCTACCTGTGTCGGATTTGACGGCAGCGAAATATGATCAGTACATCCGGAGGTAAGCATTTAAATGTGCTTTGCGCTTAATAATTTCTTCGTTTATCGTGGAGTTTGTGTTTCTCTAGCCCGAAAAGTATCGAAGCGCTGCTGAACGAAAACATTGAACATAAGGGCTCTACCGACGCTGATCTCACTGAGTTGATGCTGATTCCGCTGAATGCCTTAGTGTTCAATAGCTTTCCAGCTGAGATCCTCAACGGCAGCGTCGATTTGTTATCATTTCTGACCAAATTTCAAAAGGTACAAAGGGTTCACCAGGACGCTGTTTAGTTTTATTTCAATTTTTCATTCAGACCTTCATATTTTTGCATACATGCTGTCTGAAAGGTATGATAGTGCGCATTTGGTAACTGCAAACAAAAGATGCATTAATTCCGAGTCATATGTTTAGAATGCGATTGGGCACCACTTGGCGGAAGGGAATCCCGGTAGTGCAGATTTGGCCGCCCTAGCGGAAGAACTTTCGCAAACTTTCGGAGACCGTAATCGCCCACCGTTAGATCAAGATAAACCTATCATTTTGCAAGAAGGGAAAGTTGTTCGCAGAGGACTACCGGCCGCGCAGCCAGTCGTCAAAAGCGTGAATCATCCCCCAGTTGGTACAAGAAACGTTAGAGGAACGCGCAAACCATAAGGATTACTTTACCGGAGCAGTTGACGTTTGTTGCTCATTAGAATAGTTTCGTTGTTGGTTTCTTTATTTTTCTTTAACACTTGCTTGAGTAAGTGGAACGATATAAATTTGTTATGTACAGATATACTGATTTGCCGATCCTTCTTTGTTGCTATATGGGTTTTTTTGTTAGAAGTTGATCGTTGAGATTGTCACGGAAATTCATGACAATGAGAATAGTACTATAATACTATTTATAGTTCTTAATTACTGTCGACAAGTTAGAAAAACAACCACCGAGCATTTTGACCGGTTTCTGCACACAGTACTTGATTAACAGTTACGCCAACCGTCTGGTAGTGCACAGGCACAGTTTTTTGTAATACCCGTAAGTGCATAACAACAACAACATTAATACAGTTCACTAAGAACTCGTGAGTCCACTAACCCCTTAGAGGATTCCACTGGTCGCTGCAAGACTAGAACGTGATTTTGCGCCATTTGCAAATCGCTCCAAACATTTTCAGATTCTTTCCAATACTCAGACCAAAAAGCTTCGCAAACTGTGCCCGAGAAATCAACATAAGTGACGATCCAAGCAGCTCCTACAAAGAAAATGAAAAAAATTTTAAGCACAGTTTATCTCAGCAAAACTAAAATGCAGGCTTTACATGTCTGCTGATTAAATCCGCCAGCTCCGGCTGAGAATCAATAAAATAAGCAGCACACTGCTCCACACTCCACATCGCTAAGTCCTGACGAAGTTCCCGCTCTTCATTAGTGATGCCCTCAATAGTCCGATCTAGCGGTCGGAGCCTGTTGCTGGATCTCACTATCACCGGCCTGTGTAACAATACTCTTTAAACTGATGTGTTATAGTGTTATGGTTAACGTTATAAATTTCTCTTGTAAATCTTCAAGTTTGTGATGTCTGTATTACCTCTGAGAGCGCACCTCTTCACCCATATTTTTCTGAACGGCTAATGCCGTAGGAGTCATAATTTCAACAGAGGGTGCCCTGCTACTGTCTTGGTCATCTAAAATGAAAAACTTTAACGAAGTCCTAACGACAATGGTAACCACTTAGACGCATGCGCTCAGTACAAAATCGCATGCCGAAAACATACCCGCATATTCCTCGTCGATTTGCGAACTCTGTGACTCTGGTTCAAGAATATGAGCTTCCGTAGTGCTCAGATTATTCAATTTACCCTCGTCACCCCCAGCTTTTGTACATGCCGAACACTGCCATCCTGTAAAAAACACCGTGATTCAGCTAAACGGAAAACCTTCAAGTGATGAAAAAGAAGCGCTACTACGAACACCAAAATGTTTTCGGTTACCAGGAAGAGAAGACATTCGTGTCCCCCAGTTTTCAACCGACTCAGGGTCCACTGGCGGTGAATGGCAACCGAGATGGTATACTTGAAAGCAATTCAAGCACTGAATCAACCTCTGCAAAACGAACAAACAATTATGTTCGGTTATCACAAATCAACAATGGTTACTGAAAAACAATTCAAATGCGCACGACATTATAAGATGAAGCAGTCCCTTACACTATTCTTCCGCGTTTTCCCAGACTGGCATACCGCACAAATTTTGCAGTCTTCGCAGCGGAAAGTCGTTTCCGGTTCGCCAGACCCACAGATTCCGGTGCATCCAGCATGCGCTTTAATACATTAAAACCAATCGTCCAAATTTGTAATTACTGATTATTTTAAAAATAAACACCACCCAAGTATTTACCGGTGTATGGACATTCTGGATTACTGCACCGTATAAAACGGCGTTCTGTGCTGGAATAAGCAGGAAAATTTCCCGAAGCTAGGTGACACTCCGCACACACAGGCGTGTTGTCCGCATCGCGCTCCGGTGTGGTTTCGGGCTTGTCAATTTCGCCTCGCAGTTTCAAGCGTTCATGTCTGGCACTCAAACGCAAAGCTCGGCGGTACGCAGCTGTATTCGACAAGTTGTTATTGGATATCGCAACAGTGCTTCGACTAGATCCAGGATAGTAATCCGTAACGAAATCAGGGCCAATGCTTTTTGCTGTGCGCTGTCAACACAAGAAAAGCAAAGTCAGGGAAAAAAGCAAAGCAAAGTCTTGGTTATAAGAAAAACGATCATAATATAAAGACACTATGGGAACATTTTACTGAAATTATGATTTATTTAGGAACAATTTTCTTCGTCCACGAGTGGCTCCAAGACTTCAAGACTGTATCATCGTGCACGAACCTTGCGTCGACTAGCTTGACGAGTTGGTAGAGCACTGGTCGCGGTCGTAGGGAGCACTTCGTCGTCAATATCCATCCAGTCTGAAGATTCAAACCGTTTTGCAGATTGAACCACTAAAAACTGACAGGATAAAGGCGCGAAATGTAAGTAAAAGTCGTTGAAGACGATTTACCGACCTTACAGTGTCATCGCTAACGCGATGCGTGTATGTTAGCCTTATGACGGCTTATCCATTTCCCATATTCCATCACTAGACCACAATTAATGCTTTGTTTTAACACAAAACAACAACACAAGTAACTTGGTGATGTGAAATTATACGCAGGAGAGTCTGTTTTCCTCTTCCATTCAACATCTTTAAGGAACGCGAATTCTTTAGCATGTTTTCTTAAATCGTAAGTAATGAGATGTTGTTTGTGTTGTAACTTGTCCATGGTCCACACTATTTACCACAACACACGTTGCGTACTAGCTTACGTCAGTCGTGGCGGTGCGTATCGCTATTTGTCCGACAGTAAGAAACTATTTGTCCGTAATTTCGGATTGTGGATTTGTTTCCTGGTCAACGATAACGCAAATGAGTTGGACGTCATAACAATGAAAAGTGTTTTACATATATTGTAACTGTGCCAAAAAGTTAAACGAAAAAGATAAACACAAACAGTTCCGCATGATATGCGAATGCAAAACTAAAACTTTGTCCTCATAAGTCTCGTAACGATACCACGTAAGTACGTAGCACGCATCAATACGTACCGCGCAACGTGCCTTTTTTGTATGGCACCGCAGCGATTCGAAATGCGAGGCATGCGACCAGCACTTGCTGCCGTATATAAAATGCTTCTCGGCACAGCCAGCGTGATACCGCACGTACAGAGACTGTAACAATACCAGAATTTTTCTTCTTTTAGTATCTTGATATTCATTCAGGTCACATCCAGAAATCGTTGAGGAGTTCTAATTGAATTCAAGTTTCGTTTGTCGTGAAAGTTGTTGCCAGAGAGAGCGTCGGGAGAGCAGGTGACCCCTTCTGGCAGTACTCGGACACTGCACCAGCAGTACGTATTTCTTGTTATACTTGTACCGAAGTATTGGGTGATCCAGAAAATGGATGTCCTGCCGTCGCCATCATTGGACGTGATGTCCACTCTGGCGCCCCCGGCGCTTCGCGAAAGCTCTCGAAAAGTATGTTAAAATTTTTATTTAACATTTTTTCGCTGTAATAAACTGGTTTTCTTTCAGCGAGTGCGTAAAACGTTGGGGCCTGACTTTGTTGATTTCTCGGGGCCCGTACGTTTTCGCGCGCAGGCAGTAGTGCTTTCGGATGAAGCCACGGTGCGAAAAGTAACGCCAAAACGACTCATACTCTCGGATTCCAAGCTTCCGAAGAGAGATGGCGCTAAACGGAATGGGTTTAAGAAGCGCAGATCCGCAAAGTCACAGCGGAAGGCGCTGGCAGTGCCAGCTGCCATTATTCCGATTGCGCCCGATACAGGAGCAGAACACACAACGGACCTTGCGGACATTGATGCGTTCTGCAATGTGTGCGGACTTCGAGTTCATAAACTGCTCAGAAATGGCTTTAGAGGTGGAGACAGTGAAGGCCTGGCTGTTCGCTGTACTGGAGAACGGTGTAATTATACAGGTGCGTGGTCGCTGGACTGGTCCATATTTGCGTACCGTGTTATGAGTACGGTTTGTGGATCCTGCGCGTAACTGTCAGCAGCCGCTTTGTCACTTGACTCGCTAAAATTAATTTTACTATAGTCTGTTTTTCTTGAATCGGTTTGATGACCTTGAAAAGTGGAACTTTCGATCATTTCGTCTTGGGTGATGGCTAGGGTCAGCTGATAGTACTTCGCTTTCGATTCCGGATGTGCTGCATGTTAGGAGAAACTTGCAGTTTGAGGTTAATCGGGAACAGGTTACGTAGTTTCATGCATTTCGACAGGTATAACTGAACATGTCGTACCGCATCAGGCTAACCGTGAACACCGAAGTGGTGTCTTCCCTTATGATTCGTGTTAGCCTACCCATTAAAGCGTGTTGTGGAGGCGAAAGTTTGCACTTATGCTGATCCCGGTTACGTAACGACCAGACCTGCCGTTTGTGCAGTTCCCTCAAGATTTTTTACTCGCAATAAATCAGAGGCTTTGCATTCATCATTGTGCACAGCTGGGCTCACTTTTCTCATATTATGTTTAAATATTTTCTTGAAGGACGTATCCGCCATGTTAGTGACGCTGTATTTATACGTTATAAAAGGGGCGACTCTGTCGAAGTTGTGTTACCTTGGGCTCGAGTCGGAAATGGAACTATAGCTAGGTCTTTCGTCATATATTACCATAGTTTGTTTAGTTAGTAATAATATATACGTACACGATACACCGTAGTTCTATCTCGGCTTCCTTCGGAGCTTTCGTCAAAGTGGACGCACGTTTAGGGTTCCCGTCGACTAATGAGGATTAGGTCACCGCTCTTTGGGAGGCAGTTAAGCGGTACTACAGAGGTCGATCGCGATGCGGACCACCCTTACTAGGTTGATTTGCTAAGACCGTTACGAAGGTCGAAGTCTGGATAGATCAGTAAATCTCCGTTAATTTCAATTATTGAAAATTAATTTAAAATAGTTCTAGGGCTCAAATCTTCTGTAATGGATTTCGCCTTTTTAGGCCATGTTAGCTGCTTGCCCAATACAGCGGACATCAAATCTTTTCGATGCGCCGATTGCGCTAAAAAGCAGTGTGTTGTCTGCGAAAAGGGAAATGTTTCCACCCAGCCGGATGTAGGTGGCACATTGTTTGTCTTGCAGGATTTTAAACGTTTTATAATATTTTCATATTCGTACAGGACATGGTTAGGTGCTGTCGATGTAAAAAAGCGTTCCATCTTGATTGCCATGTCCCGCCTGTGGACCGGCGTAAGCGAAAATCACCCGCCGGAATTTTGCGACGTGCGTTTTGCGACGTACTTCCAGTTTATATTTTAAATTAAGATTACCTTGAGTTTTTATTTTTCAGCTTGGTGTTGCAAGACGTGTAGAACAATCAGACGACGTATAAAGAAGCCGTCGCGCGTCAAACCGGCATCTCCTCAAGCCTCGCATCCGACCTTGGTCCCTTGTCTCACAACTCATTCGGACCTACCTGATCATAGTACGTTAGCGTTACATTTTCGGTGGACTTACCTCGTTTATTATCACAGGGTTTGACGTTTTAATAGCTTCTGCAGGTTATGCGTTACCCTCAAATCCGCCGCTGCTTTCTCCCGCATTGGTTGGTCCCACATTATACAGACCGCATGCCGAACTGGTTGATGCTTTCAGTGCAACCAAAACGTCGGGAATGGATAATAGGTAACTTATTCGAATTTTATCTTGACTCATACCAGCTTTTTGGCGATTGCTTGAGTTCCGAATTGAGGCAAAAGAGACCTCATGTATGTACGTATGCAGTGACTATGCACCTTTTTAGCTGTCCTATAGATTTGAAATTGTTTAATAAGAGTTATTTGCGTGCAGTTGAACATGCCTTTTTTGGTTAATAAATACCGGTACATACTTCTGTACATAGAGTTTTGTACGAAAATACTATGATTATGCGATCCGCTTTAGTGGCGAGGACGATAATGCCGACAAAGGTGAGGCAAGTGACGCTGCCTTGGTTCCGCTGTTAATGCCGGGCCAGCCTTTTGATCCAATACTGGTTCCGGACTCCATGATTATATTTGGCAAAACTACCGAAAAGGTGCGGGAGCGAATCGAGCGCGATAGAGAACTGCGTCAGGATTTGGCATGGTGGAGCGTGGAACAATGCGCTGCGTATTTTCAGGATTCCGATCCGGATTTAGCTCAGCTTATAATTGACCATGTATGTAGTTTTTGCTCAGTGACCGCTACCACAACCTGCTAATTTTCTGCTTTTTTTATAGGAATTACTAGGGTGTGCGCTTCTGCTCATAACACGGTCCCAGTTTCTGGATTTATTTCAGTTACCCGTCGGAAAGGCACTGCGGATGCATGCTGCCGTATGTCGATGTAGGCGTATGTACTTTTGAACGAAGGGATAAAGGATTACCATTTCTTGAACTAATTTGCTGGGGTAATCTGCGTTCTTTGAGATTCTGCTCATTTGCAGAATTGTGCGTGATGGGCGTAATATGCCCGTTGATTTAACTTACTGGAAGTTTGTTTCCTCGATGTGGCAGTGGGATAGTTTGGTTGTTTAAGATTTTAAATTTCCCGTGGAATGTGTTTTGGGCTGAGCTGTTTAAAGGTTATACTTATTGCTATTTCAAACGTATAAGCGTGCAAGGTATATGCTATGGCGAAATATTTACTTTTAAAAACGTAGGAACGTTCTACTTCTCTGAGGCATGACTAAATAAAGACATGATTTTCGTACATTTTTTCATGTGATTACGCGTTAATGAATGGAATCGAAATAAAAAACGAAGGGCGAAGAAATTATTGCCGTGATCATATAAGACGGATCATAGTGACAACATGTTAAACAAAATGGTTACGCACGGAAATGAATGTTTTGTTAAAATTGTGCAGTGCAGGCTATTATCAATACAGCTGGTTTAGCCGCTCAATCAGGAAGGCCCTATCTAACCTTTTCTATATCTGTATTCCTTAATTAATTGTGGTACTCGTACATGAAAACGTTGAAACGTGTCATCTGCAAAAACAACACACAAATTTTTGTAAACTGTAAACACTTCGTTGGAAACACCGATCCAGTGCATGGTGCGCTTTACGTGGTCTACCCTGGTGTACAAAATAACAAATTAAACAAAATTTTGACTGGTTAGTTTTGTATGTTCTAAAAATCAGGACACTATTTGATTTTGTCAGACGTTAAAGTTACCCGGCTGCAGGGACAGAATACAATAAAATTATACTTACTAGTTCTATGGTTTGTGCGTAGTCTTCAATAACCGATGATGAGTAAGACTTCAGAATTGAGTCAGCCAAATAAGTAGCTCGGATTATAGGGTGATCGGACAGGCGCATGCACTGCAGCTATTGATCGATGGATATATGACGGAAGACAACCTGCTCCCGGGATGGATTACGGGAGCACTGAACTAACGTAATGCAGTGCATATTGAGTGCAGGCCAAACAGGTACACACTGCATATATTGCCACAGCCCCCAAATGGTCGACAAACTGGAGTTGCAGCAGTTCTCTGCTTACACTTATGTTTTGAAAGACAAATTCGGACTGGTTATTCGCTTTCGCGTTCTTCTTGTTGTATTGTGCGCTTATTTGCAGAAGCTATAGTCCACGAAACCCGAGGCCGGTTGATGTATCGGTTCATATATTATTGTATTAATTGTTATGAATAGTGTAACCGAGCAGTTTTCACAAATTTTTTCACGGGCACTCGATCACCAGCTTGCTTCAGGATATTCGCAATTCGTACTTATTACACTACTGGAATGCATGCAGAATTTTAATTATGGAGGATCACTGACGACTGTGGGAAAGACTGAAGTTAATCCAAATTCCTATCTAGCCGGGATGCAGTAATGGACAAGCGTTCGGACATTGGGACGCCTATCAAAAATGGACATTCTTCTCATCACCACCATCATAGTCACTCACGATCTCCGACAATGCAAGTAAGCACAAGGCAATATTCAGAACAAGAAAAATGTAACAGCATCTTCGTGACATTTAACAGCTGGCTGTACGACAGCCCACGTATATAAACATTATAGTGTATTCGTACGTATAAGTATATTATATAGATCAAAGTGTAAAGAAAATTTTGAATAATGAAATTTCTTTGAAATTTACAGGTGCATTAGATTCTTTATTCGCTTTATGAACCTTGTACGCTTAACGTACTTGTACATCAATTTGTACATACAGTCTGTCAACGTATCGTATCCAAAAATACACCGTGTCGATTAAACCATTATTTCTTTTAGATCGGTGACAGCCCGGCGCATTCCCGCGGCTCGACCCAGTTTGAAAGCGAGGAGTCGCCTAGCACACCGGCTTCCGACCCGAAGACTTCCCGCCGATCTTCCAATGATATACAAAAGTCAGTGTTGTCACTGCCAGGAGTGAACAATCATGAAGTAAGATAATTACGCTGGACAATTTAGACAACCGCTTTGTGAAGTATTCGTTCGTTTTTCCCAGTTGATGAACGCTAACTTTATAAGATCACTCGCAGCTACATGCGTACTTTAGCATCATAAAATACGGTATTTAATATGCGGCAGGTTTACTGGAACACAGTGTAGCACGTAGTAAAAGTACTTAGATTAATGTGTTATCAACTTTGCGTTTTTTGCTCTGCATAATAAATTATACTCGTACAGTGCCTGCATACGATAACGGTGTAATACGCTGCGGGTAATTTTCTAGGCTGCCGCTTTACGAAAACACATCAAAATCCTCGAAGAACGCCTTCGAAATGAACGTCATTCCCATGCAGTCAAATTTTCTGAACTGGAAAAACAGCTCATCCAAGAAAATGCCCAGCTCAAGGTAGTGACTTACAAAAATAAAACAAAGCAACTACAAAGTCTGCGATTAAATAAAAAGACACTTAATCATTTAGACCCTCATAATTATGTAATCATTTTATGTCTTTTGTTGTTACATAATTTTGTTTTTCATATAGAAAAGATTTATTATGTGAGTCGTGCATTTTAACATGCTGCACCGAGTTACTACAGTTTGCTGCCTTACGCAGAGAGCGAAACAGTTCTGCGTTTCCAAAAATATATATTATTGCACTTTTTTCAATTTTGCAAACGCCAATTCGGCCACCGTACTACGGTATTTACCTTCTTTACTTATAATTAAGGTCTCAACAAATGCATTACAAAGGCAAATTAAGCGGGAACAACAGCTGGTGCAAGACCATGAACAGGAGCTGAGCAAACTGCGCAAAGGTGAACGGAAGAGCAAACTGTCCAACATTACCAGCGGAATTGCGCGGAGTTTCAGCGATGCCACACTGGAAGACATGGAAATGAAGGTTTCACGCGTTGCACTAGCCTTTTAATCTCTATCCAGACACCGAAAGAAGATTTTTATCACATCTATTTCAGGAAACATCGGCAAAACAAACTGATAACACTACTGAGTCGGAGGTGGTGCGCATGCTCAAGGAGCGTTTAGACGACTCTGAAAAAGACCGCCGCGAAGCCGAAGCAATATTTAATCAGTAAGCTGTGACATTTCGGCTGATCACACTGCAGCGCATAAAAATTTGGTAATAATTACTTATGCAATTTGCACAATAATACGGCAGGGAGCACATTCAATGTGTACCAATAACAATGTACAGTACAGTAAGTATTTGTACTTAGATGGCATTCACAAAGCAACGCTGATAAAACGCAATTAAAACTTGTAGGAGAGTGTAAGTACGAGCATATGAATACGCAAATCATATAATATTATTAGTTTATTAGTTACGAATGTTTTGAATAGACGCATCTCCACTTTGCTGCGCGAACGCAACGTCCAGAGAGTCCAGATGCAAAGTGCCGAAGAAAACATTCTCAAATTCAGCGGCGAGAACGAAGCGCTAAGGCAAACTGCCTACGAATACCGTCAACAGATGGAAGCCATTGGCAACGGAAATCCTTTCAACGACAATCAGCTGGCCTTGATCAAGCGCGACAACCAGCAGCTGCGCGAAGAACTGGATGCCCTACACCGTGAGAAACAGAAACTCTTGTTCGATCTAGAGAATCTGTCGGAAGAATTAGCCCTGCTCAAGGCTAATGAGCGCCAGAATCACGAAAACAATCAACTGGCCACTAATTTGAAAGACCGCATCGACACCCTTCGCAACCAGCTCTCTTCGCTGGAAAGGAGAAACAGCCAAAGAAACGGAAACGCGAGTGGAGAAAGTTCAGCTGTGGATCTGTCATCCAGCGAACCAACGCCCAGGAACGACAGTGACATTCGGCGGCAGGCGGAGCTAGAAGAGCAGTTGCTACAGTACCAGCGCCAATTAGCGGAAACCAATCAGAAGTTAGGCCGCGTTTTGGAGATGAGTCAGCGTTACGAATCACATTGCTACAAACTGGAAAAGGAACTGTACAAAATCTACGGAAATAGCTACCAATTTGTCCAGACAGATTGGCGGCACAAAGATCAGGATTTCATAAAAAATCTTAAAAAAACTACCGCTACTCGGTCTCTTCCTAATTATGCGCAAATGCCGGCTAGAAAATCAACAGGTGTTTCTGTAACGACCCAAACACCGGCTGTTCCACTGCCTAGCAACATGCGTCCGGAACGGGATGAACTGATGGACAAACTGACCGATAAAGTCAATGGTATGGTCAAAATGCTGGAAAGAATCTCTCCTACGAACAGCCCGAAGTCATCGCGGAGAAAGAGCGTCAGCGAAGGTCATGCCGTGGCGGCGGCCTTTGATGACCTTTTGCGCTCAATTCGTGACGGGCAAACGACGAATTCGGTGGATTTAACGAAACTGACCGAGGCGAAACTGGAAATTCAGGGTTTACAGAAGGCATTCCGCCATTTGGAGGAAAAGAACAGTAACCTCGAAAGTGAAATACGGCTTCTACGCCAGCAACGAACGGAAGATGATCGAGTGTCACAGAATGGGAGTGTCGATTCCAACCGTCCAATTACTCAGGAGGAAATCGATGACCGCATCATGAAGGCACAGTTACGCGCCGCACAACTGCATGCCGCCGGCCTGTTGCCGTCCTTTGCGCCGGTAGGAGTGACGAATCCTTTCTTGACGAACGATTCCCCGGGAAGCAACTTTACGTCCAACACTTCCGGTGTGTGGGAACTGCCGTGGAGTCCTAACGGTTTCGATGACGATCTTGCCAAAACAGCACAATTGCGTCCAAGAGCATCAACTCTTTTCTGAGCCTGTTTGCAACGTACATGCAGTGGACTCCATAAAGATGTTACACCCACAGGCCACGGCCATTAGCGCTATAAATGTGAGTGGATATTTTGTAACACCATTGTGAAGTCCAGTGTACAGATACCATATCGTTCCTAACCTTAACCCTGTTATGGTTAATCGTTTCATGGAGCTAGTTTGACGACTGGCCGTCACCCTTGGTCAATATGGAATACATTCTAACAGTCATATTTTATCGATGAAGGCTTCACAGAATACAGTGTATGTATGCGGTATGTTATATTTGTATTGGGGATTCCCAGAGAACGACCCAGAAAATTCCTTGTCAATTGCGTTAATTAAATACCGGAAAAATATCGCCAATACATTGATACAATGTCACCGATCGAGTGCCTATTTTAGGCGAAATTTATACAACAATAATATTGGAATTCTTGTTAAGTACTACAAAGCACTTTTAATTTACATTAACTAAGAATTTATTCAATTTATGCGCCATAACAGGAAATTAAAAGCGGTGTGGAGAAATGCTTTCACAATAATTGATTATTGATTTTGGGCCTTCCATCTCACTTCCAGATCTGATTTAAAGACATGGCTACGGTTGAAACAAAGTCAGTTCGATTCGTATTTAATCAGGAATAAGATTTTGTAATATGATAACTATATGAGACAACATTTAATACTTACCTGACTTTGTAGTTTGTACGTAAGGACCTCCAGCTCGGTTTAATTAAAATCATTGGGAATTCGAAGAGGAACGCGGCATCCGTTCGCGGAACAAATGGTTAAACAGGAAGAAAAAAGGAACAAAATTTTATTGTTACCTGCGGCGGTTGCGTGTTACGCAGTGAACGAAAGAGTTTCATACACCATGCGGAGGCAGTTTACACCATGCGGAGGCAGTTAAGAGGGCTACTTTTCGCGTAAACATATTTTTAGCGGTTTCGTTTCCTCTGTTAAACACAAAGAACTAGTTTTTTGCTGCTTCTGCTCTGTTTACGGTTTACCACTCCTCGCTCTCCAGCTTGGCGATCCGATTTCACTTTAAGTATTTGCGAACAGTGAAACAGACTTCACTTCACGTTGATTAGTGGTCGTAGCTTTTCGGTTGTCTTCCTTTGTCTTCGATTTGCCGTTTTCGCTTTGATTCCAGCTCGAGAACTTTGTCCGCGAATTGTGAAACAAAGTCAAAGATCCACAAAAGCAAAATGTCTGAACTGACGAACTATAGCGACGAAGAAATCACTGTGACTTCTTCGACTATTATTGACAAGTTACCGATCGCTACGGATGTGCCGATGCCGTTAGCGTCGGCCTTTCCATCGGGATCGAATTTTTTGGCGGGATCCCGCTCGAAGAAATCCAAATCCAAGGCAGCTAAGCTCCCGAAAGAGACGGCTGGAAAGGAAACTGATGCAGCGTCATCCCGCTCGAAAAAGAAAGCCAAGGCCGAACCGGGAACTCGGAAGCCGCGTATGCTGACTATGGCGCAGGTAACGAAGAAGCTACAGCAGGCTGGTGTGGAGGATTTGGATACGGTTAGCCACTGCGTCCGAGTTGGGATTGCTCGGCATTTCATCAAGCTGGAAAGCGCAGCCGACTTGGATGCCGTTCTCGTCAGCACAGTATGCGATGAGGTCTTTGGAACAGATTGCAAGACTAAAATCGACGTCACCTTGAAAATGGTTTTGCGTCAAAAGGACAATGGTAAGTGCGCGTAAGTCTGTGATGTCTATCGGTTTACGCATACGGATTAATTACAGAATACGGAGAATAGGGCGATTTTTTCGTTATAAGCTTAACAGACTATAACGCATCCCGTATTCGTTGTGCACAGCACGTCAAGGATTACAGCAAATGAAATTTTATATTTCGAATGATACTGTTTGTGCCGAAGCGGTCATGTTTAAGAAATATATTGATGGTAGTAGAGAAAAATACAATAGAACTGATCCCGAACTCGCCGCTTATTTCTTTCAGGATCTGATGAATATTACGGAGGAGATGATTATGCCGTGCGTTGCAGCGCCTGCAACCAAGGATACTACGTCAACGAGTTGTGCGCTGGACAGCCAGGGTTCTGCGATGGGAAATTTATGCACCACTGCGTGCAGTGCAAGAAATGCGTGGGTGGGTTTTTGATCATCTGCATGTCAAGGCGTAAATTTTTACAACGAACTTTCTGACTGTACCATTCCGGTAGGAGACGTGCGTAATGATCACTGTGATGAATGTGGCAAGCATTACTTTGCGGGATCAATGGGCAATTTTTCGTGCCCCTGTCAAGATGGATTTGGACGCCGCAAGGGGGGTAAAGGCCGCAAGTCAGGTTTGAATTTGAAGGCGCTCTTGTTTCCCTTTTTATGAAAAGGCCAGAGACGAACAGACAAAGGCATGCTTTGCAGTGGTGTGCATCACATTGATAGGTCACCAGCAACTGGTGGTTTCTCGCGATTTAATTGTTGTGACGTTTAGAGTCGGTTTAGACTGAGATAATAATTTCTGGAGAAGCTTTTCGATTTCCACTTTTATCACAATCATGGCAATATTGTTAGAATGATTCAATGATATGATGATCTATTGCTTTTTAGCGCAGTATTGTTCTTGTAACTTAGCACTCTGTTAAATGTTAGTGTTTTGCATAATTAACAGTTTAGGCGCTTCTGTTTTTTGTTTTTGTTCCAAAAACGATTTGACTGTATGCCATAAAAGCGCATTAATAAAATAAAATGCCAACACCTATACAGGCTGTAGTTGAAGTATCTGTATTTACCATTTCATTTATGTAATGCTTTCTCCACCAAACACGAATATAGGTAACGCAGCAAGCACGGTTTGCCGAGCATCATTATAAACTTTAATGCCGCATGAACTTAAAATTCATGCATTAAAAATCACTGAAGATATGATATTCAACTCAATAAAAAGAAGCACCATGTATGCCACATACGGGCAACAAAAGAGGTATGTTCAACGGAATCACACAACTGTTTAGCTGTCATGGTATCGGGTGTTATTTTTCACCAAGTCCAACAAATACCGGTCCGTGCTGTCTTGCCAACGCTGAGGACGCGTAATTTTCTGCATTTTCTCCGCTTGTCTGTTTTCCCAACGAATTTGTTCCAGCTGGGCCAGTTTTGGTGCTGAACCAGCACAACCCCACACCTGCAAAACAGATTATGTATTGTTTACTGTAAGTCTCTAATGATGTTTACGAATCCCAGTACTACAGTACGTTGCCGCCCTAACAGCAATGAGTATCTCCCAGAAATAAAAACGTATTTGTATTTTGATGTCTTTCCGGAAAATATTGAGGAAGCATTAACTCATTCGCAAGATTCATCTGCAAACATCCGCCTTCGCGAAAAAGAAAACCAGGGTACTAGTACTTAATGTTAATTGTTAATCATAAGCAACCGCTGTGTTTCGCGCAGATTCTTACTTTCTACGTACAGTTACACACTAGTATAAACACTACTATTAAGCTTTAACTCTCCCCCAAAGATAAAAACGAATGATGACGTCCTGTATGTGCGAAAGAGCGCCATTTTTCTAAACGTTTTCAACTTTATCAGCTCAATTTTGGGCGGTCATGAGCCAACTGCCAACCGGTAATGCATAACCAAACTTACGCGATAAAGTTAAACAATAACAAGCGTCAAATATAAGCAGGCCGTTAGTATCTGCTGCAGGACTGCCGCGTACGTATCCCTTATCTATGCACAAGCAATGACTAACAGCAAAAAAATGAAAACAACATTAGCCATTAATAATCGATACATATGATGGGAAAACCTGATAACTGAAAGAGGAATGAATCGCGTCTTGTATGTCTATCTGAATTTTTCTACATCGCACGGGCGGGCACAGACAGCCGTTCTGTCGCGAGAGAAACAGTAACTTGATAAGCAAATCATTTTAGCTCGCTCTCTCTCTTTGATTTGCAAATGAATTTGCAAATGAATACAAAATGTGATCCTGCTGGCCGTTCTAATTAAGTACACGTAGCTAGCCAGTAATCATGAACGCCAGGCAAGCTGCAGTTCAGGCTGCCGAAGGCGGAAATAATTCTTAATTTGTATTAATTGTACAAATTTAGAATTATTTCAGATGGTTACTACGGCTAAATGCTATAACGACTAAAACAGAATGCTGTAAGATGGCTTAACGAGACCGTGGCAGTTAAAGAAATAAGCGCCAAAAATGTCTGCTAGAATGCAAGTCGATGCCCGATATCAGCCACGGATGTGTGTATGATTTAGGAAACCGAGCTCTTTAGCTCGGTTTTATAATTCAGCTGTGTATCTGCTGTTTGGCCAATGGTGGCGTTGTTATGATTCAGTTTTTTGTGACTCAGAATCAGTGCATGATAGCCCGCGCACCGGAGCGTTTTTGGCCTAGATACTGTCGACAGACGTGTCTTCACACGTACATATTTGACACTCAACAATAAATATTTCAGTTGCCGATTATCTGAACCTTCGTTTACGATTTCCGGTATCATGCAACTATCTACGCTTATTGTCAGATTAGCCGCATTAGACTCATTAGCGCACTAGTGCCCACAGTTCGCATCAAATGTAAATTTTGTTGTAAACACAGCTGATTATAACAAAATTTCATTACATAGTGGTGTCCCCGTCACTCCCCACTATGTAATGCCCCCACAAACAGTGAGAAATACGCGCGTATCGTAGAAGCATAATTCGTCATACTTCGCAGTTTGGATATTTAGCTGAGGCATCTTTTTTCGGTGCTTTTCTTGAATTACTCAAAAGCCTTTTAAGTTGCTTACGCTTCGTATCTAATTTTATTTTTTATCAACTTTCTCCCTTTGTGCTTGGTATTTAATGTTAGCAAGTACAATGCTTGTTGCTTGCACTCCCTGCAGTCACTGTTCCCTGTGCAGATAATTAAGCACCTCGAGACAAACAAGTTTGTCCTGCAGACCCTCATTGACGGCCGTATGCATGTTGGACTCGACTTTAAGAATTGGTCGCTTAGGATCGCCTCCAATTTCGATACCTCGGTACGCGCCACGAGCGTGTTCGTTCAAGTAGACCAAGTTCGCGCCACCTGAGATTGCAAAAAAAACAAGCGAACGGTGAGAACGACCAGTATGCCACTTTCCTTTACGATCAGCAAAATGTGAGCAAAACCGCAAGATGGTACCCTTACGTTCAAGTCGCTTGAACTGCGGCTGTAGCTGGTAAATTACGCAATCCGAACCACCCCATCGATGCTGGCTTTCCCTGTTCAATACAAACCGCTTTGTAGATCGATCAAAATGTGTTGTACTGAAGCTTACAATTCATTAAAAATCGGAGGGAATAGTACAATTACAACCTAAAATATCAGGAGGTAGTACAACAAAATGACAATAAAAATTCGTAGTATATTTACGTACCTCCACTCAGTATCAACAGCAATACAGTAAGACGAGCCTGACTCTAAGCGATATATAGAAACTGTCGGTCCATTGTAATGCAGTGTGTGGTGGAGAAATCTGCAAACACATAAACTTGACAAACCTCGAGTTATTTTCTCAAATCGCAGCTTACCTATTAAATGATAATCCATGCTTGTCACTATTCAAAAAAGGTCAGTTAGTATTCGGACTGATTAAGACAGCGGAGCAATTCCATCTCATCTACCTATTGTACAGGAGTGTCCATGTCGTTAAATTGGCGGCCTCAACAAGCTGCTGAATAAACTGATGTGGGTTGATCGTAGGGACAGACGGGGAAGTGTGCATTGTCGATTGATTGGATTCGCGGCGACTGAGAGAACTCAGTGTGCCGGTTGAATGGTGACTAGAGAAACCTCGGCAAGTGGAGGCTACATGTGATCGTTTTATGTACAATCTGGGTAAAGAACACGAAAGAACCCATAAAAGAGCGATTGAGCTCAACTGGAGCTGTATCTCATTATCTTGGTCCAAAAGCTGCAAAGTCGAACATCTTATGAGCATTTGGATTCCTAAAAAAATATCCTTATGCAAAGGAAAAGAAACTCTGAACATACCGGTAAGAAGTCATCTTCCAAATGAGTATCGGGTTTGCGCTCCTGACTGGATACTCCGGAGCATGAGATCAAACTTTGCACTACAAAGTGGTGCAGACAATTAAGTAGATGGACGCCGTTTTGCTCGACCCATTCGCCGAACTGCATAGCATCAACGCCACTTTCCGGATCAACATCCTGAAATGACGGTAAACTCAGCAATGAAGTACTTTCCCATATTTATTAATGTAGTTATCATGAAACACTCACCAACGATCGCACCAGCGCATGAAACACTTGTTGATCCGCGTCGCTAATCAATCGAGAAAGACCCGTGGCAGCACAAGCCACTTTAACGCTCACAGTTAACAGTAACAACATATCTGAAACAAACCAATTTACAATTAAGTGAACAACGCTGCACTGTGTTAAATATTGGATTTTTTTATGTCAGTACAGATATTATATTCTTTGTAACAAAATATGAAGTTATTTTTAATAAACCTTGCCTTCTTCGTGCAATGTGCCGATTCCTCTTGAGAATACCCGAAAATAATAATGGATTTGTTCATGCGGCGAAGTAAGAGACAAGATTTCCATAACATTCCGCACAAAAGCCCTTTTGCGTCAACATGTTGGGATTGTTGTGCAATTCCGAAGGCTTGGAAGAATGTTGAAAATGTTGGAATAACAGCAAGCCCAGAAACGGTGCCGCGTCATGGAAATAATTCTCGAAAGCGTCTCGTGAGATGCCTCTTCCTTCGGAAAAGGTGGTGCTGTCCACATTTGGTGCATTTTCCACGTTCTCACTGTTAGCAAGGTTGCTGGTCAGTTGCACCCATTTCTACAAAACAAAAACACAATTACTTGATCCATACGCGAAATCCGGCACGATATCTATCTGACTCCGAATTCAGTTTGCTGTAATATGCAAAAGGATTGTAAATCAACCTGTCGCTTCTGTTTAAGGCAAATCACCTTAGGTCTCTTAAACAACGAACCGGCCGATCTTCGCCGGCGGAATTTTTCGTGAAACCCGTGAAAATGCTTCATCCACTGCTTATCCATTCGCAAGGCTTTACCGATTACAGGAAAATCATCAGATTAATCAAAAACGATGCTGCGCTAGAAAATAAGCTACCTAACTGTCACTCGAAAAGCGCTTTAATAAAGTTTATGGAACTACTGCATATCGCAAGGAAGGGCGGAAGTAACGATTCACTCAAGTGCTTTTCTTGTTGCTGGCGCGCAATTCATCTTCCGTCAAAAATGTATAACTCGATCGCAGTTGTTATCCGTTACAGTTTAGTACGACAAAATAAAAAAACAGCTGTATCAGGAAATGCGCCATTCATTCCACTGAATAAAATAGCACTGTAAGCAGCATTCAGCAAAACACCAGAACCATTTTCATGGGCACGAATTTAGTAAATGCACAAACGTTTGATGAAACTCTGGTCCAACAGAAAAGTGCTGTGTAGTATATGGTGAATTAAGATATCATATGCTTTAGCTTGTAAATTGTTGCATCAGTTAATATCACCTTATCTCAAACAGGTAGAACGTTGCTCTGTTAGTTATTTTATACGATTTATTTAATCCCAAATTTCCATTTAACATTCCCAAAAGTGAGTTGAAATGAAACAATCCAAAGATTTTACAATTACAAGGCAAAAAACCAAAACAGGCAACCCTTACAAAGATATCCTTAACTACTCACTGTGTTTATGTGCACAGAATTTCAACCAGCCGAAGTTCATTAATGTCAAAAACTAAAAATAAAGTACCTTACAATTTTACAAAATATGGAATTAAACATTCCTGGCGCTAAACAAATTCAAAAATTGTAAAAATTCACGTGAATGACAAGGGTATATGAACAGAAGGCTGAACATAACGCACATTGAAAATTCAGCTTTGTTTTACCACACCGTAGATTCAGCGGAAGCTCCTCAAGTGTCATCATTACTTATGAAACAAGACAACCACTTATTCTGAAGTGTCAGAAAACAAGCATTTCCAGCCATATAAAGATCATAAAGCTTGCAAAATCAAATTATTTATATTCAATATCTTCGTTATCTTTGGTAGAAGGCTGAAGAAGAATTACTGTCGGTCAACTGTAAGTCTGCAACTGTTAATTCGGTTAGAATTGCAGCAAATGTAAGGGATTAAGATAAATCATTTCTAAAAACATTACAAGTTTGCAAAGGCATTACGAAAATACGGAAAGATAGGTGAAAGAAATAAAACAACTCTTTAGAATAGTTCAACGGAAAGATCAAGGCGATGGCCTACGAATACATAAATAACAAGCATCGATACGAGGCGTCTAGACAGATCAGTAAAAACCATACCGCATCCTTCTTTTGCGGCAGGAGCTGTAAATTTTAACATTCCTGTAACGGGTAAGCGCCAAAATTCGTTGATAACTAATGGTAAGCATTTATTCGCTTAAATCCTTTTGCTATAACATTAAGCTTCGAATTTTAACTTGGGAATTCAATTAATAATATCGGTTTGCTTTCATATTGAAACCGAATGGTATTCAAAATTCAGTATTATAAGCTTTCAGCCTAGTAATACAGTACTTTTCAAATTTTGAAAATAGGCAATTTTTTATGAGTATCGTAAGCGGCACGGATAACCCAACATAACAAAATGCTAAACAATATCAGCCCGAAGCATCATATCGATGTGCTCGTAGATACAGCACTTATTACGTTACATCATTGTCATCGTAAACATCCTCAAGAAGACCAACCTCAGCAACTTTAAACAGATCCGCAGCGAGATCTATTTGGTTAAGATTAGAAAGACCATCCGTCGTGTCCAGCGTGGATGGTTGACTGGCACGCTTTCTCAGCGCACTTAGAGTTCTCATTCTGGAACGAAATGGACCGCCGGAGTGCTCCGAGTGATTATTCCCCATTTCTGGATCGACTTATATGCGGTGCAATGTTGCTTGCCAACACCAACGTCTCGAATCCGAAACACTAGCCAGTGTCCGATGGCCAAAACCAAATGGCCAAAGATCTGACTTGGTCAGTAGCCAGCTGAGAGCTCAGGGAATTCGTTGAATATAAATCAAGTAACGTGAACCGAAGATCGAAAGCAAAATTATTTCACAGTTGTTATACAATCGCAAGACGCTAGGGCTTCGGTTTAACAGTATCACGGGTCCTCCAATCGGCCACTGAAGCAATAACATAACAGCGCCATGAGAAACGTGCAGTGCTGAAATTGCCGTAGGCGACACTGACACAATACTGAAAACGGTTTGCGATGAGAACTGTTATACAGAGACAAACACCAATATGTTGGCGATAAAAAGCATACTGGTAATAATATATGCTGATCACAAAACAAACGCATAAAATTAATAGTCCTGCGCGGAACGCATGAGAGCCCAGTCCATGGTGGCAGTCTGTCACGATACTGCTATGCCGTTCTAATAGTTACAGGCAGCACTTATCAAATCGTGAGTGGAAACGATGATAAAGCTGAGGGCGCATTCAATGCGAGATTTCTCAAAAGTTATCGAAATTCGGAATAAAGTTCAATAAATTTTAAACAGAAGCACCCGTTATCGTGAGCAGTTAAACTGCGTTGGTTAATGGTTATCAGCCCATCTACGTACTGTAGTACAGTAGTTGTTGTATTTTATGTCTCAAATGAAATTTACAGTTCGACTTCGCACCTTCGACCATTGGCTTGGGGACAGCGTTTAATTATGCGGCTGGGCGGTCGTCAACAAAATGCGGATGCGTATGACAGTTTCTGAAATACGAACGAAATTGAATAACACGTGTTTAAATTTTCTGATTGTGCCGCCATAGTGCTTTTGTATGCGTGTTGTTGTTTACTTACAATCAAAGAATTATTTATTAAGCAGAATCCAATATAAGAAACGTGCTGTACCAAAATAATTATACAAAGTTCCAAATTTAAAACGTAATTTAGCGTCCACTGAATCAGGCACTGATTGCTATAGTTTTGTTCTGTCATAACAGCTAGCCGGAAATACGTAACAATCATATCGTTTCCGGTTAACTACTGGCAAATTTAATAAGAATAATAAACATCCTTTGTACAATGCAGCTCCATACCGCTGGTGTTTGGTGTATATCTCTGCATCAACAGGGTATTAATGAATTGGCAACTGATATCCTGCCGCTCGTGGAATATGGTTGCACGGTTTACTGTGCCAGTTTGCCACTATCTGAAAGTAAAAATTAATGCTGGATCGTTCTCCTGAATTACTGCGAAATCAACTACAAGTATGTTGTTGTTACATTGATCGGCAACGATGCTGACCAAATGCTGACTAGTCATTTAAGCACGTGGTAACAGTCGGGCGACACTTCCATCCCGACACGGTTACTCAGGCCACAGGGTAACACAACACAAGGTCATCGCAAGATCAAAACTTCACAGCAGCATTCAAGACGAATGATCCTCGAACAATCTGGCCGCCAGATGCGATAGATCATGAAGAGTGTACAAAACAACTGCAGAAATTGGGAATATTCTGACGAAATAAGCAACTTGCTAGATCAATTTCTTTAACCAACTTATTATCAGTTTCTGTCCGCCTTGTAAAGCATTGTTAAACAACTGTACACAAGCACTGTTTGAAGATTTGTACAGTACTTTCTGAACTCGCAGTCACGCAGCTGTTTGCTTTGTGCTTGATTTTTAACCCATAAAACTATTACAAACATCATCAAAACTATACAAACATCCAAAATCCCTTAAAAACCGAGACTCGTAGAAAAAGTATGCTTAATTTTTTTCAGGGGACGATTAATAAATACTCTCAACTAAAAACTAACGTAAGCAATAGGTAAAACAAAGCCGCTACAGAAATTTATAAAATCGTACGCATTCAAGCAGTTCAAACATTTCAGTAATTTAACAACACCATAACACAAGCCACAAGGTCACGGAGCTCAATTACTGTCCATTATCCTTCTGGAGTGCCCGACGATATTGAGACAGCTTGCCGAAAATTCTGTGAATTTCGGTTCGGAAATTAATAGCGATCGAATCTGACTATGGGCATCCAGACGACTCGGGGAATTCAGGACTTTTGTTAGCATGTTCTGTAGTTCCGCATCAGCAATTATATCTTTAACTTCCTTCGAATCCTCTGTAAAAAAGGATTTTCGATAAAGACAGGTCATCAAGCATGAAGAAAGTTTGAAAACAGCTGAAATATACTAGTGCAATAACCAGAATAACCGAAAAACTTAAATTTCTTTTTAAATCTACAAAGACCTTTAGACTAACTCCGCAACTATCATGCTGGTATTGTCAGGTTTATTTGTCAATTGTCAAAGCTACGCTCCACCGGTAACACAATTACCGTTCACTTTATGTGGTCAATTTGCCTCTCTTCAAAGGATTCTTTTAAACTTTCACCTTAATGGTATCAAAATCAAGCTAACAATCTAAAGCACACCCGCTCGTGGCTAACACAAACAGCGACATTTTACCAAGTCTCCGTAACGACGCTTGATTCAGTCTGTTTTCTTCGGGTATGCACTGAAGGATTTGCTTCAGATGCTCTTGCGACTGCTGCTCGGTGGTCACACTGCCATCACTCGCAAGTCCGCTATTTCGGGTTTTCGTCACAGCGGCAAGCACGCCGGGCGAATCAGTGGATGGAGAACAGAATTCTAGAAATTTAAAACGATCATAAGAACAATGAGCGAATAAGACACCACCAATTGCTCATGGCTTCTAATACGACCAGGGAGACAACAATCAGCAACCAGTTGGCAGGTCCCACAATAAAACTAATTCATCGACAACCATTTCGTTCCCACCTTACTACTCTATCACTTAATGTAAGCTCTACCAGAAAAAAGACAGCGTCTAGTCAAAAAGATAAAACAAAAGACAGCGCCAAGTCAAATGTCCACCAAACACTGAGCACACTATAAACCAGCTCAAAACGTTCCTCGAAGAAAAAACCAAAATCAAGGACGCACGTACCTTCTTTATGCTTTCGTGAGCAAGGCAAAGAGCAACTGCAAAGACATAACGTTGAAAATCAGATGGATCGCAGATTATTTAATCGGTAATTGTGACGGTCTAAATCCAGCGACGAAGAACGAGAGAACGCAAGCACCAACTACGAACTTACAAAGGAGCACGACAACCAGGACACTTGTACTTCGATTCCTTCTCTTTGCATACTGAACATTGGATGCATCCTTCCACAACAATGACAAAAAGTCACTAGTCTGAAGCTATCCTGATAAAACTCAAACTGCAAGCCCCAATGAATCGCATTAATGACAAGTTAACCGAAAAACGGTAGAAGATCAAAAATCAATTTTTTTGTCACTTTGTGACTTTATTTTTTTTTCAGAGTACCGCACTTTCTTTCGCAGTTTCACCTGCACATTTGTGTCCATCGGCTGATGATCGGCATTCCCTACTCTGTTGGCGGCTACGTGCAGTTGCTCGATCACGATCGAAGGTCGTGCGGTGAGTACGTAACGCCGTCCGGTGTGGCAGCATGGTAGGTGCGCATTTGATTTTTCAGTTTTTTGTGTTCCAGACAGTTTAAGGTACGAGTCCGTTTTGTTTTACTCAAGTCTAAAGCACTTATTTTTGTTTATTTTATTTTCGTTAAACTACAAATCTTTATAACGCAGCATTATCAGATTTTGAGGAAGTGATGAGAACAAATCAAATGTGGTTCAACAGTAACCCTTAGCGACATATCGGACCTTTGCTCGGGCTGTATCCTGCAAGGGCTAGATACCAGCAATTCTCAATCACCCTGAATGTCAGTTGTATTTTAGGCTTCCTGGATAAAGCGAAACCATGCCGAAAACCAGCAAACCTAAGAACGCCTATTCGTTTTATGTGACCGAACGCTGCAGCGAAACTAAAACGTCATATTCCCAGGGCTTTTCCAAATTCAGCGAAGAATGGGACGTAAGTTGGTCTGTCGGACAGATTTTGAACTTCATGTGCTTACGCGACTTGTTCTGCTAGCGATTGGGTCCTGATGCTAAGAAAGTGTACTTCGCCATGGCCGAGGATGCGCGTGAACTGTCCAGCAGCCGCATTCCTAACGCAAAGTACCAGAAAGCCGGTGAACGCACCACCTGGCGACAAACTCAGCCTCAAGGAAACGGGAACAGCCCCGAGAAGATCCTCTTGGGCCCCACAGCTGGCACTAAGAACCCGGAACAAAGGGACCTGACGGTGCAGGACATGATACCCGACGTCGCCCATGGGATTGGCGAGTTTGTTCTGGACGGCGAGCACAACAACCGAGGCGAAGATGTGCCGGCGCCAGCGTACGAGGATATTGAAGTGGCCTGTGTAACTGCGATTGACACCGAATATCCGGAACAGAGAAGTGCGTATGGCATGCCATTCGATGAAGATTTTCTAATGAAACTCTTTGAGTTTTTTTTCTTGCGGGACAAGGAGTAGGACCAGTTTTATTATGCTGTTTATCATCTCTGTTATTCTGACAATAATAAGGTATTTACAGTTAATGCATGCTTTTTAAGAAAATTATTTATTTTGTGGCTGAATTTACGCGGTATTCCTTGATCTGACCATTTGATTTGGGGAAGGTCATGAGGAATTACCTATTGATTAAAGAATAGGTATTTCTTATGTCAGAGTGTTTTCACGTCGATTTTTGTTTTGGTTTCAATCTGCAGATATTTTGGTGCAGAAGGTGGTCGTAATTGGTTGCGTTCCGCTGGTTCCGGTGGGTTGCGGTGCCACTCCCATCAATCGTCCCGTGGAGATATCTCTCAAATCCTTCCATTTAACAACTGGATTTTCCAACGACGTCAAGCATTCTTTTCACGCTTTTATAGATCCTGGTCCGGTTACTCCCGACAAGCAGCTCGTTCTCACGGACGCGCGTAAGCGTAATTTTAGGATATGATGTCTTCCAGTTTACCACAGTAATTGTTTGTAATCAACCTCCGACTGCACAATGAAGTTATTATGAAAATATGGCGACATGTTTTATAGATCATTAATTGTACCCGTTTAATACAGGAAAGAACTGCCACAAGATTCCCTATGCGGCTTTCATCAAAGGGGACAGCGATTGTAAGCGGTTTCATGAGGGTTTTCGGCTGCGGAAAGATTACTATGACCTGTATAAAGAAATGAGTTCATTTGTGCAAACCAACCATCGCCCGATCGTGGCGCTTGGATCCATGGAAGATATCGCAACAACTTGGGCATGTTTGGAGTGGTTGCACTATCAGGCTACGGAAGACGGCAAGAAAGAGCAAAGACCCAGTAAGACATTGCTCTAGCTACGGTATATTCCAGTTCGCAAATTCCACTTGTTACGCTGCAATATTTAATTTTCTCATTGCTCAAGTTCTTACTGATTATTTGCTTGATTTTGCGGGTTGCTATTGAGTTCATTATCGACTGCAGGTTTGAAGCAACTTACGTTATCCACTGTGGACGATTACGTTGGTCATGCGATGAGCGTTCTGATCGGCCATCATTCGGATTCGCTGCTGGCGGAAGAATTTGAGCGGATTCGCAAAACGTTTTCCTTGTGCCGCTATCGTCGCCAAAGAAGCTTACAGTCAGTTTATTATTACAGTTAATACAAATTAGTTGGACCATTGCTGTTCCGTTGTCCTGTGATAACAAGCGATACCTAAAAGAGTGACGTATTTCCAGATGTCTTTTTCACAAACAAGTGGACACGGAGATGTGTGCTGATGCTATGGCATGCGAGCGCATGTAAGTAATGCATTCACATAATTATGCTCGTAAAAGGAAAACATACCTATTAGATTAGGTTAGCTAATTTTGTAAATTATGAACCTGAAACTGCTCTAGATTTAAGTTTGAATTACAAAACAGTCAGGAAAGTTCGATGAAAGGTCATACTTGTTTGCAGTTATACCGTATTCGATCTTCTGCGTGATTACTACTCCTTGCCGACAAATGGTCCATTCACTCCTCGCGACTGAGATGCCAAATCATGCCAAAGTTAACATTACTGAGAAAGAACGGTTGCGGCAGTTGTAAATTTTTCCTGTTTAACGTACAGTTGATTATTCCACTTTGTAATAACTTTCATAGGTTTCCCTCCTCGTAGCTCAATAATAAAGCCAGTGCATTTGTTCTTGCGTGTATATTTTGTTTCCTTGCGTTATTATGCATTCCATGTCACGATTATATAAGTACAACCCCTTGTTAGTATGGTGATTTCTTGTACATTTGGCGTCTTACCTTTCTCGTGTAACACTTTTTCGCTGTCTTTATGTTTTTCCTTGCTTTGTTCCCAATAAAAAATGCGGAGATTTAAGTGAAAAAGTGGGGTATTGCACTTCACTTATTCTGCAAAACTACGATTCCATTAAATTTTCGCATTTCGATTCATGAGAGACATCACTCGGAAAAGAAACTCAGTGAATGGCAACTTATTTCCCAGTATAATACCTACTCTACTGGAGAGACGGGATAGTATCCAAAATGCGCATCAAATTTACACGCTTAATTTTTGCTGAACGTTTGTATTAAAACAAATACAATGAATGACGACTCAATAAGGCATTGTTGTTTTCATTTGGTTCATGACCTATGAAACGACCGTTCGCATTCCCTAACGTTTGTTTGTTTGCACTTAGCAGCAAAACAGAACGCCGATAATTAATAATCCCTGACTGTTTTGCGTCGTCAGCATTGCAGTGTTAGTGTCGCAGATTTTAGCAAGATTTTGACTGGAAATTCAAAACCGCCGTGTAGACATTATACTCGTACTTTATCTTGGTCTTTAGCAAGACTAACAGCGAGCAGTGCCAGTTTAGAGCTAAATCTCGCAAACGCCAGCGCATATCATGCTCTAAAGATTTTTAAGTGGTATTATACGAAATTAAGAATCAATTTGTATTGATGCTGCATGGACGTCAATGACTCAATGGTGAAATGTTTTCAACGTGCAAACGCTCCGACGTAAAACAGAAATTTGATATTTCTGGTAGTACTCCTGCGTAGAATGTGTAAGTTATTACTAATTCCATTTTGCTGCTCGTATATGATCTTCGCAAATCAAAGTTTGTAATTTATGTACATACTATATAGTATACCTACCTCAAGGCAGCTTTGAAAATGGGTATTTCCGTTGTATTGATAACTCTGACCGCAATTGTTGGAACTGCAGTTTCAGGTACACACACAAACTGTCAGTACCAAAATTAGCATACCAGCATAAATTCCGTAGTCAGAAAAGTTTTGACGTTTTATTGTGCATACTAACTCGCTCTTATTTTGCAAATGCGATTAATTAGATAGGTAAATCGTGTACTGTTGATATTTTTATAGGAGCTGAAGGTTCGATCAGCTGCTACGCATGCAGTACAACAAATAATCCTGGATGCGAAAATCCATATCGGATATCTAGTTTTTATCAAGATTGTCCAGCTTTTGTTGGGCAAGACCACTGCTTAAAAATTACCGGTCCTGGATGTAAGCACACCAATAATATTTTACAGCGTACTATACAGTTTGTTCGTAATGTTAATACAATATTGGTACTCGTACAGTACGTAGATTATTAGATATATCGACAGCTGCTGCAGACACGTGAATTGCAGTAGTCCGCTACTATTAAGTGAAAATAACGCAGCTACTAATTTAATTTTTATCTATGGTACATACAATTATTGCATCCGTTTTCTTGTAGGTGAACTTAGTATGTTTGCGTGTACCGGAGATAATACTGAAGCGACGTTGTCGCTTCAGTAATATTTCCGGTTCAACTTGCTATACTTATCCGGAACATATAAGGAACATATGATTATTATGATATATGTCCTTATATATTTTCATGTTTCCGGAATCATATGTCCCTTATATTCTTCCAGAAATATTAAAAAACTACAATCTATAATCAGTTATCATTTAAAACATCACTTTGCGTATATGGACATAGCCGTTTCATTTCGAAGTGTAAACAGGCCCGTCTTTAGCTTTTTCGAACGGGAACGACACGACCTCGCGCCAGTTCAATGGCCGAAACTTTTGGGGAAAAAGTAGAAAGTGGCTCAAAAAGCCAGGTTTTTTACAATTTTCTTGTTGTAATTTTCGGTGCCCCAGCGCCCGGGATGCTATTTTCCAGTTTTCTCAGTAAATTACTCATAAATGTGTTGGTTACGCCATGTTAGTGTTAGTTTGCTTATTTTGTTTGTATTGCACATGCAGTACAGCTGACCAGGCGATGTGGTGGTTTGAATCCTGCAATCAACATGGGACAAGTTCAGGATGGATGTTTCATAGATGGGGATATCCAAGTATGCGTCTGTTCATCTAATTATTGCAACAGCGGGCAACCACTTCGAGTTTCCATGCTTATTTTTGCTTGTTTGGCAATGATGCGCGTATTGTTTTATTTTTGCCAATGAATTTACAATATTGTTTGCAAATGACGTTTTGCAATGTTGGTTTTTAAGTAGTTTCCATACTACAAAATGACTGATAAATGCCCAAATAAAGATAACTACTGTGAATATTAGCGCGGTAGCTCTGTCTTGGTGACAATAGCATAACAGTTTTAAATTTCATCCGCGTTTCACGTAAAACAAATTCTGGAGACAAGCACTGCTGTCCAAATTCCAGTTTTCTATAGGTATGTACAACGTTGCACTCGTACTGATGCATGACCATCGCCCGGTATTTGGCAGTTTGATTTTGCAGTACGTAGTATCATTAGTATCATAAAGGTACTGAACTAAATATTACAGTATTTAGTAATGTTATGGTAGTATTCATTTGACGTGACAAACATTAAAAACGTTGCGATTGTTTAAATTCTGAAAAAATTTACGTCTGCGTCGCCGTTATAACGTTTAGCTATCCAATGAAACAAAGACACACACTTAGGTACGGTATCTGGTTTTCTGTCTGCATCAGAATAGCTTTTTTTACGGTTAGGTTTGTAACTTTGTCGTACACACAAATCATAAACATAACATTAAAAATTGTTAATTTTGCATTCCGCTAATTGTGTTTACGCGAATTATCCTGTTGACAATCACACGACAGTTAAAATTAGGACTTGAGATGCTCCAACGACCTAATAATGTTCCATACATGCACGAAATTTAATGCAGGGTGACCTTTCATCCAAAATTTTCAATGTAATTCACTAAAAGGCATGTAATAAAACAGACAAACCAACAAATAAAAGGTAAACTTTTGAGAAACCAACATGGAACTTATACAAAAGGTATAAGAATTTATTTGCGCCCGTTGTAGTAACTGTTTCCGTACAACCCGCCGGTCCCATAACCGTATCCGGTGCCGTATCCAGTTCCGTATCCAGTGCCATATCCAGTGCCGTATAATCCGGAGCCGTAGCTGGAACCATACAAGCCAGTGCCGGAATTACTGCCATACGATGAATACGGGTAGCTGTTGTATCCTGTTGAGTAGCCGGTGTTGTAAGGTGAACTTCCGTACAAACTCCCGTATAAACTGCTGGTATATGGGGAATAGCTGCCTCCGTACAGACCGCTGCTACCGTAGTATGAACTACCACCATAGGGATAGTACGATGAGCTATAAGCGCTGCCATAAGGGTTGGAATTTACTCCGTACGCGCTGCTGTACACACCGGATCCCAGTCCATATCCTCCGGAACCGTAGCCGCCATAATTCGTGTTGTACAGACTTGTAGATCCGTATGGATAATACTGCGCTGACACAAAGTGCCCAAGGTAAACGATCAAGGCAAAAACTAAGAAAACCGTGGACTGCATGATTGCGGTAACGGGAACAATATAAAGGGCACAGGACCAATTAAATGTGGAGATGAACGCAAGAATTTTGATTGCACCGAACAAAATGCAAACACGTTAACTTTAATACTTAGACACCGATTTCTTGTAGTTTATTTGCTGTATGGTATGAAGAGCTCTGATTGCTTGGTCAGGGAAAGGCAAATAGTAAACAGGGCATACGAGACTACATACTGTTTGCTGATTCCTTTACCGTCGTTTTTATAAGCCGTTTGCCGATGTTGTTTTTGGCTGGTTCCCAAAAATATCTTTTGAGTCTTTTTGCATTACCTATCCCAAGAGGCAATGTATAAATTTGATTTTCTGATTGATTACGACTCACATTACAAAGAGAAGTGGTGAATCAGCTTAATTTTGCAAGTTAGAATATTCCGAAAAAACGACGAAAACTGCTCTGGTTGACGCCGGTAAGTATTTAAGTGTGCTATGGTCTGTTATAAAACTGTTTATTCAATACATCGCGCAGTGATTACGATACGGGTTCTTAGTTCTGCGTGTCGAAGTGCCTTAACGATTTAGTGAAGCGCTGGATCCATGTAATGCGATCGTGATTCTTGAATTATGATTACGATTGCAAAAAGGTGTAAACAATACCACCATGACAGACTATGTCCTAGCGTTATTTTATTCTGCCTTTGCAGTACGTACTACTTACCATTAACACCTAGAGTAGTGCAAGTATAGGTAGAAAGATGGACTATACGATATACTGCATGTGCATATTGCAGCAGAGAGGCGGCAAAAACCTTTTCTTTGTATTAGAATATTGGATAATGCTGTGATGTAATCAGAATCTGATCTCCACAGGCACTATTTGGGACAAATCTTGGATTAAACTAGCGGCCATTTATTTATGTACTGACAATGAGCATCGTGGACATGGTAAAAAGTTATCAGCGAAACCAAAATAAACGTAAAATATCAGCGCTTTCGTGATGTTGAATTAAAAATCGGTATGAAGCTTACCATTAAGTTAACTACAGAGATCACGCAATGCTTAAAACCCATTAATTAGGAAACTGATCGTTTCAACAAACTTTAACTACTAAGTTTTTATTAGGAAACTGACGGTTTTAAGTATAGACTGTACAGCTGTTCCTCCTAAATGCATAAAATAAACTATGCATCGATCATGCATCGTTGACAGATTATCTGCCCATTTAATTTACAAGAACTTATAAACCGGGAGTTGTGCTACATTTATCATTCCGCATTATTGTTCAGTAAGTACTACTATATTATTCAGTAGAAGTATTCTTATCGCTACACTGTATACGAAGTACTCATAATATTATCGCTAATTAAGCAGGGTATGCAAGTCTGCTACGAGCACAGCACACAAGCATAGAAACTTTAGCAAAAATTTCAGTGGCGAATTGATTAATGTACATTGGTCGTATAGCACTCTTAACTACGATTTCTGTGCATATACTGTATTTTCTTGTTTTTGCAGTATTTTGTACGCTTCTTCCCTGGGGGCTCCGTCACAGCTAATGATACGCTACCAATACTTTTCGATGCTCACAGTCAAATGATTTAAAACGTGTGCTCGTAATGGAGTTTCTTGCTTGAAAGTCGCATTAATATATTTCCTGTGGAACTTGATCAAAATAAAAATCCCTTCCATTCAAACGAGTAGAGCTATTGGTGTATTTTCATACCGCAAAAATGGTTGTGTTGGACAACATTAAACATTTGACTCAAGGTAAGCCTGTCGGTCCTAAAGATTTACAAAATCAATTTTGTGCAAATTAAAAAAGCACTTTAATGTGTGCATTGTGGAATTAACGCAATTTAAATGGTAAAAGATTTATTTGCTGTGTTAAAAATATACTGTTGCGAAGAGTTTGCAAAAAAATGTTTTTTTTTTCCAGAGTATGGTACCTATGTACACAGTGCTCTATGATTTATGCCGGTAAAATATTCGCTGCTTGCAGGAAGTGAACCTCCACACTTGGACCCAAGCAAGCCGACTCTTTACAGCCTAAGATTCTCCCCATTTTCCGAAAGAGCAAGATTAGTTTTGAATATAAAACACATACCGTAAGACCATCTTCTAATGTAAATCACAGACGCAGATCTGGAGCTTCAAAGGAACAACTCATATAAATAGGCAATCGGCACTATGAAGCAACACAAGCCCACCGTTCGGATTTTCATTTTAGTTTCAACGTTGTCAACATTCATGTAAGGAATCGTCCTGATTGGTACTGGAAGAAAAATCCATTGGGAAAAGTTCCCACATTGGAAGAGCCAGATGGATCTATCGTTTATGAATCTCTTATTATTGCGGAGTATCTGGATGACAAATACCGCGATCATTTTCCCCTGCTTCCCAGGGATCCATATGAGCGAGCGCAGCAAAAACAACTTGTGGTAAGTTCCTTTTTTAAGTGTTTTATCTACAGATCTTAGTATTCACTCGATCCAAAACAACAAAACTATTGGCAATTCAAACTATTATATATAGATATATTGAAAAAATTTTATTTAACGTTGCTGTTATATTGCTGTTTTGTTTTTCCAGGCAGCGGTTATCGAAACGGTGAGTACCGGATACGATAAAATTGTGACAAACAAAGTGTATGAATGCATTTTAGGCATCGTATAAGCACACGGTAATTGAAGGCGACCAAGAAGCCAAACACACCGTGGAAAATGGTTTGGATGCCGTAGAACGAATGCTTCAACAATACTTTTGGTCAGGTATAAATGAAGTCAAAATTTTATGTACTTAATATCGTAGTATACTTCTACTTTGCACACATACAAAGTCACAATATACAATGCCTATGCGGTATGGTATGTGGACATTGTACTGTAGGTGAGACGATTTAAGAAAAATGTTACACTCGTACATACATTACCGATTAATAGGCGGCAATGCCGCTTTATCCACCCAAACCTTTGCGAAAGCATTGTATTGGTAAAAAAAGTGATATGTATACGGGAATGTGTGTGCTTTTTCTGTTAAGGAAACAAGATCGGCTTCGCTGATCTTATGTTGTGGCCTTGGTTCGAACGGTTACCGGCAATCAGCGAAATCGCTGGGTTGGACTTTACAGAAAAACGTCATCCAAAAATTACGGAATGGATGCATCTGATGCTTGCAGTTCCCGAAATAAAGGAAACCGCGTACTCTACCAAGGAGCGTGTGGAGTTTTTGGAAACTCGCAAAAGTGGTGCAATAAATTATGACGTTGGTCTATGATAAAGGTGGCAAAATGAATGCGCTAGCTCATTTTTATATTAATATTGCAGCATACAAATGCATGGCAGCATTCATCGTCTTCTTGCATGGTCGTGCATAGTCGTCGTCGTATGTAACAGAATAATAATTATAGGAATATTATAACTCAATAATTAACATGGACGCCCATAATTCTGGTTTCTTGAAGTCAACATCATAAAGGCCATTCGAAATCAAATTTCGAGAAGTAAAACGTGCACAAACATGTGCGCACTTGGGTTTTGTTTAGACAAATAATATTCTGCTAGAGCTTTAAAACTTTAATACAACGCGCAACAGTAATTAATAAAGACGTACAACGGCATGTACGAGACTTGTACGTAATTTGTATCGCTATATTATTTTGTCGCTCGTTAAAAACTTGAAATGCAGTTTCCAGGAAATTGTTCCAGCTTCCAGTATCCGAAAAATACGGTTGGTGGATTAGGTATCTGGGTTGGGTGAAAACTACGGACATGCAGTAGCTTTTATATTTTATTCCTGAACCACTATAAGCAGAAGTGCAGAGGCTTTTGTATGAAAATCGAAGTTTATAAAAGTCATAATGAATTTATGACCATCTATTACCTACTGATTCCGTCCTATAATATTTGGCAGCAAATCTAAAGATTTCAAATTTTTAATACATGATATAATTTTAAAAATATATGCCTGTCTGAGCCTAAAGGAATTCTGAAAAGTTAAATATTCGAAGGAAGCATAACTACGAGATGTTTAAATTTCTAATGTTTTTCAGTGTTTAAGTTTTGAATGTAAAGCATTGTGTAAAGAATTCTGACTGGCACCGTGTGCAATTTGATGGCTAATTGGCTAGTGTACATTGAAAAGGTTTATACCACGAGATTTAGTATCATTCATTTACTCAAATATTGCAGCTGTGCTATCATGACATCGCAATTTGCTCCAAAAAACAAATGAAATTCTAATATAACACAATAATGTTCTATGTACTCGTATTAAAGTCGAAATGAATGACTTATCTCAATGCAAAATGTCAAGATGAATGACCTACACATGCAGTACCACCATGAGATACGTTGTTGCATTTTCCGATATAAGTTTCTATGCGCGCGCATGCAGATCGCTCGCTGTCTTTAGCAGCTTTGATTTCCTGGACCAAAAGCTTTTGATAGCCACTGCTGCGACACGAATTTCGGAAGTGTTACTAAGAAAACCGCGTCAGCACTACTACTAGGAGCTCTTCCACGAGACTTCCTAAAGGATTTAATACAACTGTATTAACGTGCGACCAAAAGCGGCACTTTCAGATTTCACTAACCGCATGCACACTGCGATGTGCGTCTTCGTTCGGCGTAGTAGCGAACAGCGATAACTCATAATCAAATCTAGGTGCGCTTGGTAACGTTGATACCGCGTCTGGCACAACCGGAAATGAAACTGCCATCCGTCAATTAGCCCGTTATTGTGCCAACACTAGCAGCTGATGCAGAGAGCAACAGCCCGAAAAGTACATTCAAGACACGACTGGTGAAGTGCGGATGGATGATCAGTAGTTTTAGCTCTCTGATTGATAGAAGTGGCTAAAAATTGGATGTCAAGTCCAGCTGATATCGTTCTGTTTAGATAAACGATTTTCGTTTAAAACTCTCAATCATAAAGCCTATTTCCTCCTCACAATGCTTTCTGAAATTTCATTAATATGACGGGCTGCGCTATAGAATTAAGGTAGACCTGTTTTCCGCTTAATTGCATTGTTGTCGCTACATACAATACTCGTATATTGTACGCATTATGGAACTTTAATTTATCGGCTTTTCTTGAATCGGCATCTGATGCATTAGTAACATGCTTACCTATTTGGGCGTGATTTTTGGTTGGCAATTGCATGACATTGTATAATATACAATAATGTTGCAGATTATTATCTGCAACAAGGTTTCTGCTTCTTTGCTAATACTGATAAAAAAAACTAAAATACTCATAATTCACAAAGAATAAATTCCTGTATCATGTAGAAAAAGACATACATTTCATTGCGTAGGCGCTATTATCCTCTTAAGTTTTAAAACGTTTTTATGCGTACCCCCATTTGATCATGAAACGGCATATTTTCACCCACCGTGCGTAATCTGTTTACGGCCTGTTCGCCATTAGCGTAAGTAATTTGCCAGCGTGGATGGCAGGAACGAGTGGTAATTTCGTGTTTGATCTGTGCAAAAAAGTTTTCAGGCTATTGAGGGTAAAAGGCGCACGACATAATGAGAATGGGCCTGAGCCCGTAACAAAGTTGTTCTGCCGCGCCGAATAGGACGACGGGAAAAACATAATGACTTTCAGGTCGTGTTGCCGGGCGCATTGCGTGAGAAAGTTACGCCACAGCCCATTCCCTTTTGCAGCCGTTATTCGTTAATAGGCCTTCTACACTGCACAGGCGTGCAGCCTCAGCAGCCGTACATGTCACATCGCGGATGGCGTATTTTGTCTCCATGAATGGATGCTGGCGATGCACTTGTGCGGCTGCAGCACTGCACAGCACAGCGGATCCTTTGTTCAGCGGGAATCAGGCGCACTGCCGAGTACGTGATTGTTGTGGGCTGGTTATGAGGAAATCTAAGTACAAAAGGTCAACACAAGTCCATAACTAAGCTTTATTGACTCTGACACTACTTCGGACTGCTTAACATCATGGACAAATATTACTGACTAGTTACCTCACTTCATCACTGGACATATATGTGTAACCGCCATTTGCCATTGATGCCAAAGAGAGACGAGCCGCTCGCTGCCCGGCCGGTTCATGCTGCATGCTTGTAAACTTTTTGCTCCACTTTGGGGAATAGTGTACACGGCTCAAATCGTCATCCTTTAGAAGAAAGATATTCGCGGGCGGAGAATCCATAAAATTACGCAACCTGTGCGCGGTGTAGTCCGCGTTCGGTGCTGTGTGTGTGTACAGTGGCGCGCCATTGTGTCAGTGATTTCTCAACATGTGCAAATAACATGGATTACAATCTTAAGATATCGCCTTATAGTGCACTGATCGACCGCTAAGCGCCGCTATGGATATCACATCCCTTCTTCCCTTCAAGTATATTGTCAGCGGCTGCGGCAATTTTTCTCTTTTTAACATGATCCGATAATACACATCAAATGTAACTGGACGCACGGGTTATATGGCGGAATATATCGCGGCGAAGAACTGATTTGAAAAGTACTTCAATACATATAATCTGATGACATAAGATTTCCGCAACAGGATGCAGATTTCCTGTCTCCCATATATATGAATCAGCTGGCTTCACTGCATGGCGTCAAAGAAGCGCAAGATGTGTTTCTTGATTAACGGTTCTTAAGTTAAATTACCGGTTTGACCGGGGTTAATCTGATCAATCCCGACCTCGAATTATGGGACACCGGAAATAACACTTAATTTAGCAATTTCAGTTTTATCTGGCACTATGTGCCAAGGAGTAGTAACGCTGTTTTTCGTATTGCAATTGTTCCACATTGACCAATGCGAGGCGTCACTCAACGGAAACTACGAGTATCGTACCAGCAATATTGTGATTCTGAGTTGATTTGATGTTATGAGGTCAACCGCTTTTATTCTAATGCTAGGTAAGTGATGCCGCTATTGTTTTGAATTAAGATTTGCATAACTTCATGCACCGATAATACTCCACACAGCTTTAAACTTTAACGGCAGTGCTTGTGCTTATAATGTATGCCATCGACAATGTTTCCTCTTGAGTTAAAACAAACACCCCGGGCCGGGTTGTGGTGGATGCTAACAATAACTAAAATATATAGTGGTCTAATTTTGCGTGCTGGAAATTTAGTATCCGATTTTTGTGATTTTAATTTCTGAATTTGTTTTTGTAATTTCAGAGTTTTAATACTAAATAGCTATAAAATTTTTTTGCTCAGTTCTTATCTAACGGATTACTTTAGTAAAACGTCCGTAGACCGAACACGTTTCTTGATTGACACACATATTATATAGTCTGATATGATGTATAGTATGCTTTTAAGAATTATAAGTTAATTATGTACTGTTACAACAACGCCTTGCAGTGGCAGCAAAACATGCTAAAAGGCGTTCTACATCTTATCAGTAAATATTACCATAGTGCTGACACACCGGAATTTGAATTACAATCAGTTCTGAGGTTAAATAACTTAACCTTAATGAAATATAGGTACCTTTATGCGGCAGCGTACCGGCGCTTCGATAATATTAAAAACGTCATAGACACAGTACTGCCCAACATATGTATTACTGTACTACTCTGTATCTGTATTACATACTAATTTTTAGCTTACTTACAGCTTACTTAGAAAGCGATAACCGGCGGTGCGTGTTTACTTACAATATAGAAATTAAGGTCATTATTACGGAAATTCAAGATTGGCTTACAAGTAGTTTTGTGTGCAGTGCAACAATATAAGTGCACCAGGTGTGAGTCGGTGCATCAATATTAAACTGGTGAACAGAATTTAAATTTTCTATCCAAAGTTTGTTTGTTTTTCGTAACTCTTTAATTTAACCAAATTTCATCAGCGTCTAATTACACATTAATGCGTTCGAGGAATTCTAACGAAAAGACATTTTTCTATGTTTTATGTGAACATTCAAAATCTGTCTACCGTATGAGAGCAAAGTAAAAATTTTGGCGTTCTGTTCTGTAAATAAATGATTGTTATGCGCACATCTGTATACGGTATACATATGTATGCCAATAGGACTACACTGCGTGTAGGATAATAAGACTAGATCAAGCTGTCAATACTTGTTACCAATCTAATAATTTACCAAAAAAGGAATTCAGTCATAACGGATTACACTTGTCTTTTCAGGCGCGTTGTTGTTGTCAATGCATTATTGTTCTTCCAAAAAGACCAAGAAGTATGCACAACTGGTCCCAGCGAGAAACCGACCGGCTCCGACGGCTCATCATACTTACCGATACCATGCAAAAGAGAAAATCCTAAGGAATCGTTTTACTCCTAATGCAGTTCGTTACAAGAAGCCGCGAGCTCGGGCTAACAAGATTAACCGGCCCAATCTACTCGTCGGCCGAAAACTCGTCTATCATCATTTCCGACGAAATCGAGCCCGACTGCCCGATATAACGGACTTAATTAGAATCCGCAGCAATAATCGCGAATGGTTCGAGCTGCCGGAAAATGTTACCGTCAGTCCATCACGACCGGAAGTGCAATGGTATGGGAATTCCTATATTCCTTACCGCTACCGCTGCCAGTCGTCCATCGTCTGCAGTGCTAACCGCATAGCGCGATTGTTGGACTCTGACAACCACAGCCTCATTGATCGTGACCATCCGGCCGATCGAATCCAGAAAATTCCCTTCTGCTCGCTGGTGCGCCTTAATTATGAGTTGCCCTTTACCGAACTGCCGAATTTGGTGGCCGCCACATTGTCGTCGGATATGCTGTCTGGCAACACAATGGTTCAAAAACTGAGGTAAAGTAAAGGCAAGGCCGGTGCCGAAAGTTTTACATATGGGTCGATAATTTGTTGATTATGCTCTATTATGCCTAACAACTACAGCGTGATTACGTTAACGTTAACATGAGTCATGAATCGCTAACGTAAACATGGAAAACCTCACCTGCTTCATTTGATTCATTGTTTTTTTAGATTTCCTAATTCTTATGACAAAACACCAGAATATTAAGCCTATGACAAAATAAAATTTACATATTTTGACTTAACGATATTATTGTACGCAGTAAGTGATGGCTTCTTCAATTCGGTACAGATTTTACTCGGCATATCTATACGGAGTTCACCAAATGCACGGAAAAAAAGATTTTTCGTCGGAAAAATACGAACATTTTTTTGTTTCGCACGTGATACTGTACATATTTTTAATTACTTTACTTTAATGATATTGTGACCAATTACTGTAATGGAGCTTTAGTACGAGCAACACGGTGATGCCACTGTACAACTTTACAACAGCTTTATATTAATACCGATAGTGAGTACCGATTTCTACATACTACGGTAGAGACTAGAGTATTGTACTAATGATGATATTATTATGTACAATAAATGATTAAACAATGCAGTACTACTCCGCGTACTTCTTCCGTCCATTTTACATAACTTTGTAAGTTAACTTAACATAAGAATAGGATTGTGAGCAACACTTATCGTTCTGTGTAAATAATAATGATGTTAATAATCTATGCACTTCGAACACTGCTTCGCGCCAGTAAAATAAACTTGATTACAGAATTAATTACGTACAGAAATTAAAAGCAAGTTAATAAATTAGGTAAAAATAATATTAATAGCTTAAATTGTTTTGTCTATTGTAAAACATGCTATAGTAATTGCGAAGGACAGAAGCACCTGTAGTTGTACCCGTTATCGAGGTAATGCCTCTACTCATTGCGCGAACTTTTGCAGATTTTTACTGGAGATATTTCAAGCCAGTTTGGATAAATATATGACAAGTGATTCTTCCGGGGAAATATTCGTGGCACCGCAGAATTCGGATTCCTCAACGTGCAAATTCAAGCGATCCACAGAACCACTAATGCGATCCTTGTACACTTTCATGAACATACTGTCCACGCGGGAAGGAGGGGAAGGCTTTGTCACAGGTTTCTGTCTCACAAATTGTTTTCTGATACGAAACGCTGTTAATTTCCCTACAATATACAGTATCTTAGAAATTGCTGGTTTTTATTAAATAATTAGTAACAGACGGCACACATATCGCGAATAAAACAGTCAACAAAACCGTGCACAATACAAGTTAATAGCGTTTTCTGGTTATATGAGCACAGCCTTGACAAAGAGCGCGAAAGCCTGTAAAGACAAAGAAGATGAATATTATCCATTAAGTCTGCTGCCGTGTCTGGACTTTTCCGTCGGATCCGAACAAGTGCTTCTTCTTCAGGACCAAAGAACATTATTTGGAAATCAAGAGCTTTGTAGGTAAGCACGAATGTTTGAAGCTGAATAATTTTTGAGATGTGACTGCATGCCAGAATCGAAGAAACTCGAAATAAAAAACCGCTTCGCAGGTTGCGTTTTGAAGTGCGTTGTGAACAGTATAACAGCTGTCCAATTTCCATTAAACAAATTCGAAATTTTCCCTGAAAATAATTGTATTAATTTTTAGACGCTTTCTAAAGGTCAATATAAGCCGATGCCTTTTGATGGACCAGCCGCATTCCTGCACTGAAGAGCATCTGGTTGCTCTTAATAATTTTGCCCGTCGTTTTTACATGTGCGTTGGCATTTTACAGCATAGTAGCAGTTCGGTAAGTAAAATTTTTCATGGTGCAAAAGAAAACAATTACTATAAGCATTTATCGTCGCTACAGTGGCGAGAAAACATCAGCAGTGACCTTTCTGTATTTTCAGGGTCAGGTAGAGGAGATTTATGTGGGGGAGCCAGTCGTCGATGCTCAACAACTTGAAGTCCCTCCAAGCAAAGCCAGTACGCATTTCCGGTCTTTTTTAACCTCGTACGTTATAGTCTTGTGCATCTCGTTATCGTGTTATTGAAATCTTACAACGAAAATCTGCTAGTAATTGCTAACATTGTGCACGTCTGTGTAAATGTATACTAGCTTACGTCTTCGCAGAATAAATATTAATTTACAAAGCAATAGGATATCGTTAACAAGCATTTGATTTTAAGCTTTTAACTGTGAAAAACTTTCTTTGAGCCTTTATTTTGCTTATGTGTACGTGCTTCTCAAAATAAAATTTAGTTGGACGGATTTGGGATTTTTTATAAGCTCCCCCAAGATCGCGCTTCGCTGTATTATTAATTATTGTTGGGTAAGTGTACAAAACAAATAAAAGTACAAATAATAGAACCCCCAAGTAAATTCGCTTTTTGAACGCAAGTGATTGGTCTATTACGTATTCGCCTGCGACAAAACTATGATATTGGATTGGCTAAATTTAGTATTGTACGAGTACGATGTTTGAGAACACAAGCGCACTATTTATACTGTACTCGCACTCCGTACAGGTCGTAAGAAAAATTATATTATTAGTAATACGTATATTATTCGAAGTATTGTACATCATGTTTTTAATATGCATTAACCACATGAAAACACCGCTCAATTAGGTATACGCTGAAATAGAGCTACACATGCTGCGACACAAAAACGATGCATCTGATGTAACTCAGCAGTGAAACAACACACAATAGTCAATAGTCATCCCATTAAAAATACCTTTCTGTAGGTAATACAGTGAAGATTTCGTAAGTATTAAATACAAGTGTACAGATACCTACATTCACTCGGTTTCCGGATGTCCATATATACATTCTCACTGTCCCTTACCCACCTCATTAATCAACAGAATAACACGCACTGGACCGAACAAATCACAGAGTACAACAGAGTATTACCTTACGTTGCTTAAATTTTTAGATAATTTTTATAATGATATAGCCACAATTCCTAAAATGCAAATCGCCATAACGATCACGAGGCTTTTCAATGCCGGAGATTTGTTACACAAATCGCGTCCTGAGCAAATGCAGGTCTCGACGCCTGTGTCTTTGTCAATTTGGCAGCCATCCACAGGAGCAGGTGGACGTAGCATGCAGTTGCGCTGTGTAAGACCTGTTAAAATTGCAAAGATTAAAGCATAAACCACTACTATGTGTAGCACCAGATATTCAACATTTAATATATGCACACGTACTGTATGTATGTACTTGTATGTATGGGTCACTCTTTATTACAGAAAGTTAAGAAACCATTAAAGTTTATAGTGCAAGTAATGGCAACATGCAGCTACTGTAATTAATATGCCTCTACGATGCTGCGTATCGCAAAGGGAATACCAGGTTACTGTACATTTTAAAAAATAAAGGAAGATAGATTTTCCTAGTGTTTGTATAAGTAAAACTCACTTCCTGGACCACGGCGTTTGAAACAGACGTTTTCCCCGGCAGCAAACTGACAGTTGTCGACTAGTGCCGTACTCAGCTGGCTGGGATCGCTGCATGCCGGCGCTTTGCTGCTTTCACATACATAGCATCTTATAGCGGTCACTAAAAATTATCATCAATTAATTTATGGTGCCAGTTTCATGTCAACGTCATAGTGTTTATTTATAGCAAGTTAAAGTTAAATGACAATTCGCATCAGTGACCTATATAAAAGGTACAACTTTTACTAACGTCGATGTTTGTACATATAAAGCGAGTACGACTGATAAGACAAAATCTAATGTCGGTAAAGAATGCCCGACTGGAAACATTCTCATATATGCGAATTTTGGTTAACTAAAAATCGCTACAAAGTAAATTCTATTACAAGCAGATTAGGTTTTATGCTGACAGGGCATATATTAGTCTAACGTCTTGGTAATTATTTTCTTTTCTACAACAGTAACTAAGTTATCGCATAGAAGTTAGAATATCGGTACTTTACTGAAATTGAAGACGGCTGAAACTCATAATATTCTTATGTAATCCACAGTCAGCGCTGCGGGAGGAAGCAGGCAGCACAAACAGCCAAATTCATTATATATGCTAACAAATAAGGCGGTGAAATTGTTCTACAACAAAAAAGTATAGTATTATATTTATTATCGCCACGAAAAGTCTATGACAAAAGCACGATTAGTTTCGTAGTTCATAATTCTGTACTGGTGTACATAGGTGCACGGAATTCGAATAATGCAATGGTATTTTGAACTATTCAGATTTCAGGGTTAAAGAATTATTCGGCGTTTGAAGACTAAAGAATGCTTGGTTACAGAATGCTCACTTACCATGTGTAGCCGAAGCACACACTACTATTATCACTGTTGCAATGCCTAACGTCCAGCTGAGGCCATACATTTTCTGCCCAGTATATAAAGTTCACGATAAGAAAATAGGAAAAAACCACAATATTTATACTGTCTTGAAAGTTTTTATGAGCTGAACTAAGCTGTGGTTTACCGCAAGGCACTCAAAAACGCAAAAAGTATAGTCGTGATTTGTACTTTAAGTGAAGGAGCAAAAAACGCCTACTACAGCGTAAAAAGGTTGCGTAATTTTTGTTCTTTAAGCGGTAGAAGCACAAGCTACGGAAAACATCCATGTGCTTGCTCCAGATGTGTATCGAAATGCGTACAACACCATATGCATGTCATCATACATGTAGTTTAACCGCAAACGTCACCAGAAAATTTATATTCTTAGCATTCAATGCTCTTTATAAAAGCCAACTAAAACTACGATGACTTCTACTAGTGGACATAGGTACACTGTACGTACGAATGGTGCACCAAAGGCTTTGAAGAGTTTGCACTTTGCAGATTTATAAATTTGTACCCTGAAGATGTGCGAAAGGATATCTTCAGCATATCCTATCTGCTGTCAGATTGTACAGTACATCCATTTTGTACACTACGATCACAACTGTGAGTTGACTCTTCTTAATCTAGCATAAAACTTTTTTGAACTGACCCAGTTGCACGGTTATGACACATGCGCTCACAACTTGATACCAACACAAAAGCGGAAGTTATGTAATTCCATCGATTTTTGTGTTGTACTCGTATTTTCAGGAATAGAACATCTCACTCGAATCTCACAAAGACTACTCGTAGAGTAGCAATCATGTCCAACACAGACTACAAAAAATATACTACAGCAATCCTTACAGTGCTTCTTGAGTTATCTCGTCGCCGCATTACGCGGCACGATGGAGTATTCTACGAGTGTCCACGAAAATCAGCAGCTGATAACGATTAACTTGCTCGTTATTTTTACTGACCGCAAACATCGATTCGAATTGTTCGAAATTTATGTGAGCACTAATAATAAGATGAACCTGCCTATATTTATATTTGAATCAGTGTTTTTAAATGAGTTACAGCAAAAAAAGTATCAGTCAAGAGTCAATTCTTACACAGTACGTACTTCTGTAATTTATCGTTCAATATTTATTGTACTTCAGTACGAAATGCATAACGACGGTAAAACTCGTTAATTACGAAATGCAACAGCGGCGGATATTACACACACAAAACTTCGCGACTCTAGGCGGTTTTCGAGGGAAACGAGAGCTATTCTTTAGCAACTAACAGCCCATTCTAAAAAAATCCTACATCCCAGTCAGAAACATTACCAGCCCTTTTCAGAAGAGCGTCGGCTTAGCAGTTCTCTGTCGCTCGCAACAGTACAGTCTAGCATTCCAGCCTCCTAGCAAATGCCCTCACTCCCGGCGAAACCTGGTTGCCACTGTCATCCACGCACCACGCGAATCCTGTGCTGCCCCACATCTGCTTTTGCTGGAAGTTCCCGTCCTCATCGCACTGGGGTATATATTGTCCGATTCCTGTGGAATAATATTTTGAATCACTACAGATAACTTACCACAAAGGGAAAACTGGTGTTCACAAAAACATACATCTGTGCGATACAATATGCAATGTCTGAAACAGCTTTTAATTTCCTTTCTTCCACGTTAAACCTTTTATGTATCAAGTTAAATTTATTCAATTTATATATTAATTAATTAGGCAAATTTTTCTGTTAGGATTACTGTGAGTGTTCCGGGCTTGTTCGCGAGCCTCTTCGCAGCTGCAGTCTCCGATATTCCGAACCGCGACAACCTCCGCAAATTCATCCGTTACGGCGGAATAGCACTGGGTCGGCGGCTCTTGCGATGAATTTTCCTCATCCGCTTCGGTGGTAGTAGTTGCTTTGGTTGTCTTCGTGCTTTTCGTACTACGCTGGGTACTGGCGTGTCCAGATGTTACCGCCTCATCGGCATTGTCCTCCTTCGCCTCTGCGCTGGCCTCGGCGTCATCTCCTTGATGGGCGAAGGTAGAATCCATTACTGGACCCTCCTCGTCGTCCTGTAGACTTACGTCGATAGCGCATAAAAGCACCAGAAAGCACAAACCAACGCAATAGCGGATTTCCATAATTACAGCCGATAATTATTACAAAAACTACAAAAATTCCTTATTGTACTCCCGCCGTCTGAAAATGATCCCATCAAAGACCTGCAAAATCCGTACAGGATGGGTGGGTATTGCTGGTACTAGAATATCAATGCCGCAAGGGAAAAACTCGCTGCAAAAGGCGGCAAAATTCGCTTCAGGGCATGCCATTTGTCGTTGTTATTGTGCTTTTTCAGAGCATTGGAAAAAGCTGCAACCTAAACTTGCAGCCGGGTAATTAACTTCTCAGCAACAACTTCCAAGGCATTTATCTAAATGACCAAATTGAAATACAGCAAAGTATCACACTTAATGAAAACACTGCTGACCTGTAAAGTGCATAAAAATAAACAAGAGCATGATGCAGCTTATCGGACAATTTTTAAAGCGAAAGGCACAAAAAAATACAATGGTTTCCACAAAGGGCAGGCTGAACCCGTTAACTCATCACAGAAAAAATAAAAAGTACAAACATGAAAACTCCGTAGAACAGTTTGGTACATTTTTACAATGAACGTGGCTGCCGGTACAAACACTTTGTAGAATTACATTTGCAGTACTCTCCAGCTTGCATCTTTGCGTCCCAAAACGTTTTGCCATAGTCAATTCTAGAAATAGGTAAATACATTATAGTACTTTATTAAAAATTAATGACTCTCAGTTTCACTCACGTTAATTCTTGGAACGCCCGGATCTTGCGAACGGTGTACATACCAACGTGCATCCCACAGTCCGGGTTACTGTCGTCATAAAATACGTTCACCGCCACAACGTTTGGAACGCATCCATGATTAATAAACCTAAACCCAATACTACCAGATAAAGCTAAATAATTTATGTCTTTCCCAGCGAAACATTTTTTCGATACAATAAATAACTATCTAATTAAAAGTGATGTCAAACGCTACTTAATGCACGTGTACAAGAGTAAAGCAAACCTCCTACCAAGACGTACCGCGTAAAGTTTCCAAGAACACTAGCATCCAAAAAGTATCCTGTTGGTCCATTGTCCTAAGATGAAAGTAATTAAACTCTTTGGCTGCCTGTGTTAGATAAACAAATCAACAAAACTTACCGCCGACAGACAAAAGGTGTACCATGTGGAATTTGACCAATAATCCGAATCAGCTTCCTCTTTCAATTCCCCTGCATATCTACAAATTAAAGAGTGCCTGCAGTTACTCGAAATGGCGGCATCTGATCTAAACGTTACGATGCACTGAGAACGCGTAAGAACAACAGTAAAAACGGAATAATAAAACAGTTACCTATCTCAGTAAAGCCTTACTGACAATTTACTGCTGACGGAGTACAATAAAGTTCTGAACATACTCTGCCACAAATGCTCCTGCCGGAAGATCACATAATGGCCGCACACCCCAGCCCTTTTCTGCTGTCATAAAAATTTCAAACGGATACCTAAACATACAGTGGCAAGCATGAAACAATAATAATCACTACTCTGTACGGCTGAAACAAATCAAGCAAGAGATATTTTTACATGTCCTGAAGAAAACACTATAAGCGTCAACAGATTTCTGCACAAGGACAAATTCCGAATAGGTACATCGCAAACTACCAGTCATACTGTCATACCGCGCACCTTACACCAAGTTGTGCGGACCGATTGGGACAGTGAAGCCCACATGAGCAGTCGCGACTACATTCCCAAATTGATCGAGGCACGTTTGCTATTACAGATGACTGCCAAGTGCTCGCTTTCCTCAGCAGTCGTGACTGAAACAAAAAAAAAACAATATAAAACTTCAGATTTGAAATTTCGTAATATATCAGCTTCCGTAAAGTACAATGAACTAACAAATTCATCGTAGGCGATTTCCGTGATTGATTTATCGAAGGGTTCGCCCATGCAGTGACACCTAGCATCACAAAACGTGACACACTGGCAGACCTATTTAAACCATGCATAAAATTCAATCTTCCAGCATGATCAGTCCACAACAGCGAACACTTTCTTACGCAAGGCGTCCGTTCATATCCAGGCACTCTAATAATGATATTTTTGCTGTAGCGAAACGATGGAGCGGGTAAACCGTTAATATCATTGTAAACCCTGATGGGAAACAACTCAGTGCCGTCGCTGATATCTCTTTCCAAAAGAAACTGACGATCACATCTTTTCCTAAAACGAAAAAAAAGCTTTTTTCTTTAATCTGTTGTTTCAAAAGCATCCTTGACCTTTACTAGTACGTACCGTCGAGTCGAACATTTAGACGAGACTGGACGATTCACCTGTACAAGATTCCTCGCCTGAGGTTCCGTTTCACTGTCGCTGTCCACAGTATCTGGCTCAGCAGTCAGAATGCCATCCGTAACGATTCTTTTCATGCCGATCATCTTATTTGTTTTCAAAATGCTCACAAAGCCGTTAGTCTCTGACGTAACCTCTGGTACAAGTAAATTTCTAGTCGATTGGCTTTTTGGAGTTGACAATCCTCTCAGCGCCTTTGATCGAGAAATGGACGGCTTAACAATGGACACAGCGATTTTTTTCGATGAAGTGGACGGCGCAGCAAAACTGTTAGATGGTGTATGGACCGGTGGCATCTTTGAACTTTTAGTGCTACCAGGAGGTCGACCTCTTCCTCTCTTGCCAAAAGAATTGACACTATGCACAATCAACTGGCTGAGCTCGGGACCAAGCGAACCACCGGATCTGTTTGTGTTTTGTTCTGTACAATCGCCTATTTTCGTAGAGGTCACCTTTCCGCTATTTGATTGCAAATCCCTGCCGGGTTTACTTTTGAAAAGCTTGATTCGCGCGTTTTCCGTGATCTTCACTTGCCAGTTGTGCTCAGATGAATTTTCTGTCTCACGACTAGGACGTGTGGATCGGGACATGCTGCTGGATGGAATATGCAAGTCCTGAGCCATGCTGACGTCATTGACGTGACTGTTGGACGAAGCACCGCTTAGAGAGGAATCAGAGGACATCCCATCTGGTCGGACAATATACAGAACCTCATCGGATGCATTTATACAGGTCGAGCTGGCATACAGACCAGAACGATTACTAGTGTCCGTTCGGGAGACAAGGTTCTGCTGGGTCGTCGGCTGCTGACTACTCCACCAACTATCGGCAATACTTCCTTTCTTGCAGTACCTGGGTAGCTCACAGCCGTGCTCCGTCGACGATACCGTGCAAAATCTGGAAACAGACGCTAAAACTGCAGCATCCTGCCTGGATACGTACACTATAATGACCATATCCCTTTTGCATAAATCGTTTGGCAGTACAACCTGCCAATTCAGACAAACTTGGTAACTTACGACCGAACATCGTCCTCGTCGTCAGTATACAACACTTCTCCCTCCTTGTCCTTGGGAGCGAGCTCCATGATTTTACGCACGTTACTAGCTAAAAAGAAACCAAAAATGGCAGTTTAATTATTGGTCACAAATGGCTACTAAAGCAATCATTCATCAAATCTATCTCCAGCAAAAAAAAAGATGAATTAAAACAACTGATATTCTTATCTACCGTAATTGCGCTCTTCATGATCAAACTTTCATGGCTCTAACCGTCTTTTTTCAATTTCAGGTTCTCGAAAAAAACGGTCTGGCATAATTTGCAGTTTAATTATTGGTTATCAATCACTGCTTCTAATAAAAAATGTACTTTCAAAAACCTAGAAGACCAAGACAAGAATAACCAAGCAGCAACCTAATAAACCGAATAATACAACAACAGCAATAGTAGACGGCCAACAAGTTTAACTTACTTGTCAGTTAGGACTTCCTGTGTCAATTCGATATTGCAAATAAATTTATGAAACCATGAAAATTACAGAAGCACCGAAGCAAACTAACAACATTTTTGAACATGTTTAGGCATGTGCGATTGTGCGTTATATGCAAGCTAAAGTACGGGTATGCTACCTTTCTTTTTTCGGAACTTACATTCGAACCAGGCTCGCTGGATATTCGTTTGCAGTTAATGGTGCCAAACTGCCACTGTATCGTCATACAAACGGTTCTTGTTTCCTTCGTGAGTGCTTTCGTCCTTCCGCGGAAGCCGTTCTATTCAGTAATCGCACAAGACCATTTGCATTTCCGGTGCTGCGATTGGAAATACAAAAAATTATCCTATCAACCTGTAGTGTGCAAATCAGGGAAATCAAACTTACCGCCCTTCGCTTAACATGCGTAGAATCTTGCAAAGAGAGCAGATTCCTAAGGCACCTCACTGATTTGTCAGTTTACCGCAATGCAAGATGTCCAACGTCCATAGCATCGTCTTAGTCTGTAAAAAACGGCAGCCAGAATAAGCAAATAATGAAGGAGAATAGTATGAAAAATCCTTATAATAACAAAAACAAAGTTCGACATGTGAAATCCTACAAAAACTTGAAACGAACCCGAAACTCCGAGTTGGGCTGCCCAAATTCCAATGGCAACAGGCGGCAAACTATGGCCGATAGTTCGAACGGTCCAAATATCGGCTTCGTACTGTATTACGCTTGCTGGGTACAAACTACGAGTACATGTACAAACTACAAAGTTATTCGCATTTCGCACACACATCCGTCAACTATTAACGGTACAGCCCAGTGGCGAATCTAGGCGAATTCGGAGGGGGGAGGGCAGTAGACTCACACCAAAGGGTCGGTTATAAACCGCTTTTTCGCTTCGGTATCTATTCGGTGTTCTCGCTTTTCGGCGACCTCCACCGTAAAAAATTTCGAAATGTAACAGCAGTAACAACCCCCTTCTTGCGAATTTGTAACATCATTTGTTTGATGTCCGAGTTTCGGGGAGTCGGGGACATTAGCCCCAGGATCCCTCCTCAAATTCGCCACTCGTACAGGCAACCTGGTAAGTTTAGCAACACATAATAATAATTGTAATTTGTAATATTTTAGAAAACCTTTAAATTCGTCTACATTATTTTATTTTTATGCGGCTTTGGCTACTAGAGACAAGAGCACAACAGTCATAATGAACATTGAATACGTAATCGCTAATATAAATAATAATAACGGAGGCTTTGGGCAATGAATTTGACGTATAATAACATTGTGCAATCCGACTTATAACCGGTCTAGAACCGATGCTCCGGTTTGGAAGCTTCGAAGTTCGAACCAGCGGACATTGTGTTGTTTGAAATTTTGCATTGCATCGTGGCGGTTAGTCAGTTTTGATACTTATACATCGTCCCCCTGCTCCAGATTATCTTTTGGTGCCGGACGCCGGCTCAGTGTCGACAGTACATATAGGAACGTCTTGTGGTAACACCAAATGGTTTAAGTCAATTGTATCGATGTTTTCCTGTTTTAAAAACGCACTGTTTCTGCATCTTCCCCTCACCAGTCAGGATTTAAAATCTAATGGAATTACTTACACGCGCCTCCTCATTGTCAGTAACTGTTAAAGCCAACTCTTCTTCCAAATCTGATTACTACTTCAAATTTTTTTGAAACTGAATTCCTAATACTGTTGAGGAACCGCTGTGTATCACCATCAGCAACCCCAGATGTTCAAATAAAGAATTTATAAGCATTAAGCACGTACCGTAACCTAGTACAGTTGCAACACCAAACATTTAAGTTGTCACGACAAAAATGGATTAACGAGATACTGAGATTACACATAAAAAGACTGTCAATCTCAAATTTAAACCGTAGCTAAACGACCGGCCTCACAAAACTTTAGGATGATAATAGGATCGACCAACATTAAAGAAAACAAAAAGAACACCAGTGAAGGTAGACGAGAAAAAAATTTTTAGGCTGCTTCCTGATCGGTAGACTGCGGCTCTCCCTCTTCAAACTCCCCTTCGTCTTCCGCTGTGGCTTCCTGATACTGCTGGTATTCGGATATCAAATCGTTCATGTTGGATTCGGCTTCCGTAAATTCCATTTCATCCATTCCTTCCCCAGTGTACCAATGCAAAAACGCCTTTCGTCGAAACATGGCTACAGAAAAAAACATCAGTAAGTCATTGTATTAATTATTTAAAAAACAAACCAAAAACAATGCAAAATATTTTCTTGTCAACAGGGTAAATCCTGCAAGGAACTAAACCATGAAGTGCGCGCAGAAATTCGAAATTACCGTACTACAGCCAGATAAACACTGCTATAGAAAGTCCTTATTTAGTTGTTTAAATGTCTACTGCAAGTCAAAACTGCATATGCTGCTTTCATACCACATAGAGGAATCTAAATACCCATTACGCAGTTTAGGAACTGTTTTATGGTTGGTAACAGACCTGGGCAGTTGTGGAATATTTATATGCGCCCACCGTTAGAGTCACAAGTTATAGGAATCATGCGAGTTAAGCTACGAGTTACGCTATTCATGCAAGTACATAAAACCGAGTTCTGAGTTACACCGCGAGTTACGCTACCATTGACAATGTATACAAATTTTAGTCGAGTTACGCTACAGAGTTACGTTAAAACTCGATAACTCGCAAATAACTCGCGTTAAGTTATAGAGTTAAAGTTATAACTGCCCAGGTCTGGTTGGTAATGAAATAACTGGAGCGCGTTAATGACTTAAGCTTAAGTTTTACCTGTAAACTGTTCCGAAATCCGTTTGAACAACTCTTGAATGGCCGTGCTGTTCCCGATGAATGTAGCTGCCATTTTTAATCCACGAGGAGGAATATCGCAAACTGCAGTCTTAATGTTATTTGGAATCCATTCCACGAAATAACTGGAAATAGGTAGGCATTACTATGCATGAACAATTAGAAGACTGATCAAGTAAACTCGTACAACCGACAAGCAGACTCAACCCGGATTCGGGAGCATCTACTCCTATAATTAGTGCTAAAGAGCATTCCAGGAAGGCAAGACAAACCTCGAATTCTTATTCTGAATCTGCAGCATCTGATCATCAACATCTTTCATGCTCATGCGCCCCCGGAAAATAGCCGCAACTGTCAAATATCGTCCATGACGAGGATCACACGCTGCCATCTGAAAACGAAACGAAAATGTGATCTTGATACTAGACTCGGCAAACAGCATGTAATAAACAATACAAGTAATAAACAGTGCAGGTAGAATCACAAATACAACATTAAAATGCTCAGAAAACTAATTATCGACATACCATATTCTTGGAATCAAACATCTGCGTGGTCAGTTCAGCAACAGTCAATGCGCGATAACCTTGTGCAGCGCCTGCAACAGCCGTATTTTCAGTCAAACAATAAAATGATCTCGGCAGCGAATAAACAGCAGATTTAATGCTGGAAAAATACTTCAGCAAATAATTGTCGGTGAACTGATTACTTACGGGCAGTTAAGGGAGCAAAGCCAGGCATGAAGAAATGCAGACGAGGAAAAGGGACCATATTGACCGCCAATTTACGCAGGTCGGCGTTGAGTTGACCGGGAAAGCGGAAGCACGTAGTGACCCCAGACATAGTAGCCGAAACCAAATGGTTGAGATCTCCATAGGTAGGAGTGGTCAGCTTCAGGGTTCGGAAACAAATGTCATACAGCGCTTCATTATCGATGCAGAATGTCTCATCCGTATTTTCGACCAGCTGATGCACCGATAAAGTGGCATTATACGGTTCCACCACCGTATCCGACACCTGCAGTAATGACATTGACAGTGCTTATCTAGGCCGTTAATACGGCAATTTAACGCCGCAAGTTCAAGGTCATATGAATCATAACGCTAGATACCCTGGTAAATCAGGTAGTATTTCTTCGTTTTTACCCCGGAACTATTATTGTCAACAATATGTAGTAGTAAACCAAAACCGTCAACCTCTAACAAGCGCCACCGTCAAGTCGCATTATAAACCAACCTTAGGAGATGGAACCACACTGAACGTAGTCATGATGCGATCGGGATATTCCTCTCGGATTTTGGAAATGAGCAATGTTCCCATACCAGACCCAGTGCCGCCGCCGAGCGAATGCGTCAGCTGGAATCCTTGCAAACAGTCGCAACCTTCCGCTTCCTTGCGCACCACATCCAGTACCGAATCCACCAGTTCAGCGCCCTCCGTGTAATGCCCTTTAGCCCAATTGTTCCCAGCGCCACTTTGTCCTGCAAAATATTTGCATGCAAATTAGGACTTTTCGCGGAAATTTTCAGTATTTCCTGCAACAGCCACCACGCTATACTCACCGAAAATGAAATTGTCCGGGCGGAAAAGCTGCCCAAATGGAGACGACCGGACGGAATCCATTGTCCCAGGCTCCAGGTCAACCAAAATAGCGCGAGGGACATATTTACTTCCGCCTACAAAAAAGGTCACAAAATAACTAGTAATCTGCAGTAGTAGAAAAAAGACAAAATGCAGATGCTGAGCTCTGTAGTTTGTACCCCCAGCTTCGTTGTAATACACATTGATCCGTTCCAACTGCAGCTTTGAGTCACCGCGGTACGTCCCGGTTGGATCAATGCCATGCTCATCGGAAATAACCTCCCAAAACTATGAATACCCAACAGATACCATTCAAACGCAAGCAGGAAAAGGAGTACAGCTGCCCTAACTTGACATCGCGCGATACAAAATCAAGGAATTATTGATCTGTTCAAAACGTTATCGTTACGCTGGCTATGCCATTAACCGTAAGCTGTACAGATGCTGCGATCCATATTACGTTACATACAGTATCTAGCGCCGACACGCATGCCATTATGACGTCAGTCATTCGTTCTACGTTCCATCAAAAACAGTATCGTTATTATTTTATTTACCATTCACTTAAAGCAGTTAAAGGTGAGTCTTAAGACATTTTTCTACAAAAGGTAAGATTCTGTGCAGCACGGACGTGTATGCTCTGGCCTCTGATGCATGGACCTTTTTTCCAACGTACCTTGGCTCCAATCTGGTTGCCACATTGTCCAACCTGCAGATGAACAATCTCACGCATGGTCGCGGCGATTGAGGAACGCACACAAAGGTCACGTAAAAAATGAAGTATAAAAGTTAGTAAATAACTTTCACACAGACAAGGCACGAATTTGTGATGATCAGCCACAATCTACTGAAACTTTTCAACTGCAAACAGCAAACAGCGAATGAACAACCGACTGCCGATCTGCCAAAGCGGCCTTTCACAGTAAAGGACAACGGCACAAGCTTTATGGCGAGCCGTACTGTATCTACTGCATTCTGGCGTCCCGTATGGCGCATTTCTCGAACAGCACGTACGAGTTTACACTCTACCGTCTACAACACGTATTTCGCGAACTCACGCCGAACTGCCGATTGTTGTTGTCGTTGTTGACTTGTTGTTGCATTAATATAGTATGAATAAACTGAACAGCACAGTACGTGTACTTACGGTTGGTTTAAAACTTGTTAATAAAACTGCGAAATGGAAAGTAATTTCACAATTTTCATTTGAAAATTAGTTTTAAATTTTCAAATTTTCCGGAACTTGTGTTTTCATGCTATAGAATTATGATAAATAAATGATTATCATTCTGGGAATTTATACTTTGAACAATTACAGTTGTTCAAAGATGTGGCACCAGCCGCTGCTTGCCCAACCTGCCTAATGTTTGTCAGTTTGTTTTGCAAGATCTTAGTCATTTAATACCGAGTGAATTTTGAAATACCGTATCAGCATGGCTGATATCGAAATGGAGACATCTAAGAACGAACCTTTGCAAGAACAGTTTTTGTTTTCCGATGATGAGGAACAACGTATGACGGTGAGTGAACGGTTAATTAACGGAGGCATTCATAGATAGATTTCTGATCCGATGAGGTTTTTTAATTCTTGACGTCTTGAATGTTCACTTGTTCTCAACAGGATGCAGCTGCACCGATGGCTCTCCGAAAATCTCCTTCCAAAACTGCTCGAAAAGTCTGTTGTTGCATATCTGCCTATTTCACGACCCTAACTTTCTAAACTAAGCATTTCTATCTAGCTTGCAATGACAAGGACGCATTTGCGGTCAGCCAAAAAGCGTCGATTGGTCTCCCTAGATACCGCGCGAGCCTCTCTTGCAGAGATGCCTATATTATCCGACACAGTGAAAGTCAGTGTATGTGCTAATAATGAGTATTATGTTATTTTGTATTATATTTTCAGATCTTTTGTAGTATGCTAGCCAAATGAATTAATAATCCCTGGAAGTATTTTTTTCTGTGTTGTATTCCCGCTATGCCGAGCACGACTCAGCAGGAGTGCGTGCGAACCTCGACTAATACTCTGGCTTCAGCGTTGTCGTATATGTTCCAGTTTCTCAATTCGTCCAAAGATGCAGAAACCCTATCCACGACTGTAAACGATATGGGTGTTCCTGAATTATCTGGCAACATTGTCAATTACGACGGTGATGAAGGGCCCGCATCAGGGCGCTATCTCACTTTGCCGTCCAGGATTGCGGCTGTATGCATCAGGAAGAAAGGCGCAATGTCGTGCTTGCTGTCGCGCACGGAAAACGGATGGTGGCTGCCGTTTCTTACGCCCAGACCTGATGAAAGTAATTTGGATGCCGTTAAAAGACTGCTGAAAATGGTAAGCAGTTCGATGCTTACTAACAAATAAACTCGCGTTTTTTGTTAAAAAGTATTTTAGTTCCGTCGTGCTTTCGTTATCTGATTATTTATTAGTGTTTCTATTTTTCTTGGTTTTGCTATGTTTTGTTGAGCCTTTTAGAAAGTCTTCTTGTAGCATACGGTTTTTTGTTTCAGATAAATACCGAAGAGGCAAGAGAGCTGGAGTTGAGTCGTATTCGCGTCATACATCTTCCCAATGGACAATCTAGCACGACCTACCTCTATACCTGTTCAGTAGAAGGCCGACAAGTAATGATCTAATCATATGGTCAATTTTCCGTGTCTAATTTTTTTATTGTTCAGCAACCCAAACTGGAGCGCTGGTTTGATCTGAAGCAGCTGGCCGCTATTGCCCAAAACTTCACCCTGCTCAATCGTGAACCATTAGAACTGACCAAAGATGCATCATCTATCAGTTAGTTAATTTTTGTGAATATAACTGCAAGAGTTGATGGAACACGCAATTTCTAGAAAGCAAGCCGGAAACAAGTTTCTGTGAGATTTTTATGCCGAAACTAATTCCCCCGTCCGAGGCAGATTCTGCTACATATAACAGCAGTGGATTAAGTTTATCCCACATCGGTTCCTTGGTGCAGGCGTCCCGGTTTGATGAAGATGGTGCGCAAGAATTTAGAAACATGAAGATTTTGCGACACGATTTTGTTTATTTATTTTAGATCAGGCATCTGTTTACAAAGAGTTTTTTACCGCATGTTTCCCGAGTGATCTTATGAACTTAAACACATTCAAGCGAGCAATGGAGACCGGTTTTCAGTTGGGAATTTACACTAATTATGAAGACTTGTATCGGTAAGCCAATTTTTGCATTAATCAGTTTAAGCAGCAGTAGTGAGTGAAATATGAGTAGTGAATTGTGTGGTTTAGCGCTTTTGGAGAGTTCACCAAAGATGCGGACAGTTATTTAACTTACGAAGCCTTCCTTGCCGGTATTTGCGCAATGAATCCGACGACACCACATGGTGGCGTCCCAGCCGAGTTGCGATGCCGTTTCATGTTCCGCTATTACGACAAGAACAGCGACAGGATTCTTAGTGCGGAAGAATTCAAAAGTCTTTTGCGCGATTTGAGACAGTCCCGGGGATTGGTACCAGATGAAAATGCTACGGAGGCAGAATGTCGAAGTGCCATGAGTGTTTTTGACCTGCAAGGAGACGGAAGTGATATTCCGCTGGATAACTTTCTTAATGCTGTGGGTCACCTGCGATTTCGGGGAACATCGTCATTGTTGCGTTTTCAAGCTCCAGTCAGATCGCGTAGAAGTGACATGGATGTTGTTAATGTTGAGAGTGTGAGTCGCAAACGAACGCTAACCGGAAGGGCTTTCCCGATCACCGCAGCTGTTTCAGGTTTGTTGCGCAATGTGATTTTCGCGCACTAGAATAGCTAACAATTGTTAACAGTTTTGAATGGATCTTGATATTTATGACTTTGCCAACGGATTTTTAGGGGTTGTTTTGGTTTGAAGAATTTACATATTGCACTGGAAATCAGTAGTTTAAGTTTGAACTTTTGAATAGTGCCTGCTGGGAATCTACCCTTTATACGCCATATTATTTATCTAAAGCATTTAGAAAGGTCGTGACGCCAAGTTACAAGCTTTGCTTTGATTTGTGATGCCATTATATATACTGGTTTAAGAAATGAGTCACACTGACGCTGGCTTGTTTAGTGCAGTATTTTGTAATACTTGCATTTTGCAGTATCTTCTGCCGATCTCAGTGCCAACTCGAAAATAAAATTACGTGATTCCAGTGATGACCACGAACCATATGAGTTAGCCATGCACTCCGTGAAAGTTCGTCGTTCTGGTGTTTTGGGTGATATTCAGACTTTATGGGACATGGAAGGGGCCAATACGCTTTCGGTTTGTATAATGCAGTGCAACCTGCATATGTACGAATGATAAACAGTATGCGTGTCTTGAGCATTCCTGCTATTTAACATTGCAGGCGGGCATTACCAACAGTGATCAACAGTTTAAACTGAATCTTTGTCGTATGAACTCGCTTGTTTCATTCAACATGCGGAACAGCAGCAACGAAATGATCAACGGCTTACGGTGAGAGAGATGTTATTTATCAGTTTTTCTGTGTTCTGACATTGACAGCCCTTAAACAGGTACTTCGAAAGAGAAATTACGACTGAAGACGTGGTGCACAACAAAATAGCAAAATCCATTAAGCCCGCTTTTGACTGGGGTGCAACGTCTTTGGAAAAATTCGCTGAATGCCTGTTCGAGATTTGCAAATCACTGAAACCCATTCTCCAGAAAGAACCTCGTTTATTACGTTTAAGGGCTCCTGTTTACGTATTAGGTAAATTTGTTTTTGATTTTGTTTGCAATGGCTAACTTCGGTGATTCGTCAGGGGATATTCATGGCAACTACAGCGATCTGATGAGCTTCGAAAAAGTGTTGTGGCGTATGGGGCCGGTTTTGACCCCGGCGTCCTTTTTATTTCTCGGTGATTATGTGGATCGCGGGGCTTTTGGTATTGAAGTAAGTTTTCAGAATTGAATACGCCTTCATTCATTATGCAGAGAAAAGTTTTGTACTCAGCAGCTCTGTATTCATGCTCCTGCAGGTGGTAGCGTACTTATTTGCCCAGAAGTTTCTCGCTCCAGATCGGATATGGCTGCTTCGTGGTAACCATGAGCTACGGAATGTGCAAAAAAATTTTACATTCTACGAGTAGGTATTGGAAATGCACGCTATTAGGCATTATTTATTTAGTTTCAGTTGTTGTATTGCTTCGGTTAATATACAAATGCTGCCAGTTACTTATTCATCACTTGAATACGTGTTAAAAAGCAATTAGAAAAACAAAAGCTGACATAAATACATAAATTTGCTGACAGATTACGGTTCAATTAGCTGACAGATTACGGTTCAAGTACATGTAATAACGGACCGCTCAGTGTGTGTCATTTCGGATGTTAGAATTTCATTAATAAACTTATATTTTGTGATAGTGAATGCAAGAAAAAGTTTGGCGATGCTGTTGGAGAAAAGGTGTGGAATGCTGTCAATGATATTTTTGACTACTTGCCACTTGCGGCTGTGATTGACGATGAGGTTTGTTTACTGGCGGTGAATGAATTACTTGGATGTTATGTTTAAACAGTTCTGTTGAAAATCAGTAGCTTGATGGTGCTATAGATCTTCTGTGTACACGGTGGAGTACCGCACCGTAGATTTCTCAGTGGAACAATCGAAAGCATAAATGAGATTCCAAAACCCCTTAGAATCGAAACGGAAAGTCAGCTAGCATGGGAGCTGATGTGGAATGATCCTATTGGGTAATTCAATAAGCAATCTTAGAAAAATTATGGATGTTGCTGTGTGCACTATGCGAATACTTACGGTTGGTTAATTATTGTTTACTTACCTGGGTTCGCTTTTTTGTGTGTACACGTCTTTACTAAAGTAGGCAGTAGCCATTAAAATACCATACAAAGCAAACGCGGACGCATTACAGTTACAATTTTAAACTTTTTCTTGTTTACTGGCATAAAAGTATATAATTTTCAGAACGGAACGAATCACTCCAGAGATGGATCGCTTGCTGCATTCAGATTTTGGGTTTGCCGACAATAATCGACGAGGTACCGGACACTTTTTCTCCTTTCAAGCATTGGATGCCTTTCTTAAGACTAATGGATTGTCACATGTTATTCGTGCTCACGAAATGAAGCAAGCTGGCTTTCAGGTAAGTTATTCTTTGTTTGGAACCTTTTTTTATATTTTGTATAGGTTTCTTCTGTGCTTTTGTTATATTATTCGTTTGTGTACAGATTCAGCAAGATGGCCGCCTGCTCACCGTATTTTCGTCCTCTGGCTATTGTAACAACTCCAACGAGGCTGCGTGCATCTTAGTCGACCGACGCCGGTTGAGAACTATTCGTTTGGATACCTCATGATTGTCTGGCGGTCCATTTCGTATGCTGGCAGGGTTTGTTTTGGATTTAAGTACTTACTTGAAAATTTGGTTTGCTGTAAACAGCTTTGTACAGGCTGTCGGTTATTGCTTGCATTACTTTTTTACTCGTACGATATGCCTGTTGCTGGTGAAATTATAAGTACGCTGGAAAGTTTGCTTTCAGTTGTGTTCCACTGCACATCTTGTATAGTCTTTCGAGAAAATATTGTTAGGGATAAAAACACTTTCGAGTACCTGTACTGCATCTGTTTTCTGTAGGATTATTGTTGCAGCTTGTGCATCTGACGAGACTCACGAGAGTACGTTACGTGATGCTTTCTTGAAAGAATAAACTCACTAAACTGTCTCTTAATTCGTTTGAACTCACTGTTAAGCATTAATTCGTGTTACTATTTTATGAGTAGTGGCTGTTGCACCACAGTCTACAGATACGGTGCTTTTTGATTTTCAAAATAGAAAATAAAATGAATTTTGTTACGGTAACCATGGGCAGTAGACACTCAATATGTCTCAGAACAAAAAAATTCTGTCATAAAAACATTTGATGCTAGTATTTGACCACAAGTGCCGGCATTTAACGTCCTCACTTGCATTCCGCATTCAAAAATTTTTTTATTTTGAACCCTCTTTGTCAGCTTGTATACGTGGATCATCATTATAAAAACGGCAATATTATTTAGCTTCGTAGATGATTATTTAAACAGTTTACTGTACAAGTACATATGTATATCTGTACATATGTAAATGTGCCTAAAATCTCGGACTTGTAGTCGATCGGTCTTGCACGATATACGTACGAGTCTGAATTTCTGGTGTGACTAGTGGTCAAAAGATCGCAACATTCGCAAGCAGCATACTGTATCTGTACAGTACTTGTTAATGGGATGCCACCACCAAGACCGTTGACCTAAATTAATATATTTTAACTCTTTTCTACATGAAGTTATGAGCAGGTTAAGGCTTGGTGCCCCAGGACACTTCAAATTGTCAGCAGCAGTACACCTTGAATATTTCTGCTTCATGCGCTTTGAATTACAACTGGAAACCGCACAGTGTTGTAGGTAACATTTTTGGGTACTGTGTCTGTATTACCATATACGAGTATGTTAAGTGCATGCTCTAACGTTGCTAATTCACCTACCCTACGAGTAGAGTACAGATGTGCTTGTACAGTATAATTAGTATGCTTTAATTGCAGATCCATTTTTAAATATGATTGGGTTAAGATGAGCCGGAACGTTATTGCTGCCGATTGTTGAAACAATTATTTAGGATCGTGCAGCATTTTTTCTAACGATTATCGCTGGCTGATCAATCTAATTTTATGCGGAAAATAATATTATGGGAGATAATGAAATGAAGGCACCTCCTTCACGGTTGCGCCGGTTCTTGTACGCGAATTACTATTGTCTTCGAATGCAGGGAAAACGACTGTGGTGTTATGGATTTATTTTAATTATATTATCGCTCTTGTCGCTGGCTTTATTGCGTTCGGGATGGCTCCAGTTATTTGATCAAAATCCACATCCGCAATCAAATATGGCACCAGGATTAAAAGTAGATTCTGGTGTCATGCGTAAATTTGTCGCCAGTGATCTGCAAAACCGTAATCCACGGTTGTTTTACAACCGTGTTCCAAAGTGCGGCAGTTCGACGTTGAATTCGCTCTTGAAAAATCTAACTGCAAGTAACCCGTTCATTTATACATCCTCACCGCTTCTGGATGACTGGTTTCTAGCAACACAAGATATGCAGGTCAAATAAATTTACATATATGTACTGACACAAATAGTACTTAACTTATGGAGTTGTTAATTAGTAATTAACCAGAGAGCCGGTCCTCAATACTGCTGTTTCCGGTGTAACGTCAATCTTGTGAAATTTTGATAGCCTGATTATATCGGTACTGCTTAATCCAATGATAGAAAATCCTACTAACGTTAAATTACTGCTGCTTTAACAGTACTACTGCTCTAGACTTCAGATTATGGCATAAGCATAAACATCTATAGAAATGTCTCTTTTGAGAAATCATCAATAACAGAACAGTTTTCTGTTAGTTTCTTATGTCAGGTCTTTGTAATGTTTGATGAAGCGAAACATAGGTATGCGAACTTACAGTTTCTTGTGATTTTTAGCTTCGTTAGCATATGGCGCAATATAGATTGTTTTCGTTCTTTTAGAAATCATTCGTCCAGCAATTTATGAAACTCCCTGTAAAAAGTGTTTTTGATCGCCACTTATTTTTTCTGGATTTTACCAGGTAAGAAAGCCAGTTGTATAAAACTATGCATACTTCTACAGATTACAATTAAGTGCTTGTACGTTTGCCAAACAACACTTTAGCGCTTCAGATCACACCTCACTATGATATCATTAATTAGTACTGTACTTACTGATTTTATATACTTGGTACGTACTGTATATATTTTTTTTACTTAGGTTTGATTCTAAGTCTTTTGCAATACAATCGCAAGGATCTTGAAGTATATAGTAGATATTGGTTCAGTATGGTTGTAGGTTTGGACAACCAAATCCGATTTATATAAACATGATTCGTGATCCCACCGATCGGTTCATCTCCGAATTTTACTTCCGGAGAAGGCTCCAGAAAAAAGGCACCGAACAGGGTGAGCGGAAATGGTACGATGAGGTGAGTGCCGGCACAAACGCAATTTGGCGCGATGTCCGTCAGTTGTTCTTTCATTGTTGCTTTCGTGCTTCGATGTTAATGATCAAAGGTAAGTAAAGGGACTGGACAAAAGATTCGCTCAGTGAGTGAAATATAAAATTAATTTTGTGTAGCTAACTAGCTTGCGAAACTAATAAATTAATGATAATAGTAAGTATTAACCAAGCAGTTTGCAGGATTTGGAACATTGCATACGGAAAGCCAAAGACTACGATTGTCGCTTAGTGGACGGCATGTACATAAAAAATATGATTGCTTTCTTTTGCGGTCAAGACATCGAATGCTCGTAAGTGCGGCCAGCTATGTGAGGTCAGAATCTGTTCTAACTGCCTTCTTAGATTTCGTGCTTAAGATATAAAGCGCAGTTTACTTAATGAAGAAAAAAGCCAGTTGCAAAAAACGGGGGCTGTTATTATTACGCAAATAAAATCGTGTGATCATAGACAAGGCATATTCAATATACCTATACGTATATTCATATCACTTCAAATATCATGTTGCCCGATTGTAAGAATGGTTTTTTATAACAGAAATCACAATAGCAAATGGGCACTGGAAACAGCCAAAGAAAATGTTGAGAAATTCTTTACGGTGGTCGGTGTTCTTGAAGATATCGATATTACACTTCGCGTCCTGCAGCATCAGTTGCCGCAATATTTTTCCGGTGTTGTGGAACTTTATAAGGCTAGCCAAGGTAAGAAAAATTGGGTGAAAACGATATTTCTCACATCTTGTGCTTACTTATTGTTAGAAGCAGTCAAGTGAGCCAACGTAACGTGAAATCGGATTTACAGAATTTTCTGACACTTTGTGCAGAAGTAATGTGCAAAATTTCAAATGTGTACGTTCTTACTCAAACTGGGATGGTCATCCAGATACATGTACGCCACAGTGTAAATTAGAATTACTCGTACTTCTACTTACAATACAACTGCCATTGTGTGGATTACAGATCATGTTATTAACAAAGGACTGAACCGCAAACAAGATGTTTCCCAAGATGTCAAAGATGTAATCCGGAAAAATCTGACGGCGGAGTACGAATTTTACGATTTCATACGCGACAGATTGCACTTTCAGGCGCAACTGATAAGATGAGCCTTTAAAATTCGATATGTTAGACTGTGATAGAATTCAACGAGTTCTCTTCAAGAGGCAATTACCGTTTGTAAAATGCCGGCTTTATAGATATTCACGATAAAACAAAAGAACAAATTCAAACCAATCAAACAATTAATGACAAATAAGAGCCAGAAGGGGATTTCAATTCCCACGACACACTGTCCACACCCGATAACTGCCAGAATGCTAGTAACACTCCAAATGATCAAAGCCCGTGTACAGTACGCATAATGACAAACACAACATCATAACTGAATCGAGCGTTGCAGTGAATAGCTCAAACGTCCACTTCCAAACCGAAGCCGTAGCGATGTCCACCTCCTGACAGATTGGCTCCGTTAATCAACGTGGACAGGGTCAATTTGACGCCTTTGCGCAGCTCCTGAGTGTAGCTGACGCCCAGCTGTCCCACCGTGTCCAGCTTGGCCTTCACCGAGGCCGTCGGATCAATGTCGTACTTGGCTCCCAAAGCCAGCAGCGTATTTCCTCCCGTTGTGGAGAAGTTGGACTGGAATCCCACCTCCAGATTGGGATCCACGCGGTTGTATACGCCCATCTCGAAGTCGCGGAAATGGGTAGTACCGGCGTGCAGTGTGTAGCGCGGTCCGCCCATGCCCAGCGCCAGATTGTAGCGGGTGATGGCCGATTTGGCCGTGTCCACCACGACATTCCCGCCAATGCGCACGCCGTTATACGAGGATACCGCGGATGAGCGGACAACGGGACCGGCAAAGTCCAGATCCACGTCCGTCGTCAGGTGGATGAACGGTCGCTTGTAGGCGAACTTGAGTGCAGCGTTGCGTTTGCCGGTCTGCGCAGAGAGACCGGCCAAGAAGGTGGCTTTGGCTCCGGCAAGAAATTTGTCCTCCACTGAGGCCTCCATTGTGACCATGTTGTCCGTGGACCATCTTTCAATTAGTGTCAGCCCGTAACTGCGCTGGACGTATTTGTGCTCCAGAGAGCCAAAGGCACGCGGAGCTTCCGACCCAATGTCCTGCTGTCCGATACCACGGATTTGGACGCCATTGGCGGTGACGGTTTTTATGTCGACTTTCGCGAAACCTATGCAAACCCAAAAAATATTTACACATACCACAACCTTTTAGAAACGGACATTTTTTCACCAAACCACCAAAAACTTTGATGCACAAACACCAAACCACAAACAAATGCATCCACAAACTTTGATTTTCGAAATACAACCGCACAGAACTATGGCCGCTGAGGGTTGGCGCTCACCGATATGGTAATTTTTTGTGAACAGGTCTCTAATGCTTTGGTTCAAATCCGCAAATGCCGGCGGAATTTCCCCAACCGGAGCACTAGACACCTGAAGCGGCTGTTCTCGGATGTATGAAGTGGAGAAATTGGTCTTGCCGTCTGCGGGACGATTATCCATGACTCTTGCCATCTGTAAAATCTGAGTTTAAGGGAGTTTGGCGATTTCGTCATCCGGTCAAAACAAATCATGCCAAACCTCACTTTTCTTGATTAACACTGGTTACGAAATCACTACAACGGCATCAACGTTGGACCTAAACAAGCAATATATGTTAACAACTGATACTATAAACCTGAACAAGCAGAAAAACTGAGAAAGCGTTTTCAACAAGTAGATGTAGAGAACCGCCAGCGCTTTGAAACCTCTTGGCTCCGAATCCCCAGAGTGAGCAATGGTCGGCCCAAACCACATTAACTGAAGCTTCGGTTATAACGAAATTCAGATCTAGCATTTACTTACCGAAAAAACCAATTCAAAATTATGTGATCAGCTCAGGAACAACCAAATACCGTGAGAATGATTCGCCCTTTGAATTCTGGTCAATCGTTAAGTCATAAACGCGTCGACGTTTGTGAGGAGCTTTTTTCTATCTTTTCGGATGCAGGCAGAGGACTGAATGGAGTGCAAAGGCCAAAGCGGTGGCCATTGAGTCGAAGGTGGCGGAAACCATGCGGAGGGAGTGGCCACCTATCTCTCCGTGCACCATTGCAGTTACTTAGTCTTACGCTCTCATCCACCACTAGCAACTATTTTAAAAACTTCGCGTCAAAACAACTGAAAACGTCAAACACTGGCAAACAGCCCTCAAAGTACTTAAGGCTTCGTAAAGAAAGATCAATACAAATGTGGGATTTAAATTAGTAATTAAAAAGTTGGACAAGTCACAAGTGGAAGTTCATTTACCTTTTAACTTTTTTTACCGATTTTGAAAAGTTTACATCTTATAACCAGTAACCACATAATACTGTCAGAATCACAGTGGTAGCAATATTTCCGTGGATTACTATTCCAAAGATGGCAAATTTTTGATGTGCAGACTGGATCTGACGACTGCCGCTCAAGACTTAGGGATTTTTTATCAGCTGGAAAACTTGGAAACAGTAAGATCTCCAGCAGCTAAAGCAAAGGTTTTTAATTGTATCATTGTGTTGCAGTACTCATTACTACTCGCCGTTACTTACCTTAATCGTCTGTTTGCAGAATTTCGCAGAAAGGGGAAAGTATTCCTTGCAATGCCTCCACGGACGGACTGCGTTATCGATGAGTTGTCGGGACTTTTTTCCCGTCGCCAGCGTATCGTTCCCATTCAGAAGTCCAATTCAGACATTGAAAATCAACCCCCACACAAGCGACTGCGTAGAGATCTTTCCAATCATCCCTTGTCGTTGCCCTATCAAAATCTGAAGGAACACGTTGCCTCTGCATTCAATGCACAACCGCGATCATCGTTGAAGCAACCAACACAGCCAGCAGAACAGCAGCATCTGCGCATGCCCAGCTATGTTGACTGCACGACATGGCCCGGCGTGACGGAATGGATGCAGTGTCTGCAGCTGACAGAAGCATCCAGTGACATCCAGGAGAGTCTACTATGCAATCGCATCGAGGCAGCCTGGGATAAAGTAGTGCGACGCTCGCTGCTCTTCATGGAATCCAAGCTGTTTCCGTTTTTCGACCGTTTCATGACGGCAGCCATGGCGGAAAGGAACGATCCCAAAGCCGAAAACAGTGGTGATGGCATTTATGGGATTGAGTAGTGTACTGCATGGGATTGAAGTGAAAATTCGCGAGTTGTTCTCCGTCAGTGAGGTGCTTCCAGCGGAACACGTGGAATATTCCGTGTCCGATCTTCTGGAGGAGATTGATCTGGGTTTTGTCGAGCCTGTTTTGTATGCCGCATTTTCTAACCCCAACACACCTGACTCGGCTGGATGCCTGTTCACTCCCAATGTCGGGCGCCTCAGTCAGGCTAATAAACGAACGAGAGGAGGAGAATGGGATACGACTTTTCGTCGTTCGTTATTGTCAGCCGATCACACTGTGGATCACAATGAGCCAACGCCCAGCGAAATCTTTCATACTGCGCACGACGTCACCTCGGATATCACGACGGATCAAGGCATTATGGTTTTGGATAGGGATCTATTCTGTCCGGATGGAATGATTTCCGAAGAAGTGGTATTTCACATGCTCGTCAACCAAGTGCAGAAGCATTTTGGCGACTGTCTGGAGCAGTTACGGCGCTGGATCGCTATGTGGTGACTATCTATGAAACTTATTTAGGCCTCATCGGCAATGAGCCGCTGCCTGGCTGGGATGCTGAAGCTAAAGATACATTTTTAGGAGAAGTGGATTTGTTTCACCGCACAGTGTAAGTTCCGTTCGCAAGTGGCTTTCGGTTTCGAATGTTGCAAACAGCTGACGTTTGTTACAAGTATTTTTTTATCAGGCTTGAACTGGAGTTGGCGGAACAGATACTGGTGCCAGCCTTGCAGATTCTCTGTGATAAGCGGATCAAAGAGCACGTCTCCCATTGTTTAGCTAACGGGAATACTCCGGGTGCTGGTGATAAAGGGAAGCGCCATCTGGACGTTACTTCCTTCCATTCGCTGAGCTCATTTCTTCACAATGTCTTCCAACAAGACACGTCAGCGGAGTGTGCACCATTAGACTTGATAACCTCGCTGATCCTTGAATATGCTACTCAGGAGTATATTCACGCTGTTATTGAGAGCTTTTTCGATTTGCTGCTGCAGTGGCCAAAATCTCGGCAGAGCTTCATGGAACTAAAAGAGCTGATGGACCATACGTCACAGGACGTTGTGCATGGAATAATTGTTTCGCTCCAGCGCCAGTTTCATTGTAAATTATTGCGTCCAGGACTCAATACGCTAGATATCTTGGCCGTGTATACGGCGGCAATACGTGCGCTTCGTATCATCGACCCATCTCGGGTAATTCAGGATCTGGTTTGTGAGCCTGTGAGAGTGTACCTGCGATCCCGGCCCGACACAGTACGATGCATTATGTCGCATATAACGCATATCAGTTCGTCACGGGATCTTTATCATCGGAAAACCACGCTGCCGGCGTTGGATGTGATGATCGAAGAGGAGGAAGCAGTCATTGCCCAAATGCAGCATAACATTAAGAGTGCCATTTCCGACATTGATATGGAAAACTGGAAAACTTGGATGCCGGATCCCATTTACGCGGAACTGTTGCCGTCGTCTGCCAGAACAGACCGTCAGGCCGACACAATAGAACTGCTAATGAGCATTTACGGTGGGCAGGATGTATTCATCAACGAATACCAGCTGATTCTTGCTGAGAAACTCTTGGGGTATTATTCTTTCGATTCAGAGGAAGAATCTAAACATCTCAAAATGATGACGAAGCGGTATGTCGTAAACTTTTGGTTACAATTTAAAACTATTGCAGTGATACGGTGGTACCACGCACTGGCATTTATGTACACGTTGAAGTGGTACACATAATTTGATCTCACCCGAGTATTTTAGATTCGAAAAAATCTGACAGTACAACGTTCCAACGTTATCGAGCCGCGTATGCCGCTGATTTCAGTACAGTTTGTAAAAGTTTCCATGATCTCACCTTGGTAAGATTCGGAAAATCTGTTACAACGTTCCGACGTTATGAGCCGCGATGCCGCTGATTCTCAGAAGTTTCACCAAAAAATCCTGGAAAGGCTGGAACTGGGCACTAGCGAAAAACGGATTCCCTTAGGCATCCCTGTCAGTGCTTTAGTTATTTCTCACAATTACTGGCCAGAAATCCGGACTGAGAAACTGCGCGTGCCAACAGTCTTGGAATCGGCCATGCTCAGATACAAGCAGTACTTTGAAGAGATATCGCTGACTAGAACAGTGGATTCTCGGCCGGAATTGGGTCATGTCAACTTTGATCTTATCCTGGACGATGGACGGAAGATGAATATTAAGTGTAACCCCGTGTATGCCGCCATTATTCTAAAGTTTGTCGAGCAGCCCAGATGGCCAATGGATGATCTGGCGGAAGCGGTGGGAATTTCTGCGTCGTTATTAAAACGGAAGTTAAACTACTGGCAGAGACGCAACGTGCTGGAGGAAAGCGAGCCGGACGTCTTTTCCATTGTGGCGGAAGGATCATTTTTATCCGAGGAAGATTTGAGAAGAATGGAAGATGAGGAAATTGAATCAGCTGTACGGTATGTTGCGGAGAATAATCAGGACGAACAGAATGTACACATTCAGTTGCAAATGTTTTGGAAATATATGACGACGGTATTGAACAATGTGCCGACAATAACGATTGACCGACTATTCTCCATGATAAGAATGTTTATCATTCGGGGACAAACGAAGAAGGACGTTACCATTGACCACCTACGGCAATATCTGGATGCCAAAGTACGGGCGCGCGAATTGGTGTTCAGTAATAACCGATATTCGCTTCCGAAAAAAGAGGCCACAGCTTCTTAAGTCGATTTGTTTTTCGTATTTATCGTATTATGTTAAGCACGTAACTCTGCGTGTTTAATGCTTTACAATTTTCGTTGCAGTTTTCTTTAATAGCGAAAGTTTGAAGACAGGAACACCTGCCTGGGTCACTTGGTATTTCGTACGGCTGTTTTTCAATTGTGTACGGTGTTTTGAAGTGTTAAATGTGAATAAATGTTTACACCAGCTTGTTGCGAATTTAGTAATCGGTTCGAAAGTTAATAAATTTTTGGTTCGAACAGCAAACTCCAGTGACTTGTAGTACGTATTCTCACTATTATGTAGATACTTATAATCCCCTCCCAGAAATTCGGATCTGAACTACAAGAGGCAAGGCAAAAATTAAAGTCTCTAGTCAACAGCCTTTCAAAAACTGTGAGTCCCACGTCTTTCAAATCCTTCACGAAACTTAGCGTCCATACCCAAAACCTAATATCTACTTTCTCTTGCTTTTTGGTAAGTGTTAACACTTCAAACTTGTGTGCTACTGTCAGCATAATGTCATATCAAATGAAGTGTGGATCCCGAGTTATTCTGACGTTTTTGAATGTCATCGCTGTGCACCACCGCATGTTGGACTCCATACAGTGCACCGAACTATCCGACTAACGGAAATTCCACAGAACGAAGCACATAAAAAGTCTTTATTTTTAATTTTCCAACACGCAAGTTTTGTCGTCTACACAATTTAATCGAATAGACCACCAAAACCACCATCGTCTTCTTCTTCCTCCTTTTCTTCTTTCGCCGGGGCTTTCTTTTCTTCCTTAGCAGCAGCTGCGGCCGGAGCTGCGGCTGGCTTCGAAGATGCAGCCGCTGCAGCGGAAGCAGCAGCGAACTTGGCAGGATCCTTAAGGATCTCCAACATCTGCCACGAAGTATAGTGGATTATCAATACACTAACTGTTAAAGCTTCTTTACACACCTTCTCCGCCTGCTTGAAAGATAGATCGCTTTCAGCAGCAACGGCCACGAGGTTCTTGAAGCCGTTAAGAATCGAATGGGGCGCCGAAACTTTAGTCGGGTATCCCACACCCAAACTCAAAGCCGCGATGTGCGAAACTCCCTAAAATATCACTCTCAGCTCCAAAAGTTCATGCGTTCGTTAATTAACAAGCCAGCGCGAGAAACGTTTCCAGTATACAATCCAGAGTTAAAGCTTCGATTTACCTCCATGAATTTCGCACGCAGGACCTCCGGCGTGATGTCAAGAATTCCCGGCTCGTATGTGCTGCCGTTGTCGTACACTTGTCGAACAATCAAACCATAGGAAAATGGGAAGATTTTCAACATGTTCAACAAGGTAGCTTCCGAAGCTCCCACTTTGTCGCCTTGCTTGATTAGATGGACTTCAGTCTGTCACAATAAATTATACTTTCAACATCGGTACTGTTATTGGTTATTAACGCCATAGTAGGTTGACTTCTGCAGTTTCAGGTTGCTGGTCGAAATATCATTAATCAAGGTGAGAGGCCAAGTGGTCCCCTATTTCTAGGCATGGCATCGCCAAGATTCAAGGCTGACCAATCATCATAAAATCGAGACACAAAAGTACACACGCAACATTTTACATACAGTAACATACTTAAAAATCATAAAAAGCGTCAACCGTAAATTAAAATCTTACATGCTACAGAGAACAAAACCCTACAGGGTAGATTATCCATCAGGAAATCCGACAGCGTTTAATTCTTCCAACAGACGTCAGCAAAATAAATTCAGAACTTACCAAAATTTCGATGGTACCCTTAGCGATCTTCGTGGGAATTTGCAGAGCCTGGAAGAAAGATGTTTTTTCCGGGCCCAACCCGGTATTCTGGGGCGGCACTCGGACATCGACGGGTGCCAAAGCGCCAGCTTTCGCCGGGGCGGCAACCTAAAGAAAGACCGTGTTAATGTTTGCAGAATCCACATAAAGGGAAAATAAGCAACTGCAAGACGTATCTTTTACGGAACCGGCAGGCGACAGCTCACCTTATTCTGCAACAGCAGATCGCGGATCTCCGCTAAATCGCCTTTCGTGAAGACGAAGCCGATGTTTTCCTTAACATGCGGCAAAAGTCTGCAATGCAATAATTTTATATATTATCTTTTGCAAGTTTTTTTTTAGAATGTGGGTACTTGTAACTTGTGTGCAGTTTCAGTATAGCGACGTCAAAATTTAAATCAAAGAACTCATAAACACGGGACATTCATCCTCTGCTGCACGAAGCTATGGATGTTGAAAAAGAAAACTTTCTTGAAAACACTGAGGCTGAAGAACTAGCATAAAATACAAAGGCTAATTACGAAGCCCGTACTTTTCAAGACCGGGATTTGCCTCCAGTTTGCCGCGCAGAGCTTTACGGATCATGGTGTTCTTTCCGTTGAGGACGACGGCATGTCCTCGCAGCGATGTACGGATCTGCTGCATCTGCTTGGATCCCACATTGTCCACACCGACCACGAAGCATTTCGGGTACTCCTCGAACAACTCCGCGATCTTAGTGAAGTACTTGGCTTTCCACGATGTGCGGTCTTCTCGCACCATCTTAGTAGTGCAAGATTGCCCGAAGGTTTAAAGACCTACAGAGATTCCGAGCGGTAGATATTCGATAAGGTTTCAAATTATCTGCTAAATTATTATAGCAGCCAGCACTCACCACAACAAAATTAAAGATGTCCGAAAATTTTCAAAGAATTGGAGAATTTCAAAATTGTTACTGCGTAAATGAAATTATTGAAATGCCTCGGAAATAACACGATGGCACTGCCGGTTTCGTTTACGTTATGCAGCAGATGCTTGACTGGTTCTCGTTAGCGGCGCAATTCTTTCTGCTTCTGTTCCGCATCATATGCCTTCGCTTATGATACACAAGGAGATTACCAGACCAAGTTTGATCTACCACGTCATGACTTCGGACGTAGCGGCCTGCTGCTGTGCTGTCGAAGGCTTCAGAACCAATGCCTTATGCCAGAAAGCAAGCCCTATGGACTCTGGAGTGCTCACCAGTCCAGTCCTTTTTGATACGAAGCCTCAGACCGCCCCACGACTGCGGTAGAGGTATGTACAGCAAAAGTCGTCATGACCCAGCATTCAGATTTCGAAAAGAATTTCGCAAGACATTCCAAATATGAAAAATGCACATCAAATTTTATAAGAGCTTTGCTCTGATATCGACGAACGACGATCATATCGTTAACAGTGTTTTTTTTCGCATGACGTATGGGAGTAAGATCATACGCCGGATGTACGTACGGATGCTGACTGTCCGCCTTCCACCTGCAACATAACGGATAATCTAGTCAATCATCAATGCTGTGATTTGCTGTTCTCTTTTACTAGCGATGTATATGATGTCATAACGCAAAGTCTATATAAGTTCTGGTGATGCCTAATATCGGGATCAGTAGTCTGAGATTTACTTCTGAGACTGCTCCTAATTACGATTTCCTAGCGTTGTGAACTGTGATGTGAATTGGATGAAGAGACAGCAATACTTGTTCCTACTGAAGTGCATAGTTGCTCCCGGATTATCGCTTAGTATACAGGTTTGCTCGTGACACAATCGTCCTAGCTCTTGCCGATCCTCACAGGACTCGCGACCGGAAGTTGTGGTTAGCTCGTTCCTGAGGGATTCCTGATCTTCTCGTATTCCTGAATCGTTCGTCTATTTCCACCTTAGTTCTTCTGTTACAGTTTGAGAGTACGAGTGCCTACCGATTGAGCATTACAGGCGTGGAAGAGTAAAGATTGTTCATGGAGCCTTAATCGGCGTGAACGCTTATACACGACATGGCGCCCACCGGTGTCTTTTAATTTTCCCGGTGTAACAGAAAATTATTGGTGGATAGTTGATGGTAATTTATTTGTAAAAGTGGTCCGTACAGAAAGGCGTCGAACCGCAAAGGTACGCCGAAGGAGGTCAGCGTTCCCGATCTGGCCTAGTTAATTTGTTTTTAGCGAGCTTCCTCGCAATTGTGAGCTTCCTCACTGGTGAGCTTCCTCGCCAATTAAATTTAATTTAATTTAAATTGGACCGTAGAATTTAACAGTCGAAACCTCAAAGGTCGGCTGTGTAATTTATTGGTGTCTGTGTGGGTAATTTCCGGGTTGTCTGCGCAAGCAGTAACCGCGGCAGTAAAGTGTAATCTGCAGTGTCAGTGCACCTGGCCTGCAGATAGAGCAGATAGTAAGCACCGAGCCATTGTCAGTGGCCAGGTGAGATAACGATCTCCAGCAGACTGATAAAGGCAAGCCGCAAGCGGTAGCCAAAATCAGCAGCTAGAGAGTTGACCGTGAAAAGGTAAACACCGGCAAACGGTGATTGACCTGTGAATTCTAAAATTACAGCAGCACGCAAAGTGCAGCAGTGTAATTTTAGAATTTGTTACAGTCGAAACCGCAAAGGTTCGCTGTGTCTAAACTCACTGAACAATTCAAACCTAAAAGGAGGATTGGGAAGTGATTGAGACAATAATTGCACAATTGCAATTTTGGAACCAGTAGCACAATCGCTGCTGTACCTTTTATTTTAATTAGCCGCAAAGGTTATTTAAAATAAAAGCAGAAATGTCGGGCGGTTCGATTCCTAGAAATCGCCCACCACCGCGTAAGATCCCAGATAACAAAGTGATTATTGGGGCGTACGATGGATCGAGAGCTCAGACAAGTTTAAATTTAACGCAAAGAAATCCGTTGAATTTAATGTACATCGCTCTTAATGTCGAACCACCAGAAGCACAAGATGCATTCTGTGGAAGTCATGGATTGATTACCAGGAAATCAGGCGGTACTTAAATTCCAAAACGAGATTACCAGCATTTTAAACCTTGGATTGAGTACGAGGATGTATCCCTGAAGCTTACCTGGACATTACTGATGAGCAGTTTAAAGCTGCCTTACAGGATGCAAACAGGTGGCTGCCAGAATATACGGAAGATTTGAATAGACGCAGAGAGGCGGCCCAAGCTGCGCTTACAGCGTCAAAAGCAACCGGAAAAACTCCCAAAAAACAAACAGCAAATGAGCGCGTCACGCGCGGTGCCAAGGAGAAAATGCCAGTTCAGGCATCCGGTGCGATATTGGATGAACCCATATCGGAAACTCCAAGCGTGGCCGAGAGCCAAACAGAACCTCAGTCGTCCCAGTCGGACAATAATTTGATAGCGTTGGCGGCTGCGGACAAAGCGGATATCTCCGAAGGATCTGAAACAAGAGCAAGCAAAAGCATTCGTGGTGGAACAATGACATTCCACCCGGCACAGCTAAAATTACATAGTTTTGTGTCAGAAAAGATTTTGAGCAACCAGATGAGGACTTCTTACCCAAGCTAGGGAAGTCGATGAGCAGTTAGCTGCGGCAGAAACTGACCAGGACGTGGGTTTATATTCGGCAAACTATGCCTGTACTGATCCAAAGTCTCACGCTCATCGCATCTACAAAAACAAAAGTAGATGAAATGGGTAATACTATGTCTCTAGACGCTCGTGTAGATGCGGAACGAAACGAAAATTGAAATTTCAAAAGATTTCAATGAAATGCGCATTAAATTTGAAAACGAACAAATAGAAAATGACAGATTGGCCAACGAAATACGCATTGCGAATGATAATTTGCACACCTTAAGACAACCAACAGAAATGCGGAGGCCGCATTTAACGCAATGCAAGATGAGCGCGATACTTTAAAGACACGAATCGTAATCTTGAAAAACAGTTGGAAGATGCCCAGAGATCTTTCAAACGCGAAAGCTACGATTGATGGCCTCAGTGCGCAACCGGCACCGGAATTAACGAAACAAATAACTGATTTGAACCAAAAGCTCTCGAAAGCTCAGAAAGATTGTAATTCTGAGAAAGATGCGCATAAATTAACTAATAAAATTTGACGGATGCGCAGAACCTGGTCAAAACTTACCAAAGATTTGGAAGATGAAAAGAAACGGGCTAAAGATGCGGAAGACTCTCTACAGCGAACTCACACAAGCGAGTGCAGCTGAACAATAAGTCTTCAGTCGGCGATGCATATTCCCAAGGAAAGGATGATGCGTCCCAAAAGGAAATTGAGACTGCAGGGTCTGTTGACTACAGAGCGAGAGAATGTTCAAAAGGCCCAAAGGAATTAAAAGATTCGAAAAAGGATAAACGATGCGATAATTGTGAGAACGCGATTCAAGCGAAAAAATACAGCACAGGCCGACGCATATGAAAAGTCTGAAAGGTGTAATCGGCTGTATGAAGAAAATGCGCAATGCCGAAGGGAATGGCATGAAAACAAGATCAACTTACCAAGATGGAAGTGGATCTAAAGCAGGCATATGACGAACTTCGTCGGCTTCGAAATACAGATGCTGCTCTTGGCGGTGGTGAAGGATACTTTCAAAGGGCGCCGGTAGCAACAGGAGACGTATTACGTCCTCCCTTTTACGCCATTTAATCCCAAAATTTCTCGTCATACGTGGATCAGCCTATAGCTACTGGCAGTAATCCGGCTGGCATCTTACGCAGGCCTAGGCAGGAATCACGAGTCGAATTCTCGGAGGTCAGACCATGCCGTTCATCGTCAGAAAGTCAAATTCAAGGAAACGGCACCTGCCAAACAGAGGAAAAATGGCTCAACAGACTTACGCCAGCAAATTCTGAAAAGAACAGCTGACGAATCTAGTCGCCAGATGCGAGGAACAGAAAATAGAGACAGTTCTGATACAGAAAATGAACTGATGGACGATGCCCTAATGGATGATGAACACCGTCGCCCCAGTAGCACGACCAGTAATGAGTCCATGTCTAGAAATCCTCAGCTGGAGGAATGGCTAAATAAACAGACCCAAATTTCGGATAGAACGACGCTTACACAAGAAAGCGTTGTTGAGCTTTTAGCGAAAATTGTGGAAAAAGACAGCGATAAAACGGTAGGTGGCATGAAGTTACTCGCATTTGATGACGCTCATCCGGAAAAAATTCAAAGATGGCTCATGAACGTCGAACAATGTAGAGCCACGAATAACTGGAATGATGAGACAACGTGTCGCAGAGTAATCGGTGCATTCACCGGTCCGTCTTTTCAATGGTTTGAAAAATTCTGGAAGGACAATAAAGGCAAATCGTGGTCAGATTTCTTTAAGCCGGCTATTGTGGAGCATTTTAATGGTTCTTTGTCTAAAGCCGATATTCGCCGAAAAATGAATAATCGTAAATTGGAATTTTATGAACCAGTCCGTGCCTACCTGGATAGTTTCCTCCCATGGTTTGAGGAACTAAAAACATCTGACGAAGAGCAGGTGGAGGCACTCCTTGATGGCGTACAGGAACATCGGCCGGCATGGTTCCGTGAAATTTATAATGCGGCACCTAAAAATTATGCGGAATTTGAGAAGAAATTACAGAATGCGAAAAACTGAAGCGCATGAATAAAGATAAGAAGACACCTGAATCAACAGAGAAATGCTCCTGCGGGAAGCCCAGAAGTGCCGGCAATAATAATAATGCGAATTATGAAAATCGAGGCGGCCGCGGTGGCTCGTCGCAGAGAGGAAATTATTCGAACCGGGAGGCCGCGGAAATTATGGCAACAATCGCGGAGGATATTCACGTTCGTACACGGAGACAGTGATTCCTCAGCCGCAGAATTCGGTGGCTCCTGTGCAGCCTGTCCTGAATGTTAGCCGCAGTTTGTCCCTGTCCCGGTGTTTCAACAGCCGCAATATGTTGAGCAACAACACCGGTACAATTTGCAGAGACCTTCCCGCAACCAATTCCTATGCAGGCTCCTATGGCTGTCCCAGTTCAAATGATGAATCCAATGATGCCGGTT